AGGTGTGCAGACGGGGTGGAGCCAGCTCCAGTGCCAGGAACGTTACATAAACAGCTTGAACAATATGACTTTAATGTTTTTTTTTATCAGCCTGAAGACCCTGAGATGCCATCAATTCAAGAATAGGTTTACAACCCAAATTTTCATCAACTCGACCCTCACCCCACATTCCAGGGTATTGATAGATTCAGTCTGTGTCGGTCTGATCCCCCATAACAAATTCGGTGGAATATATAGGGTTTTGTTCATTTTGAGATTTTCACATGAACAAGTGTGTGCTAATCTTTACCCCAAACCCTAGTCTGGACAAAATAAGTCATTTCACATATTGAGACTACCAAGTGTGTGTGTTTCTCTCTCATGGTTTAAGAATCATGTAGTACAGGAGTGCTTGAAGGGCTTCTGAGATTTCAGGGTTTTATGCTTACTCAACATAGTAAAACTAAGTATTATAGAATATGCTCTGAGTTTTCAGTTCCCTGAACTCTGTGAAGTCAACTAAATGATAAAGCTTCAGGTGAAAACTCTGGCTTCATTCCTGGTAAAAGAATTACAAAACTGGGTGGGTGAAGAAAAAATCCATTGTTTAAAATAACAGACCGGAATTTAGTTTGGATTTTTTGTCTAGCTCTAATAGTTTTTGTTCAAACAGATTAGAGAAGCTTTTTCAAACACTTTGTACTTATAAGAAAATCTTATAAGAAATCTGAATTTTGCTTTTAGACGTCTTGAAATGAATATATTAGTCATTCCAAAAACCCCTTTTCCATCACTTGACTTAATCTCCATTTAAGGCCGCCATTAAAACAGGACTGAACACAACTATTTGATATAAAAAGTGGTAGATGATTTTCACAGAAGTTATTCTTTTTGTTAAAGTTAGAGTGGATTTGACCTATTTAATCCATTAAGTTTCTTTGTGAACACTTGTATGTATGTCTATATATAAAAATGTAGATATAAGGTATTTGGGTCTGGTAAACAGTATAAAAGCATGCAAGCACACATCTCATTAAGGTTAAGCAATGCACTGACCTTTAACATTTTAATAGTTCTTTCTTTATGTAACAATCTAAAATATATTTTTAAAAATTGAGTGATCACTTGTCTTTTATTCTATTTTTCTTTTTCATAATCTAAAAAAAAACAACAATATTTGAGTATAGTGTTACATCCACTACTTGTTTGCATGATATTTCCATATGACAATAATGTTTGTCATGATCCAGTGGTTCATTCTACCTTTATTTGGGGAGATTTTAACAAGTTGGGAATATGCAGGTAAAGAAAAGAAAAGAGTGAACAAACTGTGGAGATTCTATTTTCTCACCTTGTTTGAAGCTATACGACTATATTATATAATTGAAGAATATGAAATGCGTGCTTTGGAACTCTGGTACTTGAGTTTCTTTTACTTCAGTAGACAATTGATCAAAATATCAATAGATCTATTTGGTTCCACAATTAAGCTCTCTAACAGCATTGATTAACACATGTGAGAAAGAATTCCTGAACTTCTTTTATTCCAATCATGATTTGAGTGGACTCTTTGGTTTCCATAAATACTAATGGAGAACACTTTTTTCCCACCCAGGCTGTCGTCTAATAACCTTAGGCGCTGTCTGCATTGAGCCATGTGCCAGGCAGGCCCCAAGCCCTCCACACATCTATCACCACAGTCAGTAAGTAATGATACATCTGAGCAAAGGGGACTTAGCTTAGGGGCCAGACAGCTCCATCATACTCATCATGGTCATAGTGGCCAACACACACACACACACACACACACACACACACACACAGACAGACAGACTCCCAAAGCAAGACTTTTTCTACTTATGTGACACAAAATATATATATTATTTTTATTTCGATCAATAAAAATGATATTTTCCCATAATAGCTTATTACTTTTTCCTAGCAAAAAAATATAGATAAATGCGATTTTTAGATATACTTTTCTTTATTTGACAAAATATCAATGTACCCACTATCAGATTTTTCCTTGCTAGTCTGGTGAAGTGTGAATTTTCTCCCCAGAGAAAAGTTTTGAAAGGTTTAGGAGTAAACAAGAGGAGGCTGATATAATTGGACTCTAAGGGCAAATACTCTTTCAAATGAGCTCCCCAGAAATGCTCACAAAAGATGCAGGAAAGACATAGAATTCTCATTAGGATTTGACAAGTGAACATGACCTTTTTGCTGAAATGTATTAAACTCCCCCTGTGCTACCCAGTTGTTATCTCACTGTCCCCTGAATTAGTCAGCTCTTAGTCCCCTAATACTGCATTGAAATTCCTTATGTATTTCAGAAATTGTTCCTACGAGATTTTTTTGTATTTGTTTGAAATGCATTATTGTTTTTTGCAAAGATTACAATACACTAATGCAATCCTCGTCTCTTGAGATAATGAGCTCCAAATTATTCATTTATTCACTGTATTATTCAAGTGTGTGAATACCGATTTTTTTTCACAACAAACATAAATAATTACAACATGTTCAAAATTAGCATTGATTTCATTATCATCTTATGATTAAAAAAAGGCTAATAGTGCTGAATTTCCCTACATTTGACATGAGAAAAAAGTTTGTTTGGTTTTAAAGCAAACAAATAAAAATGTTTTTTTTGTGCTAGTTACAGATATCGGCCTTTACCCTTTAAACTGAAATTGATTCTGCTAAGTGAGTGCTTTGTTGAATTTTTACAGCTGCTGCTCCATTTAGGTGTTGAGGCTGACCAGAGGCAAGAGGAGGTGCACAATAACTTTCTCTCCTCAGTGGAATAACAAAATGCAGTCTATCTGGACATCCACAAAAAAGACCACAAAAAAAAAGACGTAACATGTTTGCTGAAACACAAATAAATGAAATATTTGTGTGCTTCTGCAATCATAATGCAGCCTTGAAACAAAATCCCACAGTGTGAAATGTATCTAACATGTCAGTTCTAAATGGTTTTTGCTATGCTTGTCAAACTCTTTCAGACACTATGTCAGTCATTACTATCAATCCTTCTCTCCCTCTTCAGGCATACATTGTGTTGTCTCAATATTGCTGATTGAGATGTGGGAAATGACTTAAACCCAGTTCTGTAAATTACAAAAACAAGAAAAAATTGTGTTCTTTTGTTTGTTTATTTAATAGATTTTGTTTTGACCACACATCTGAAGTATTGTTGCAACACCACATTTACACACCAAGTCCTTTTTAACAGATACAACTGGAGCTACTTGAGGCATATCTGTTCACGACAATATAGCTTTAAGGTGGACATTAGTTACACTGTCTAAGACTGTAAACAACAACAGCTTCGTTCACCTTTTTTATGTGTTGTGGTCACATTTCGGCATGTTTGGTGAGATACCAGATGAGTGTGCAGTGAAACGTCATACTCAGGGTGTCATGTACAATTCCATATTGCCTCACTGTGAAAGACAAAGAAATCAACACTTTATTGCACTGAGCTACAGGGAGGCAAACGGGTCAGTGGAAGGAAGCTGTTTGTTGGACTAGTGGTGTCAGCACCACGAACAGCTCCTCTTGCAGCCAAAATGAATGAACAGCGTCATTCACCAAGGCTAAGTATGGGAAACCAGACTGTTTTAGTGTAATGATTCATTCAGACTCTGTTCACTGGGTGAACTCCGACTCATGTTTGACAAGCTGGCCATGAGAGATTTCACTTTGTGAGCGTAATAGTTCCTTAGATTAACAGAAGGAACCTCTTTTATTCCCTCGTCGAAGTCACAGCTTCTCATCGCAATCTCGAGCTGCTTTTGTCTTTTATAGAAGAGAGAAAACTTGTTGAAGATTAGAGTGATCGGAAGCACAACTACTAAGATTCCGGCCAGGATGCATGCTGAGGCCGTAAGCTTGCCCGCTATGGACACCGGCACCACGTCTCCATACCCGACCGTGGTCATGCTGACGGTGGCCCACCACCAACACGCAGGTATCGTCGAGAGATCCTCGCTGTCTTCTTTTTCCACCGTGTAGGCCATGACGGAGAAAAAGGACACGCCGACAGTCAAGTAGAGAAGCAGCAGTCCCACTTCCTTGTAGCTGTTTCTGAGGGTGGCCCCCAACGAGCGCAGCCCCGTGGAGTGTCGGGCCAGTTTCAGGATACGAAAAATCCTCATCAACCGCAAAACTTGCGCAACTCTTCCCAGGTTGGCGAGCGCCGGACTGCTGTCCACTACCAGGTTTATGAGGAGCGTTAGGTAAAAAGGGAGAACGGACACTAGGTCTATCAGGTTTAAGGGGTGATAGAAGAAATGCATTAGGTCTGGCGCCACCATGAACCTGGCCACTAGCTCCAGAGTGAACCAACCGATCCCAAAGTGCTCTACGATCTCGAAACGCGGGTCCTCTGTGGGTTGACCCTCACCGTCCAACTGGCTGAACTCGCACATGCTGTTCATACACATGGTCGCAATGGAGCCCAGCACCACGAGAATCGAGAGGATGCTGATGATGCGGCTGGCCACCGAGTACCCGGGGTTGTCCAGCATCAACCACACGCGCCTTCGCGCGCTCCCCAGCGGCTGCTTGTCAAACTTGGAGGCGTCGTTGTAGAACTCCAAAAGCTCGTCGAACGAGGAAGTGGTGCTTCCCTCGTCGCTCCGGTCATCCCAGTCGTCTCGGTCCTGGTCCATTTTTCTACAATGGTAGGCGCTGCTGCAACAGGAGTCGATGAAGAACTCGTTGATGCCCCAGTATTCGATCTCCTGACTGAAAGAGAAGATGCAGAGCTCGGCCATGACGTGCAGTCGCCCCGTGTTGTAGAAATTCAACACGTAGGGGAAGAGGGCCGGGTTCCTGTCGAAGTAAAACTCTTTCTCCGTGTCGTCGTAGTCGTCGCACAGCTCCAGAATGGACTCTTTGGACTGGCACTGGAGGAGACGCGCGAGCCTGGTCTCGGGGAAACGGGAGAGAGTGTCTGACAGGAGGCGCTTCTTGAAGCCGCCCACGTTGATGCGGATGGCCGCATTGCCATTCATGTGAGCCCCGCCGCCCGCTTCCCCGGGGACCTGACCTGTCATGTCTGGGAAGAGAGAGACACACGGACGCACAGAGGCAAAGAATGCAAGAGAAGGTGACAGACCAAATCACGTTCACACAAAGAGGAAGATGGATAGAAAGAGGCAGCCAGCACAGATAGGAAAAAATGAAGAGAAGTTATTTAAAGTCAGATGGATTTATTTCCATTTTATGTCACATAAGAAAATACACGAGCCGTTGTTTTTCACGTGTTCTCCATAATTACACACACGGAAGTTGTGATAAACACCTCGCTATTTAAACAAAGAAACGCGAACTCACCTTAAGGCTCGTACAGGTGACAGAATACTCGCTCGAGAAAATTCTACATTTTTATTTTTGCGTCGCTGCAGTTTGTGGGGAACCTCTAGTCCTGTAATAGACGACAAGACCTTTGTCCTCTGGTCTCCAGGCTGACACGGTTCTGACGGGCCAGACTGTTTGGAGCGGAAAGAAAAATATGACTTATTCAGCAAGAGGTCGGCAAGATGTTAAAAAAAAAAAAATCTCAGTATCCATCCAGGCAGTGAATTTGAATGTGTTCATAAATTTAAAAAAAACAAACATCCGATGGAGTTTTGTAGCCTCGGGCTTGGATCCAAAATTCAGCGGGTTTTACAACATCCTCAGCTTCAGAAATCGTCCGTTTTTATTTCAGTAAATTTGGAGCGCCGTTGGAACCGATACGCCCTGACAGCCGCTTTTGTTTGTGCGAGGGAATTCCTCTCCGTGTCTCTGTCCCTCTCTTCTATCTGTTGCTGCGCAGCAACACGTAGCTCTCTCTCCATCTCTCTCTCTCCCTCTCTCTCTCTCTCTCTCTGCGCCGCCCTTCCGAACTGATCTCAGCATCATGATGCTGAGGGGCGAGGCGCAGCTCAGGGCGCAGTGGGAATCACCAACGCACTGAGGCGTGACACATTTCCAAGAAAATAAAAGCAAAGTTATCTAACGACAATCATAAATACTTCATTCGAGAACATCCCTCAGCCCACCTTAACACTAGAGAAGCTATCCAAGATCAAGCAAAAAATATATATATTTAAACACAAAGCTTATTTTAATATCCCCCATTAAAATTGTCAGAGTATATTAGTTCTACATGAAAATCCAATACATTTTTTAGGGGTCATATTGTGCCCTATGCTGTGGCAATGTATTGCCTCAGACTTAACTGACTCACAAGTGACACATTTTTTAAAGTGAATTAATGACTTCTTCTGTGAGTGAGGAAAGGTTTGCCTTAGAAATTCACATAATGTAACCCATTCCTGTTCAGACTGTCCTTCGGGAGTAATTCAATCGCCTTGAAGTGGATTCCCCAAGTTTGTGTGAAGCATTTCAAGCTTTCAAATCACTACATCTTATTCTGTTCCTTTTGCTTGATCCTATGTGAAATGAGTGTGCTTGAGTGTAGTTTTAAAATGGTCTTGGTTTTCTCATTACAATGAAAAGGCTGCTGTTTCCAGTTGTACAAAATATTCTCACAAATGAAAGCCCGTACTGTAAAGATTACAACTGATGGCCAATGTTCACCGTCATCGATCAGCTGGGTTATGATATGAAGTCATGCACTCAAGGTATCTCCACATAAAATTATGTTAGAAATCCATCTGTTCAGAAAATGTCTGAATTATGTTGTTTGGTAAAAAAATATTCTAATTGAATTTTCAAAAGAATGGGGTTCTATCCTCGCACTTTCTTTTATCTCTTCAGTGTAACATCTTTAACAGCTCTATCTGACAGAAGGTAAAGCTATGGCCTTGCATAGCAGCTTCCATTCTACTGATTAAGCTCCACAGGTTTTACCTCCAACATACCAAGGATTCCGAGTGAAGGTGAAAGCATTTTCTGGCATAACTTTCCTCATGGATTCCTTGTGATATTTCTCATTCTCCAGTGGTACAGGGCAGATGGCCACTTAAAAATTCCCTTCAAAAGAGGAGTCCTTTTATTTTTCTGAGCCAAAGTAAAGAATGCCAACTTGGGTAGACTGTGGAGACCACAAGTAGTTCCCCCACATGGAGTTATACAGAAGTCAACTGAAATTGTTCCAGTGGGGCTTTACTTTTTTAAAGCTTTGTTGTGCAGTTTGAACAAAAGCTCGGTGGGCTCATTCAGGTAAATTAGGACTATGCAATTGTGATATTTCTTGAGTATTGCACAGGGTTGTGCAGGCATCCTCTTAAGCATTTTCTTTTTTAGATTAGTCAGTTTTACTCAGGAAAGGGATGTCTGATTTTAAAGTGCCTCTTTGATTGGCTCACCTCTCATGCTAAAGGGTTGTTGATGTATCTTGTCAATGTGTATAGCAATAATGAAGGTAACATTCATGAAACTATATATAGTCTCTGTGTGTGATACATGGGGTGAATTAATTAAATTTGTTAAACCTATCTTCATCTCTGAAACTGTTTATCAAGAAGCCCCAAAGTAGAACAAAGATTACAAATGTTTTTGTCACAAACAGTGTTTGTTTTTTGTCTGAACATCTCTTGTATCTTACAATACTGGCATAATTCCAGTCAAGTTTTGGCACTTTCATCACTACTCATGACCTACCCTTTGTTTATTATGTAAATTAATCAAACCTCCTTGGTAGCAGGTAATTTAGCAAATGTGTAGTTTACCTGCCTCAAACAGAGACACAATGTTCCATTTTTTTTTTACATTTCAAGTTTACCTGCATCAAACATCCATCCATCCATCCATTATCAATACCGCTTATTCCCTGATGGGGTCGCGGGGGGAACTGGAGCCTATCCCAGTGGTCAACGGGCGAGAGGCAGGGTACACCCTGGACAGTCCGCCAGTCCATCGCAGGGCCACACACAGGACATACAAGGACAAACAACCACTCACACTCACATTCACTCCTAAGGGCAATTTCCCCAATCTCCAATCAACCTAACATGCAGGTTTTTGGACTGTGGGAGGAAGCCGGAGAACCCGGAGAGAACCCACGCAGACACAGGGAGAACATCCTGCCTCAAACAGAGACACAATATTCAATTTTTTTTTACATTTCAAGGTGAAATGTAAGCAGTTCTAAAAACCAGTTTTATTTGTAAGTCAGAGATCCTCACTGTACTTGAAGCCAAGAACATACTGTATAGATTTTCAGTTTCATCCTAAAGTGCTTCGGTCTGAAAATTTCAATAGTAAGAATTCAGAAGTAAAAAAACTATCCAGGTCATCCAGGTCTTTATGTCTTAAATACATGTATAAAATGTAACCAAAAAGTGTTGCTTATTAAAGAAATATCCTTGAACGGTTCTGTAGGGCTCGGGTCTATAGTATAAGATAACATTTTAGGGCATGTGAATCATTTGTCCCTGTTCTTTCTTCTTTAGAATTAGAAAGCAAACATGTACGCCAAACCAGTAGCTTAATCAAAATGGGTCTTCGCCGTAATGTTCCTGCAAAACGTTGTCACCGTGGATGCCTTTTTGGGGTTTTATGTAAACTCTAACCATGCTCCTCAAGGACTGATTGTATTATAGATAATCTCAAATACCTTGACAGATCCTCAACACCCTCACACAGCAGCATTGGAGGAAAATTTGAAAGCTTAGCCAGAGCCTTTAAAGGCAGCCCACGCGCTACTCATGTTGTGAAAAATACAGGTTTTTCCTATTAATTCTTGTCTCTTGTGGAACTCAACTGTTTGCAAGGACATGTGCTGATTCAAACCTTATTCAGTATATCGTATTTTGTATCCAGCAGAACTGGGGAGAATTTTTGTCTAGATTGTCTCCTGATCACCAAAACTCCTTGATGAATCTGATGTGATTTATTTATTAATTGATTTATTTATTTATTTATTTATTTATTTATTTATTTATTTATTTATTTATTTATTTATTTGAGTATTTTTCTCACTAAGTAAAACTTACTTTAGGCTCTCTGATATTCAACATTTAAAGATATGGCTGGTGTACACATGATATTTTGGGATCATGTTTGTATTTTACCTCCTGGGAGAGTCACTTTATTGTGGTAGAAATTAGATTTGGGTTGAAAATAATGGGTGTCTTCTTGTTCTTTAAAAACCATCAGTCTTGACTGGTAGCTCTGATCACACATTAACAATCTTCCTCTTATTTCATTAGTGTGGGTGAAGAAGCTTCTTATATTAAAGCCATGATACTGGTCAGGATTACTGTTTTAAGTATTTTTTGCTAAAAGACTATCAACTGCAGATTTATCACTTTCTACCTTTCGTTGACGCTTGCTGTTTTTTTTATTCATTTCTCTCCTACAGGGTTGAATTTATAGTGCCACTTTGTGGAGGAGGAATTATTCCTTACAGCTTTTTCCACAAGTCTCTAGATCAGCTATCTTAACTGTAGTAGCTTTTGCTTTTCAAAGAAAATACTTTCTCATTTTCATTCCATCTCTAAAAAATGCCAATGAGAGCACAGGATAAAGGCATTTTACTAATTCTAAAAATAGCTGTCATTTATATGATATCACGACTGAGATACTGATCCCTCAACACACAAACAGGATTTACAATAAAACTAATTGTGGTGCTAATTACATCCATTTTAAATATTAAAACAGAGCTAAGAGGTAAGGTCCTTTGAAGGCTCACAATATGAATCAGAGTGGTTGTGAAATTAAAGATGAACATAGTTAATATAAAACCATCCCCAAATAACATGTTTCTTTATTTTAAATCAGAATGTTTTCTTTTTCTAAATTTTCTCAGATTATTCCTTATTTGGTAAAATACTTTATACCAAGCCTTGAATATTTTTTAAATCCTGGAATGGCCCATCAGTTAGCCATTCCAGTACCAAAATACCTTGAAGGCAAAACGTGACAAACTTCCAATAAATTCATAATAAATCAAGGTGAACCCACACTATACAAAGAAAAAAGCTAGTTTTGCTCTATGAAGATGTAATTGAAGATGCTTTTTCCCCTTTAAAATTGCATGATAATAAAAAACCACGGTGAAATGGCTGATCAACTAAACATTGATTTTTCCATTAGAAAATTTGTGAAAATGTCATGGCTGATCATTTTGTAAGTAAATTACCTTCCATGCACAATAATACTTGTGCAGCAGGTCACAGGATTGGAGAATGGCCCAAGGAACAGAAGCATTCACTATAATGTAACATCTAAACAGTTCTTTTAACTGGTCTTTTAACTTGCAAAACCTGTCCAAACGAACAGGGTTTGCATGGACTTTTGCCATGCAAAAACCAGATAACAATTTTCAAGGCATGAGGAACATCAAATAGTTTAATATGTCGATAAATGTAACTCTCAGTCAGCCTCAGACATAAATGTGGAGTTGGATTTTCCAACCATGCCTGATGTGAAAACCAAATACAAGGGGGGAAGGAAGTGTAATCAGAGCCCTTTCGTCTCAATGAATGCCTCCTGCATTTTAAATCACTCACTTTTTCATTCTGTGCACCCGTGGCAGGCTTTTATTCACATCTTCTGATTGGAGATCTCTGCAGTCCCCTTCCTAAATGTATTCAGAAAGTAATAAACACCTTTCATCTTGCTTCTCATCCCTGGCAACCAAACAGCAGATAAAGACTAAAAAATGTGCTCAGTACCTATTTAAAATGATAGTTTGAATATCAGACTAGAACATCACATTGAAGGCATAAAACATGGCCCTTGAACTCATCATAAATTCATTTGCCAATAAAAAATAAGGGTTCCCTTGTTGAGTCATAGACAGGAAATGTTCTTGTTTCAAACAGCAGATTAAATCTGAAGGAATTTTTAAGACATGTTTTTTATCGATGTGTGTGTTGATATTGGTAAACAACTAAATTTTACTTTGATAAACTGCTCTGAGTTCAAAGGGGACCAGTCAATTTCAATATTTTTCAATGCAAGTGCAGTCAAGTTTTCATTTAAACATCTCATCTTCATACCCACCAAAACAGCTACTATTCCCTTTAAGAAATGTTTGCTTTAGCCTTTCACTCACTGACTTATTTCTAAGGAAATAGCAGAAAAAGATCACATACAGGACCAAATGAGATAAAAAGAGACAAAGGTATGGATGCTGTTCAATTTCTTCTTTCCTTCAAAGCTTGAGGTGCAGGCTCAAGTGAGAATGTGTAGGAGTTTTTTGTCGCATAATTCTGCTGCTCCCTGATTCTTTTTTTAGGCTTCTTTTATCTTCCGCTCTCCTCTTTCAGCCCTTTTTCCTTCTCCCGCCTTGTTTTTGTCTCTTTTGTATCTATGAAAAAATATACTCCCCCATACCCCACCACCTCCCATTCCTCTTTCCTCACCAGTTTCGTTTAGTCTTCAGTCACATTTCAATCCTTCAACCTATTTCTCCTTTACAGGTCAAAGTTCAGAACTGTGCTAAAGCTTTCCTCGAGTGTGAACGGCAGGATGTCAACTGAAATCTCTCTAGGGCTCAAAATCCATCACAGAAGTTTCTGTTCAAAGTGAATCCCTGTCAACTTTGATGAATAAGCCACCAGGAGAAGAGAAATTTGTAGATATAGCAAAAAAGGGAATCTATTTAGAAGTGGTATTCGTACATGTCAAGTAAAACAGGCTTTCAATCATCTTCCCTCTTCTACTTCGCACCACAATAATCACAGCAAACGAGTCCTGATTATTATGGCAAAGAATAATGGTTGACTCAGGATAGAGTCGGGGAAGGAGAAGGATGAATACAGAAGGAGAGTAGCTTCGCTGCTGTAAGCTGCGAGTGCATTTTAGTACAGCAATCATGCATAAAAGACATGAAAACATTATTATCCCTGAGTTCTTCAAGGTTGAGTTCACCTGCTTGACATTATAACACAATTTAATTTAGGATCAACTGTACATTTATCACTATAACACCAGTATCAGTAACCAGTGAGACAATAAATAAAAAATACAGCTAAAAAAACAGTTAACCAGTGACAGACAAAGATGGAAAATACTTCCACACAGACACACAACTCTACAATTTTTACAATATATGATACTTTCAATGTGACTTTTGAGCACATACGGACACGTATGGTGGTGACGTGAAAAACGTTTGAACTGAATACTTTTTAACAATCATCAGTCCCGCAGTCTTAGGTACAAAGAAGCTTAAATGCACTATAACACTCCAATACAAGTATATTGTATTTATTTGCAGATCAATGTTTTATTTACAACAGAAATGACTAACAACATCATTTGCTGAAAACAAAACATCTTACAATTTCTTTAATCTGAAGGTAGCAACAATTCTGACCAACATTGGAAAAGTAAGGGATTCTCAAATGGATAACTGGAGTTAGATATTTTAGCTAATTTTGTACAGTTACAAAAGCATATTGGTCTGTGAACAGGAAACAGATAAGCTGTTGTCTTTTCTGTGCAGACGCTGAAAGACAATGAGAGGGATTGAAAATATTACATTAAAAAAAAAAATCATGGATGCTGCATCAGAACTATAAGGGGAAGATTTTAGTAGGGTAGAACCTAAAGTTGATATGAACTGAGAGTTGCAATCCAGCTTGTTGTCAACACTCATTATGAAAGCCTGGATCTCTAATGGTACAATGAATGTAGAGTCATGTTTCAAAGCAGTATAATACTGGGAATACCTTGCCAAACCACATTTGTAAGTTTTTGTAACAGCATAGTTTTTGACTTGAAGAAAATGCGCATGCAAGCCTTACTTGCTCGTGGTTAAGATTTTTAACCAACTAAAGCCATTTTTCTCATAATGGAAAACAAAGTTGACAAAAGAAGACAAGACTGAGCATTCAAGCACTCAGCATACTGAAATGGACGAGAATATTTTTCATGATTATCAAAACTTTAGAAATAATTTACTTTGGCCTTAACAGACACAAGATCCCAAGAAAGTTGAACTCTTGTGGGGTTTTTTTGACTGACTCTATATAGCACTATCCCAACCATCGTGAAACACCCAAATGAGATATCATATTTTGAAATGCGTTGTTCCATCCATGCAGCTGAGTTCCAGAGATTTTCCGAATCAATTTCTTGGTACATTGTAGCTGTCGTGGTGGCACATGGTGACCCACTTTATGCTGGTTTCACCCATCTGTAAATACAGAGACAATTTCCATGACAGTAATTGGGAAAAAACACCTTTCATTAAAAAAAAAGTGGAGGTCTGACCACAAAAGAAATGGCCCTAAAATGTATACGGTTGCTGCAAGTAATTTATTTCTGTGCTGTAGCCTCGTAGTTTTGACAGCCAGGTGGGAGTTGATCTGCTGTGTGCTAACATTTCAGACCGTCTTCTTCCCCTGGTGATAAAGGATATCTAATATTTAGACACTGTTGACCTCTCTTTTTTTTTCTCTTCAGACTGAATCAGTCATCTTCCTCATGGTCATCCATTTTCCACAATGTCTCAAACCTGCATACATAAAAATGATGATAATTCATAAGGCCACACAAAATTGCAACTCAAAAATGTCAAAAATCACCACAAAATTAAACAATTGAAGCATATGAAAACTGATGATGGGTACAAAAAAACTGTTTGTTTTGAAGTAGATTCAGAATGCTATGGATTAGTTCTCAGAAATAATGGATTGAAGTATGTGTCAGGACAGAGACATGAGAAATAGCAGCAGCCCCGTATGCAGAATTTGAGTTTTTCCACATCACACAGCAGACACACAAACACACATTCATCATTCTTCTCTTCACAGAGAGGACGCCGGATCAATGAGATCCAATAAAAGACAACACAACAATGCATCTCATCTCATCCCTTTGACCAGGAGGTACTAATAGCTGGATCTATTCTGCATTCTGGATGGAGATCAGATGCTGTTTTGCTCAGCCCTGTGCTCAACCTCATTTGTTATGATTCTTTTTTGGGTGTTTTTTCTTCTTTGCAGCTGCTGATTTTCAAACAGCTATTATGAAGAGTGAGTTTAAATGAATATGCAAATTTCTACACAATGGCACACCTGTTTTCTGTAGGTGAGAGCATTGCCATCTTACTTTGATGGGCAATGTTGTGTTTTTTCCACCAGACACCATATTTGGGATGTCTGCCATTTTAAACGTGACCAGCAGATGGCAACAGTTATAACTTTGAGTAATAATACTTTATCTAACTTCCAACGTAAATTTCTAATCGTTATTTGTTTTTCCAGCCCTGATGCCCGAGTTTAATTAGTGATTAAGGAAAAACTGAAACAGATACCTCAATTTTTTTAAGCTCACACCAGGCAATGAGGTTGAATACTTTTTCCAAACAGAAACATGGAATTCACTTTCCATTTCATCCCCTATTCAACCACCACACAAATATATATATGATGTCAAGCAATCTGGTCGAGTTTGCGGGCTTTCAACTGACTATTTGAATAAAATTATATGAATGAGCGTCACAACCTGTTAGTATCTAACAGATTACTTGTAGTAGTTCAAGTAATTGTTATAAAGTGGTTATTTTGAAGTATCTTCAAGAAAATGTCAACTGTTTGGTAGTGAGGTTCACTTCAACACGCACAATCTAATTCCCTCATTCAAAACAGTCACATAGGATGTTGTCTTCAAATCGAAAATCCATCTTTGTGTTGCTTTCACGCATTCGTTTAACGAGTTTCCAATTTCCCATCGACACTTGAAGCCGTCACAAACGCTTGATCCTGTTCCACAACTTTTCCGCCCGCAGAGCGACCGGGATGTGGGATGAAAATAAAAAGATGTCAACAGCGTTGGAGCTGTAATCCAGGATTACTCCCCGCTTCCATCACTAGTTCCACATGGCGAATTCAAGTTTTCCCCAAACTCCAAGCCCTCCTCAGGCTCACCGGGCAGAAATCATGGAAAACCCCCTCCAGGTGAGTTTGTTGAACTTTCAGCGTGGCATGCGAGACAAGATGTTTCAGGATGCTAAAAAATACATGCTTATTGAAATAACAAAATAATAAATGTGTTCATTTTTCGTGTCATCGTCCATTTTCTTTATAATAAATGATAAAGCAAGACAGTAGGTCGTACAGTTCCTCAGCCTTTTCTGGGATATTTCTCTGTTTTACATCAAAGCTGTCAGCTCAAAATAAGTTCTTTACACACGTCATAGGTTTACATATTACATTTAGACATTTTTGTATAATAATACAATGAAACACTGTTGTTGAACTAGATTGCTTCCCATAAATAGCAGAATGAAAAACGTGTATAAGCAAAAAAAAAAGCCAAATATTGTTAACATGTTAAAGTTGCTTGGTTTGTCTGGACCTGTAAGATTAAAGATTCCCTTTTTTTCAGGAACTTCTTTGTCAGAAGGAAGTCACACTTTAATACAGAAGGATATGAAGTTATCCATAAAAGAAAAAATCCAGTCAAAACGGCTTCTTTTTTGTATGTGATGAAAAAGGAAAAGGAAGCTTGACAGTGCATAGATCTGGCACCTGTATGAGTCATTTTCTAAAGTGGTCATGAATAAATATTGTGTTGAAAAGCTTATTGTCCTATGTTTGAAACTTTCCAAATTGCCTCTACTAATCAGTCTGATAAATCAGAGATTGAGAGTGTGTCTCTGATCATTTGGGTTTGTAAAGCTCTTGCTGTGCCTTTGCAGGTCCTCTTGACCTCCTACTTTTTTCCAAAGACACATTTTCCTTGTGTACTAATGACTCCGTAGTGTCTTCTTTTGCCACATTTCCTCTGTTTGACATTACCGATGAGAGGCAGGGAGAGAAACAGAAGAGTAGCAAAGGAGGGATGAGAGGCGTGAGTAATGGCCCATGGGTGGGTTGTAAGAGAATAGACCTACTGTAACACGTCCGAAGCAGCTGGCTAATGGTCCCCACAACCCACCATCCCAAGGGAGAATCTCAGCAGCCATGGGACAATATGTGTCTGTCTCACTCTTAGACAGCTTTGCAAAGTTATGAAACGCAGTACTGTAAGTGTTGATGTCACTAAATAAAGCCTGCCTTTTAAGAGGTTGTCTTTATGGTTGCTCTGTACAGATGTTTTCATGACTTAATAACACAGTTAAACAAACACTTAACAAAATGTTAATAACGTGTGTACGTGCCATAAATGGTGAAGTATGAGAGTGAAAGGACACTGGTTAGTTGAGAAGACCCCAAATGAGATATATATTTGAAATGTTTCACCTAGAGGAAAGAATTGGGTTTAATTATTTAATTGCCCTATCTTTGTGTGGCTTCGATGTATGTAAAGTTCTAAGAATAACCCAATGTGTTGTTTATCCTTCTGGCTATGTTTTTTTGCTTCATGTTATTAGTTCAGTGCCTTGATCGTGGTTGCTGCCTTACTTTTTAAACATGCTGTTTAAAGTTGAAAAGTGTCCCGTTCTCAGTGGAACTCATTATGGGCAAATAATAGTTTCTAGGCTATATATTTTCACCACTGCAACACACTTAGTTTCCAGCAGTTCGGCTAATTACATAAAAATGTATGTCTTTCCTTCTGATTTGCCACCTTTATTGCCCATCCCTCTTCTGACTTCACTGTCACTGAAAAGATCAGCCCATCCAAGAGGGGAACAAATCCCTATTGTTAGTTCGCACAATGGACTATGCTGTTTGTTTGTATGTATGTTAGTCCAAATGATAGTTGGTCAGTGTCCTAGAGAAGAGAAGGATTAATGCCCATCGTTCCCCAAATCAGCCATCAAGCTCATTCAGCTTCAAATTTAGGCTTTTTGGTGAGAAATGTAGTTTTTAAATTGGAACTAGTTCTTGTGTTCTATTCTGATTCCACTGTACTTTGTTCATGTTGGTTAAAAAAAAAAGAAAAAAGGTACGTGCGAAGAAAGTGTAAATTTTGCCTTTATGAGGAAGGTAAAAATCCTTTTCTAGGACAGATGTTGGGTGTTGCTCAAGTTACAAACAGTGCACAAGGTCAAATAAAAAGCCTTCATGAACACAGAAATAATGTGTTTGCATTTATGTTGGATTTGTATTTACTCATTCACTTCCGTTTAAACACTGTTCACATTTCACTTAGATGGCCAATAGACTGAATATTGACACTGGGCGAAGATTGTCTTGTGACAATGATATATTTTTTTTAAATCTTGCTATTAAAACTTTATTGACTGTTGCAGAAGTGTCTTCTGATTAACTTTGTGTCATTGTGACTTTGAGGATCTCCATTAAAACAACACCAGGATGTCTTTCATATGTTTTCAGTTATACTGGTAGCAGGGCTCACATCTTGAACGTAATGAATAGAATATTGGTTTAACTTATTTAGTTATTCACAGTGTTTGGTTTCGGATTTCCTGAAGTATAGCTAACAATCACACATGTAGCCACGAATCAGGCTTTTAAATGGGTAAGCTAGTACCTAAAAAAGTTGCAGTATCTCAAAATCAATCTTGAAAATCTTACTTAAATGAATAAAATGACTTACTTTCCATCATTATGGACAAAAATATGGCCTACCTTTAAATGTTTACCTGTATTAACAGAACATGCCCTCAATGATTTTTGTGGTGTGCTGTCTTTTTCTCTCTGCAGGATATGTGTGTAATATTTGCTAAGTAATCCGGCAAGCAAAAGGCACTCCCAGCCAGGGCTGCTTTGTTTGTTCTTCCTGTCACAGGAAAACTCTCGCTCTTCGTCTGTCTCTACTACTTCCTTTCTCTTTCCTATACTCTCCTGTGACTTTGTCTTCCTCGGTTTGTGGAGAATTTAAATTATCTTGTCTAAGTTTGTGGAGAATCCAGTTTCTCTTGTCTAAGTAGGTTGCTTTATTCCTGCCATGACCTTCTGGACTTCCAAAATCAGTTTTTACCAACACAGACAAAAATCAAATGTAGAAAATAATAATTCATTGTAACTGGTTTGAATTCACGGGCTTTGTAAACCTGATATGTCGTAAATAAAACCAATAGAGGGTGGGATTAATCCCAGTTCACACTTGAAACTGCTGTTTTCGGTGTTAAGTCTGCAGAATGAATGATCCTCAAGCAGTACACCACCATAACACACAGTTTCTTACACACTCACACAGTCAAACACCTTATCATGCCCTCTGTTGGTATTACCAGAGGCCTCCTTATGGCTCAATATCAACAGAGCAGAGGTGCCACTCACACCCTTTCCTGGAAGGCTCAACAAGGTTATTGATCTTGATTTAGTGAACAGAGAACATATGATGGATTTTGCCGTCTGTTGGATGATAAACGGAGCTGAGTCCAAGCCACCCCAGCCCCGTCTGTGTGTCTGCTTCAACATTTGAGCCTGTCACTGTACACACAAACGCGTATACTTTACTTTGATGTGATATCAGTCCCCCTAGGAATCTCATCAGCAGTCTACTCATCTTCTTCCTCCCAACTCTTGTTTACCTCTCACACACCACAATCATCAAACAGATATGCAAACACACCAATCGAAGTCTAGATCCAGCTGGTTCTGGTTCTGTATAATTATTTCTAAGGTACGTTTCAGGTCAGTGGGCATAGACTTGGTATTAGACCGGGAGCTAAAGTGAAAGTGGAGGAGAAGGATAAAGGAAGATAAAGGGAAAGGAGAATAATAAATCTAATGTGGCAGCTTTTAATCTGAATTTTATCCACCAGGCTTAACATTTTTACAAGGACGGTGAAGAGATAAGACATATTATGCTATAAATATTGATTTTGATTTCATAAAGTTGTATGTTGGATAGAGTTATGTTGTGATGAAGAAGTACGTCAGAAAATATTCGCAATGAGTTTGGGGGTTTTAGGGAAAATGCAAACAAAGCTTCTCCTTATCTCTTCATTTCTACTATGAGACATGCAATCATTTCTTTTATTTATGTTGTTTCATTTTTCTTTTAGTTGATTCAACACCTAGAGAATGTCTTAAGTATTGATTTAAGATTATTTCTTATCAAAACTGAAGTCATTTTCATTTGAACAGAGGGGTTACATAGAAAATATCAGCTAGCTCACTTGCTAAAAGAAAGCTGTTGAAAGAGATTAAAAGGATTTTATTCATCTTTCATTCAAACTAGTTTCCTCTGACAGCATAGCTGTTGTCAAGAGTGTAATGTGTTCAACCCCCCCCCCAAAATGCCTTGTTTGCTAAAATGAATAACTGACCTTTAAGATTCATACACTAACATGTCTTTCGGTTTTTATTCTTGTGCAACTGTGCCTGACCTGGTAAAGTGTCACCTTACTGAAAACTGTTCCGTGTTACTTCTTCTCCTCTGTATTCCCTCTCTTGACAGGTCTCTTGCCCTTTTTGTGTTCCCCCAGTATTTCCCCTGCAACCTCCCCCATAATGCTCTTTCAAGACATACAGTTATGGTTTATTCCTGTGTCGACTCCTCCAGTGTTCTCATCGCTATATTTTCATCCGTCACATTCCACCCCCAGCTGTGTTTTTTGATTCCTTCATAAAGTTTGTCCACCCACAGGCACAAGTGTGTTTATGACCTGAAATTAAATTTAATCTTCGTGGTAATAAGTCTCGGGTATAGGGAAAGAAAAAGTTTGTTCTCCTTAGATCACATAAAAATGGTTAACCCACCCTTAAAGTTGGCTAAATAAAGATGTAAGTAATGTCTGAACATATTGTTCAAGTATTTAGAGATAATTTGTTTACTTGTGTTAGGGAAATATTCCATTTTTTTATAACTCTAACCACAAGCATAAACTGGATTAAACGGGCATAGAAAATGGATGGCCAGATAGTCTAACTACAGAAAAAACTGCTCTATTGCTTTTAGGATGTCTAATTTTTACTTAAAAGTAAGATTTTCAGATTAGTTAATGCCCTAGAGAAGTTTTTAATAACTAACATGGACAGAGGAGTATCCGATGTGGCTACCATGCTCAGAAACAGCGATAACAGCTGAAGTAATAAACTCTTCATGCCACTCTTGGTACTTTGTGTCTCGGTGAGTCATATGAAATATAAGCTAATCTGTGAGCTCACAATACGCAAATTCTACTCAATTTACTACTTTTACAACAGAATTCAGTTCAAATGATATATTGTAAGATGTTTTAATGGATATCAGGTGAAACTCTGCACAATTCTATTTAAAAAAATCAAACTTCGTCTCATATATAAAAAACCCATTCACGTTGTCACATAGTTCTCTATGTTAACACTGAAGGCATTATCATTGATTCATAAAATGTTTTTCACTTAAATGTTTGTCTCATTTTGCATCATTCATTAAAACATTAGTAGTTGTTGACCAGTAGGAAAGTTATCTTATGAGAGATTAGGCTAAAACTATACATGGTTTTAAGTCAAGCCAAAAATATTGTTTTATTTTTAATCCTGTTTAACCTATACATATCTTTTCTGATTAATTATTTTCTTAGAGAATTAGAAATTGCATTTTAAATTCCCATTATACTAAATAAATGTTGAAATAAATAAAAAATTTAATTAAACATGAATTCGTTTTATGAAAATAAAAACATGTGTCTTATAGCCAGATAGCTATACATTTAGCAAATCTTTATATTGTCAGTAAGTGTATTTTTACTCAGGACATAATATAATGTATAATTGTGTTTACTTACCTGCATCTCAAGTCACAAATGTCATGGGAGAATTATTACAGAGTGTTTATTTTTTCTGTGTATCACATGTCTATATTTTTCAGCGGTGTTTTGAGTAGATGAGTGTAAGGGTATGATTTGTAAATACACCCGAACGTCAGAACAAAACACCAATGAAACATTCTTCTCTTTCTCTCTGTAGTTGTCATGCAAATGACAGATGTGACAGCTGGAGGCAAGGAAGGCCAGAGAGTATGAGGATTGCTTGGAGTTGTTTGACAAGCAGAATCTCATCTAATCGTCTTCTTGTTTGTTGTACATTTGCACAGACTTATCTTCTGGGGATCATAACATCCATATGTGGGAATGTCCTCATCAGCGTTTCTCTCAACATACAGGTACAAATGTAGCCGTACAGTTCTCAGCACAGTTCTATTTATTTTTTCCTTATTGTTTTCTCTTTCTTACAAACAAAATATCTGAACTTACCGTTTTTCAGATAGCTCTGTGAGGTACAAAAACTTTTTGAAATAGCTCAAACCCTGTATAATTATAAGTTAACCCAACTTGTTTGATTAGTAAAAAAAAAAAGTACAAATGGAGCACATACAAAGTTTGTATTATTAAGTTTGGGGCTTAATGTGTGTAAAGTTTACAGTTACCTAAAAGCCCAGGTTTTACAGTTTTGGGTTAAAAAAGACTGGGGTTCTTCGATTCTGTGGATTCTATAACACAGTACCAGTATGCTGTCCTATATGTTCAGTTGTGCTTTGTTTATTAAAATTCTATGTGGGAAAGTTTCAACTAGACATAAAAAACTCTATAAAAGATATCTACTGACAGTTAATTAATGCTAAGGATTTGCTACCAGAGATAAAATTGTTAATCAAGTATAGTTTATATTTGTATCAGGATTGTACAACTTCACACTTCATTGACTCGCTTAATTGGTGTCAAGCTGTTTCCATGATGAAATGCTAATTAGCAGAGGAAGCTGTTTAGTGCCTTGTGACAGCCAATGTGGTCCTTTTCTCTTATATCACATCTTTTTTTAGCCTTTAAATGTTTACCTGCCAGGCTGTTGTTGTCTAAGTGGTGTTTCAATTTATGCAGCTCTACATTTCCACTTAAATTGACTGATTAATCCTCTTCCCAACAGAAATATGCCCATGTCCGTCAGGCTCAGCGTGGCTCCAAGCCTTACTACACCTCTGCGATGTGGTGGTGTGGTGTGGTCCTCATGGGTGTCGGGGAGTTGGGGAACTTTGCAGCCTACGGCTTTGCCCCAGCATCACTAATAGCCCCTCTGGGCTGTGTGTCTGTTATAGGTATGTGGAAACTTTTTTTTCCTCATATATATTCCATGTACAATTAGAAGAAGAAGCAATGCCTCCTTGGGGACCAACACAAATAGTTGCTGGATTTTGTCTTCATTCCTGTCTTCTGATTTTGTCATCAATAAGCTTCATGATAATAAGTATTTGCTTTATGAGCTTCAATTTATAGAGTGATATCTGGATATTCGATAGAAAGTGGTGACTTTTGCACGGCATACATTTAGTATCCATTTGATAATTGTAAAAAAAAAAAGGTATTTATCAGAATAACTTTTATTATTACACAAAAATATTTGCATATGCCGGTTTGTAGATATAGACCAAAGAAACACTTCTTGTTCAAACAAGTTGGAAAGATTCATTCTTTGTGATGTTCTGTTTAAATAAGTCATGTGGGGGGGAAAATTACACCCTCTGTCATTTCTACATTTGTAGATTTCATGAGGTATTAAAACAGAACATCTGGTCCTTACTGTGTCTCAAAATGAGGTAAATACAATTTTGAAGGAACAACAACATGACATATTGTATGTTATCATTAATTTACAAAAGGAAATGGAACTAAAATGCACAAATGAAAGTAGAATAAGACCATCTCTGATGCAGTAGCTTGTACAATTACCTTTAACCCTCAAATCAGATTTGCTGATAGACATTCTATTTCACTCATTGTATCATATACCGATGGAAGAAATTTGGATGACAAAATTATTGGACGGATGGCCTTGTTTGACTCTAGAATACTTTGATACACAAAGTTCAAAACAACGAGCTTCCATCTGGTCTGCTTGTTCCTTGATTGAGCTGTCTTGACCATATTTTCAAAATTCAAATTTTCACATCTCCATCTCCAGTGTTTGAATAAATCAACTTATTCTAGTTTCCGGTCATTGAGTTTTTTTCTGTCTTTCATACCAAGCCACTTCAACTCAAGGGAGTATATTTTCATTAGAGTTATATGTCCTCTGACCTAAATTTGAGAACTTCTCTTTGAGGAACCAGCATAAGACTTTTGTATGAAACCCTGCAGGGGTGGAGAGGCCCATATTATTCATCAAAGTTCTACTTCAGACCCATATCCCTTTTCTTAGCATTCATTGATGCATTTCATAATTTTTCACGCCACATATCTGAAAATATATTTTATGCACCGTCTCACCGGTTGTTTGAGAAATACAGAAAATACATAAAAAGCACTGTACCACAGAGCCAGGAATACTGTTTGAAAGAGAAACACATCATTGACCACAATGCAGGATGCACATTAGGTTTAAATGAGTGCAGAGTGAGGAAGAATGCATCATGGGAGACCCCCCATTAGTTTTACTTTTCAACAGCATGACATTTGGAACTTGTCAGGTTCACTTTAGCCATCCTTTACTATAAGTCTTGTGAAAAAGGAAGTCTTTAAAACTATTCTGCAGATGGTGTCTGATCCCTGAACCCAAACTAGGAGCTAGTTCCACAAAAAAGGGGGTTAAAGGATATTTCTCCCATAATACTTTTACAAAATCAAGGAACCCTAGGTAAGTACACTGTTGGGAAAACATCAGACTAAAAGATAAGGTGCACAACCAAAAAATGTTTAAAAAAAATGTATAAACTTTATTCTGAATTTTATAGGTAGCCAATGAAGAGCAGATAAAAGAGGAGAATTAAAAATCTAGTTTTAATAAAAAACTGGCTGTAGTAATAATATGGGCCTCTCTACTAACCCTAGTAGTAGTAGTACTAGTTGTAGTAGTTGTAGCAGTGGTATTAGTATTTTTAGATGGACTGGTTATTTGAACTTTTTTTTACTTTTTACTTTTTCAAAGTATACACTTCCATTTAAAAAATATGGAGAATCAATTGACCAAACATTAGCCAAAGAGTCAATTAATGCTGCATCAATTTTCAATTCCAATTTCACATATAGCACCGGTCCCGAAATTTTATTATGAACACACGACAGGAAACCTATTTACTCCTTACATCATAAAATTCAAGATCTTGCTTAATAAAGCTGATTTATATGATCCACAGTTTTTACCCAAAGATGGCCTGAACATCGTTGGATTCATTAGCCTTTCAAAACAAGGCCTGCCCACATTTTACAGCTGCCAGCTGCTTCTGTGTAAACTCTCTAAATACAGGTTAAATATTGAACAGGTTCACTTCTCACCTCCTGCCACCCATTACTCACTGCACTGGAGGTGGTGATGACTCAACACTATTAATGACAGCTATTACCCTGCTGCTTTGTACAATTTTCTTACAACTCTGTTTTGCAAATGGATGGCTTTAAAAGCAACCACAACTCTTTTTGAAACAGCCGTACCCTTGATCTTGACTTGAAAAATGCCTTTACAACAATAACAAGGCTTCAGCAAGAGGGACTACTCAGCTCCAACCTCGCAATGCATGATCAGTGTATATAAATCAGAATTTACTGCAGACTATTTCTGTTCTAATATCCAATCTAATATGTATCCTTCCAACAAGCTCGTATTCCTAGACAGAAGTGGAGTGCAGATAAATATTCCAGGGCTCCACTGTGTCTTGAAGGGCATCCTGACAAGTTAATTCACCGGAGATAAAGAGTGGAAATGAAGATGAAGGACAGGAAGAAGTCTGCAGCCGTGACGTGCTCTGGCCTCACAGCTAAAAACTGAACGGAGAGTGTGTGTCGCATGCTCTCTTCATAACTGTCACCGCACGCTGACTCACACATATGGCAATAAACAAACACATGCGCGTACCTGCGTGATTTGCGCATAACTGTAGCGGTGTTTAAAAAAACCCCAGACGATCAGATGTTGTCCATCAGAGAGGCTCCTTTGGCTAACACGCACAGAACGACGCACACACATTTGGTTCCTGCTGTGCTCTTTTTCCTCTTTTTCGAGAGATGTGTGATGCCTCAGAGGGGGGGAACAGATTGTAGGATGCATTCAGTGAGAACAAACAAGAGAAAACTAGTTGGCTGCTTGAGTAGCTGAGGGAATAAAAAGATGTCTGGAGGCAGAAAGAGGAAGGGACTGAAGTGAAGAAACGAAGAGGAAAGTATTGGACGATGAGAAGGTAAATGCATGTAATGAGACAACTGACAGAGCTGTATAAATAGCTGAAAGTAGACGTTTGGAAGGAAAAAGGAGACAATCGAGGGAGCTGATGATGCTGTTGCTGTTGTCATCCGCCTGTCCATGCATGTCACACCAGCAGTCCAAGACTCTACAGAAAGCAATTACTGCTGTCCTGTCCACAGCGCTCCCTCTATTAGGAATGACAGCATTGTCCCACTGTTGGCGTATGGAGCAGCGCATCAGCCTCTTTCTCTCAGATACCGTGTCATCACATTGGAAGGGGGTGGAACGCTGGCATGGGCGTAATAGAGGAAAACATTCAGTATGAGTATCACTCACAGATATTGCACCTGTGGCACAGAATCAAAAGATGTGCTGTTAGCTCAGTGACAAGCAGTCAGACTTCCAGGTTTATGCAGGGGCAATTATTTAAAAATTTTTATAAACAGGTTATTGAAAATGAACAGGATTTTTATTTTTATTTTTTTATTTTTTTTTATTGTGGAAGCAAAACATAATAGTAATTTACAAATAGTATAGAATCTGTTCCATGTCTTTTTTTTTTTACATGCAGTACCCAATATCTCTCATTTGTAGTGGTCAAAGAGATAACTCATACACACACACACACACGCACACAAACACACACAGGAAAAAATAAATCGAAATAAATAAAAATATAATAAAAAATAAACTAAAATAAATAAACGGGGCGGGGTGGGGGGTTGAACAGGATTTTTTAATGAATAGAAAAAGTCAAGCAGATGTTTCTGAAATGTATGATTTTTTCATTTTAGGTTAAAGTTGGGTATACCATTGCCTCTTTTTCTATAGTAAGTTCTGTAAGTCAGACTATATTTTTCCGCTGATGAAAACAACCCACACACAAATAATAAAAACTCCAAAAAGCTTCCACAATTGAGGCTCTCTTGGACATAACAGGCAGACTTTTGCCACTTTTATCTGTTCCCTCATCTCTGTAGTGAGTGAAGGCCAGACATGGTGTATTTTCCCACTGGGAGGTTCTTGTTATACATCAGAGAGACCATGTATCGAGGCAGTACTCATCTGATGCACACGCACGTAAAAAAAAGTCAACACACACACTCAGGAGCAGTGACACAACTACATCCCCCAGAGGTTCCTGTTGCCACATTTCTCATTTTATCAAGCTGTGTGAATCTCACTTTGCTACGAGTTGCTATGGTTACTTGTTAGACCCAGCTGGTTCCAGAGGCAAAAGGAGCAGTCCTAGATGTGTGTGTGAACATGCTCACAGTATGAAATATTTAAGAAGTTCCTCTTTCATCAGATTATGGAGGGGAGTATATATTAACCTTCCGTTTCAAACGTCTCGTGATTCTTTCAGATAAGGTAGGTCTGCATAAAGTACAATGAGCACAACTGCATGAGAAAAAGATTTAAAATGAATCATCCTCAAGAAAGTTTTTTACATATGGTAAAGGTGCTTCAAACTTCTGTTTTCTTATACATTTTCCCTGTTGATAACATTTCCAAAAAGGTACGACTCTACCTGTGTTTCATGTCACTGCTAAGAGCATGTCTTTCTGGCCTTATCAGCACAGAAAGCCTAAAACATGTAGTAGATTTTCTAATGATGGTACCAGAATTTGTGCATAGTCTCAAATCACCTCTTTCAATGTGCTATCACCTACTCTCCCTCTTGCCGGCATTAATCCACCACCTACCAGCAAGTGCAGCTGCCACAGCTGACTCTTATATTAAAATATTACCATATTCCAACAAATAATGGAGGATTATTTTACAATGTGGTTGTTAGTTGTTGAGAAACTCCTACAGAGGTGTTGTATAAGATGACCTCCTCCCTGGATGCTATCATATTTTTATTTTTGCCTTCATGTCCATTGCCTTATTTGTGTGGTTTGTTTTCTGTATCGGGCAGTTTATCTGTCTGTTTGTCAGCATGTGTGCATGTCCACATGCATATCTACCTGTTTTGACCATCATCTTTGTGACAGCAATATGCTAAGAGTATTCCTCCCCCTCATTTCGGTTCATATCCCTGGAAAAACATTAAGAAGGTTAATCTGAGGATTAGCCCATGTACAACTTATTGCTTTTCACCCTCTCAAATTTTGACAATGATACAGATTAACGGCTTCCGGACAAATGTGGCAGGGAGTAACATTTTGGCACATTTTGATGCCTGTATTATGAAATTCTAATGGGCATAAGGAAAAACTATCAGGAGGCAAAGACTTGTGTGAAGTTCTTGTTCCATTGTTCTTGCTTTTTCAGTGTTACATAATGTGGAAAGAAATACCGTGGTGCTCCTGGCTGTTTGTTAATGGCCACTAAAGTAATTTAAGTAAACTCTTTTCATTTTCTTCGCAGCTAGTGCTATCATATCTGTGATTTTCTTGAAGGAGACCGTGCGGGCTTCTGACATTGTTGGTAAGAAAACTTGGACTTACAATATTCCGACGCAATATATAGTGCATAATACATTTAATATCTTTCATACTGGCCTTTCACAAAACCCTGATAGAAAAAGATACAGATTCAATTACATTTTAACACCCTACATACTGTGTATATATAAGACAATTTCGTCTGGCTTTCCGAAAAAAAGAGCCAAACTCATACCAAATTATAAAAGCTATTATTTACCATGATAATATGTTGAGTCTTCTGCTGCTGGGAGCGCCATGTTTATCATACCCAGCACATTGACCATCATCACAACCTGCCGCTTTGCAAAACCATATCAGCTCCACACAGCTTTGGGTCCAAATAGGGTAGATTGTTTTTCTTTTGCTATTTTCTCATCATATTTGTACATCATTGTTCAAATATTGGAAGCATTCTCACAAAATCTCTGGAAGCCAGTTTGCTTTTTAGGAATACTTTTTTGTCAAGGCAAGAAATAGTAAGGTATACTAATTATTTATCAGCCACTAATTGTGCAAGTTCTTCTACTTAGAAAATGAGATGCCTGTAATTCTCATTATAGGTACACTCCAACAATGAAAGGCAAAATGGGACTACAAAATCCAGGAAATCACATTGTAGGATTTAAACTATGGTGGAAAATAAGTATTTGCGCAATAACAAAAGTTCAACTCAATACTTTGTATCATAACCTTTGTGGTCCATGACAGAGGTAAAACATTTCCTGTAAGTCTTTACCATGTTTGCACACACTATAGCTGGTATTTTTGGCCTTTTTTGGTAGAGCAGGGACTTCAACACAGCGTTTCAACTCCCTTGAAAAGTTTTCCATGGGGGTTGTGGTCCGGAGACTGGCTGGACCAGGGGTGTCAGAATCCAGTCCTCGAGGGCCGCTGTCCTGCAGGTTTTAGACATTTTCCTGCTTCTACACACCTGATTCTTATTAAATTGGATCTCCTCTGGACATTGTTGAGCTTTGCACCTGTCTAATGGCCCTTTGTTGTGAATCAGGTGTGTTGAAAAGGGGTTACCTTCTAAAACCAGCAGGACAGCAGGCCCTCGAGGACTGGAGTTTGACACCCCTGGGCTAGACCAAAGCAGGACCTTGAAATGCTTTTTATGGAGCCACTCCTTCGAATCCCAGCAGTGTGCTGGAAGACTTCAATTCCCTCACTGATGTGAGCAAAATCTTACAATGCATGGTCCCATTAATTCTTTCCTCAGCACAGATAAGTCATCCAATCCCCTATGCAGAATAACAGCCCAAAAGCATGATGTTTCCACCCCCATGCTTCACAGTAGCTTCCTCCATACATGACAAGTTGAGTTTTTAACAACTTTTTTTTTCGTCTGACCACATGATATTCTCCTAATCCTCTTCTGGCAAACTTCAGAAGGGCCTGGAGTTGTAGGGGGACACGCCTGACACTGCAGGATTTGAGTCCCTCTCAGTGTAGTGTGTTACTGATGGTAGTCTTTGTACTTTGGTCCCAGCTCTCTGTAGGTATCTCATTAGGTCCCTCAGCATAGTTCTGGGATTTTTGCTCACCACGGGAGATCTTGCGTGTTTCCTAGATCGAGGGAGATTATCTTGTATGTTTTCCTTTATTTTATTTTTTTTAATTGCTTCTACAGTTGATTTATTCCCACCAACCTGCTTGCCTATTGTGAATTCACTCTTCCCAGCCTGGTACAGCACTACAATTTTCTTTCTGGTGTCCTAGGACAGCTGTTTGATCTTGACCATGGTTCAGTTTGAAGTCTCACTGTCTAAGGTTGTGGACAGGTGTGTTTTATACAGATAATGAGTGGAGGACAGGGTTTCTTAAAGAAGTTACAGGTCTGTAAGGGACAGACATCTTGCTTGTTGGTGGGTGACCAAATACTTATTTTCCACTTATTCCACTTATTTTACAATTTACACATAAATTCTTTTGAAATCCTACAATGTGATTTCCTGAAATTCTCTTTCTCATTTTGCCTCTCCAAGTTGAAGTGTATCTATGATGAGAATTACAGACTTCTCTTATCTTTCAAAGTAGGAGAACTTGCACAATCAGTGGCTGACGAAATATTGTTTTGCCGCACTGTATCATTGCACTTATGGTGTCTTTTAGAAGAAAGATGAGGGATGGATGGAACTAGTAAAGGAAAAATGTTTGACCACAATCTTACATTTTATTTCTCTTTGTATAGGTGGCACATTGGCAATTACAGGAACATACGTGCTGGTGACCTTTGCCCCCCACAATTCCACACACATTACAGCGCATCTGGTCCAATACTATGCTGTCAGCTGGTATTTCCTGCTTTACCTGGTGTGTAATCTTTTCAACACGTTCACTGCTCGTTTTTATGAAGATAACCTTTAATTTAATCTGTTATTTAACATCAAACAGTGCGTGAAAAGCATCAATTAATTCCCATTGTGTCCCTGAATGCAAAACTTGATGCTGTCCTTTACATCACTGGCTGTGTGTTTGGACTTGTTCATCTACAGGGTTCCTCCTTTTAGACTGTTCTCACTTCTATGGATGTTATTGTATTTACTTCTTTTTTTAAGGTTTTGTGTTTTGCATTCTGTAGTAAAACAAGAACAAAAAAATTATGTTGCCTTCAGCCCGTTGTGAGCAAGCGTTTTTACAGCAATGCAGATGCTCATAGTCCAATATAACCTCATTCAGGGATGGCATAAACATTTTCGTTGCCATAGTAACACAGCTGAAGCACAGAGCTGAGCTTAAAAAAAACTTCTAATTATCAAAACATTCATTTTGACTCCAAATGTTAACATTCAATTTGTAAAACACCTCAGATTTAGCAGGAGTTTATGTCTTTCTGTTTTTCCATTGATTCTCTCTATATTCTTTCTTCCTTTCACAATCAGACTTTGTACAGGTACAGCATTGTGAAATATACATACAATGAGAAAAAACAGGCACTGTTTTTATTTAGTCTTGAATGTAGGATCTGTCAGGATTGACTTGTCAACAGGAAATAAAAAAAATCCACAAAATGGAATAATATGTAAATCTATGTTGAGATGCCATTCCAAAAAATGTTTTCTGTCAAAGTATAGTCATTGAGCTTTTTTCATTTTTTTAAACAGAAACAAGACAGCAAACCCTAAATACAGGAAATGATACATAGGGAAAATATTATCCGGGTGACAAAGCAAAAACATACCTAGTCACACAAGGCAAAATAGATAAGAGAAACAAAACCAAAATGTCCACAGTGGTTGTCAAAACGACATTTAAACCATCTATTTCAGAGTATAAATGCAGGGATAGTTGTTTTACATGCCATTCCAAATTTAGACTATTACAGTTTTTGTTTCGAGTTAAAAAGCTATCTCCAAATAATCATGTAGAGCAAAATAAAGTAGATAATACACCCAGCAGCTTGTTGAGGTCCAGAGGTGTACATAGGGACTGAGTAGTCTTGGCAGAGGTTCCAACATTGTTCAAGATAAAACATTTATTTCTCAAATCTGGCCCCGAATGCCAAAACAGACTAAGCAGTGCCAAAACAAACACAAAAACAGAGAGTACATCCATCGTTCTCTTTTGTATCGCAGCTTAAACTGGCTGGAGCCTATCCACAGTCATAGTACACCCTGGACTAGTCAACAGTACAGCAAGTTTTAAATCTAAGAGTCTCACACTAGCTTTTGCAGATGATTCATCAGAGGAATTGAAATATCAATTGGTGAGATTTCATTATTTCCAGAGGTCACTGCATCACTGGTATCTCTCATCGTGTGTGTAGCGTGAACTACTATACCTACCAATACTGTCTCAAGTGTTCGTTAATCCATTTCCACACAGAATCGTTTTTGGTTTGCCTTTTGTTTAACTTACTGTGACACCTTGATGATAATGACAGACATTTAAGGGACAACCTGCCCTTTTATCCTTGTAACTGCTCCTTTCTTATTCTCTATCCATTAGAGCTGTCTCCTGTGAGGTCTGTGAACAACTGAATGCTATTCAACTCAAAGGCAGCCCCTGGCGCTTCTCATTAAAGACAAGAAATTCATTTAAATTGTTTTGCCACGATCATTTGTCTCAATTAAAACGTGATCGACTCTGGCGTTATATAAAACAGGCAGTTAGTAAAATTGAAGCTCAGTTTTTCATTTTCTGTGCAAAGTTTAATAAATGTAACCTACATTAATGGCTTATAGAATCATCTTCTGTGTTCTCTCAACAGTTTATCGAGGTCATACTCTTCTGTATCCTGCTCTATCTGTACAAGATAAAGAAGGTGAAGCACATAGTCATTGTGATGCTGCTGGTGGCTCTGCTTGGTATGGACACCCAGATACTGTCTAAATGAGGGGAGAGGGTGTGGATTAAGCCATTTTCTGTCATCAGAGGTTTTTCTTGTTGCCAGGTTACAAAAATGGACCTCTGCTCTGCTATAATGTCTGTAAAATGATGGGTAGAGAAAATAAGGACGTCCCCTGTAACTCTATTTAACGAATTACATTGTAGTAAAAAAAAGTATTTGTAAGTTGTAGAAATAATGCAGCTGCCTCTGTGTGCTTGCAGCCTCTCTCACAGTAATCTCAGTCAAAGCCGTGTCAGGGATGATCACAGAGTCTATAAAAGTCCAGCTGCAGCTCATCTACCCCATCTTTTACGTCATGCTCGTCGTCATGGTGGCCTCCTGCGCATTCCAGATCAAGTTAGTCCAGTTGTCGTCTCAGCCTCTCTGCACTTATATTTCTAAATCTGATGTTTTAATGTGTTTCCTAAATCTCCTTTTTTTACCCTCTGCAGATTTCTCAATCAGGCAATGAAAATGTTCGATGCCACAGAAGTGGTTCCGATCAACTTTGTGTTCTTCACTGCCAGTGCCATTGTTGCAGGTAGACAAAGCACATATTTGTTCAGAGATCATCTTAACTTTATAAAGTTTTCAAAAACAAGTGAAATGATATGTTGTACTTCTTTAATGTTGAAAAACCACTTGAAAACCAAGAAATGATCCTTTTACTGACATTTGGTAGGATAGCATGATCTTAAATAATGACTGTTTATGTTTTTTTAAAAAGCCCCATTCTTTTAGTGGTACAAGTGCACATCAGCAAACCAAAACTGCTACTTAAGTCCCCCAACTTATTCATAATTATGTTGAATAATATTTAATCAAATTATCATGATTTCTTCCAACAACACTAAGTCTAAGACATGCAACTTTTGTAGAAAGGGTACACTGCCTGGATCAAAATGTTGGCAAGATAATTGTTATAAAAGGTTTATCAGCACAGGTTTAATTCTCACAGTATTTATTTAGCATGCTAGTTCATAATTATTACAATAAAAAAGTCACACGAAGAGATAAGGCTCTGAGATAAGAAGTGCCATTTCTTTTTCAGGTACTGTATTTGGTTGCAATTACTTTATTCAAAGATGTTCACTTGAGCATATGTTGTATTTACTGACAATCATTGAAGGTGGGTGTCTTTTTTTTGCAACATAGTACATTTCAATTTCAAACTCTCAATCCACCATTCAATCGGAGGGTCAGTAATGCCGAGGTCATTTTGTAGGAATATTATGCATTTTACCGAATAGCAAAAAGCTTTCAAACGTTTTATCAGGAAAAACACTACGGCTCAATTGATATAGTAGGAAAGCAGTCATGCCGGAACCAATGCAAATAAGAATATATGTTAGAGTACAAAAGATTACGGGAATCAATGACAAGACTCATCCTACAAAGCCAATTTACCAGAATCAATACACGAATGCTGGAACATTACTGATGGAAGAATATTATTCTTGTTCATGGTAAAGTACCTAAAATACTTAAGATGACATTAAACATATATATATATATATATACAGTATATCTTTAATGTCAGCTTAAGTGTACAACTTAATAGTCTCCCCTCTTTCTTTAAAGAATGCATAACAGATTCTGTTACAACATTTTAACTTTACCTATTCCAACTTAATTCATTTAGTCAACTTATGTAAGGAACTATAGTTTGTTTGTTTTTTTTGCTCTTTGGTAGAGGTCCATATAAGTTTCTGAATTGTCCCAGAGTACATAAGTTCTTTGATGCTGCTGATGTCAATCCAAACCCTCTTTTCAGTCACAGATTTTGTAGACACGACAGCATTGAGGAAGCAATGGTTGTCCATTAAACAGCTAATGGGCAAGATGTTGTGTGTGCTATCACCAACCATGAGCTCTGAATAGTGTGGCTATAAACACAGCACTATCAATCTCGTCCGCAAGTGCTAAATTCTCTCCGGCTAATGTGCTTCAAACCACTCTCCAGATCCGTTTTGACAGCCGGCATAAGGATGGAAAAATGGGCTGTAGGTTTTTTTTATGAATGCACGCTGTTTTGCTTTTATTTCATTCCGCAGAGAATGAACCTCGATCCCAGTGTGGTTGAAGCTGTTATGTTCTTCTGAAAAGCAGCTTTCAGTTAGGGGATAACAGCTGAATAGAACATGTCTGAACCACTCCATACAAAGTCTACATCACATGCTAGGATTCCTGTCATCTTACCAAAATCATCTGGCCAGTAGAAGACAGCTGGATTGACCTTTGACACAGTACCTTGCAAAAAGGCTGCTATGATGTCCATTGGGTACATCGTCCATTGGTTTTTATATATAACAGCCATGACCATCTGTAGAGATTCTGAGGAACAAGTGGGTGAATATGTAGGAAGTTCTGAATGTTTATTTCTTCAAAGTCTCTTGCAACCAGTCCATCTTTTGGTACAATGACCACTTCTGTTTTCCTGAGTGTGCACACCCACCTCGTTGACAAGCATTTCTAACCCTCATCTTTTTCTTTCTCAAATACAGTGTGTATTTCCCAGTTGTCAAGTTCAGTTTATTTGGCATGTGAGAAAATATTCTCCTTTACCACTAGTACTTTGTCTTTGTTGTTGTCAGTGTTTGTCATGGCGTGTTAAACCACTTCAAAGTTGTGTACCTCTCGCATATCAACTGACCATTTGATCCAGCAATTTACTCTGCCTCACTGTATTTTAAGTTATGCTAGTTTCTGTGGATTCCTCAACAAGTACTGTCAGATGTTTTTATGTTTTAATCCGATATTCTTTTTTAGTTTCTTCCAGTTTCTCTAGTTTAATTTTTCTTAGTTGATACTGGTGTACTCTGACATATGATCCACCATGTCTAACAAATATTACTACACCATCTTGGCCCAAAACCACGCCTGGATCGTACCACTCCTGACAGTCTATACATTTATGAAAGACTTTTTCTCCTGTTTCATATTTTTCATCAGTGGGCCGCAGCTATTTATGAAGGACTCTTCAGATCAAATTAGAACATTCAGCCTCAGCTAAAACTTTCATTATTCCATGTGCATGTTACATGCAACTATCCATGTTTCGACACCATTTTCCAATGCTGGAGGTCTTATCAATTTGGACAAAAGACAGGTTTGGGATTTGTACAAAGACAAGTTGATAGGGACTGTAGCTGTTTTACATTGTGCAGGCTACTTTTGGTCATCAAAGCCCAGCCCTGAGCCATTTTCCAGTCACACTTATGTCTCTCTTTACCTTAAGTACCTTAAGTAACATTTTATTGAAGATCTGATTGTGTCTTTCCAGGAGGCCGTTGCTCGATAAACCGTGTCCTGCAGGAGGATTTAGCCTCAACGTTTAGATGTTCAGCTATGTTCTTATTTCTTCCCGGTTAAATTCACCATTCTCCATTCTTAATAATCTGCGTGGTGGACCATGAATGCTTGTCCAGCAGCGAACAAAGTGCTTCATTATCTCTTTGGGTCTTTTTGTGGTGATAATACTCCCTGCTCTGAACCTTGTAAAATGGTCGATGGAATGTAGATACCACAGTACTGGCTCAAGCTTGTGCAGGTCCGCTGCTACAGCCATGGGTAAACCTACTGCAGGTTTATGTTTCGGTTTGCAGTATCAGATGCGTAATGCTTCGGCCATCATCAAGTGGCCAAAGCAAGACAAAGAGTTTTTGTGGCCTGTCAACTGAGGCATGTCCGAATTTTGTCTTTAGCAGTACTTCTTTTTTTACTCTTTTCTTGTCATTTTTTCTGTCGTGAGGAAAATTTTGTCTCCATCATGTGTTGTCTCACTTCAAATTTGAGTTCATTATTGTTCCTTTTCCTTTCTTAAGTTTACACAATAATATCCAGATGTCAGTTCAAGTTTTACAGGTTGCTCAAACATTGTCACTTTGTCTTAAGCAATGTCTGAAACAGCACTTGCTCTCTTCAATGATGCTTTGCTCAAAAGTATCTGGAACCACTTCTGTCTCTAGTTCCAATGTAGGTCAAAAGTCTTACTCTCTTTTGATCTTTTATTTTTGTTAATTCTCTTTAAGGTAGCCCACCAGCCCTTTTTGTCCAAGTCAGTAACAAGTTTTCAGATTTCAATCTCATTTTTCCATCTTTCATTATATGTCTTCTCATCGAACGGTGGGAATGGGAATTACTTTGTAAATCCCAGCAGTGGCCATAATGCTAGCATCCACACTTTAGTAGGTTCCAATTACTTCCGCGCACTTCAAATGGCATAATCAAAAACTAGTTCTCCTGACACATTTGCAGTAGGCTACTTACAACTCAACAGTTTGTAACTTTATTTCCATTTCATGAGAAGGAGCTAATAGGTAATCTAGAAAGTAAACAAGTTCTAAAGGACAAATACAAGTATTTGTTGTACTATGTTGTGAATAACTCACAATAGGGAACCTTTCAACTGATTCCCTCTCAGTGTAGAGTCAAATTTATTCTCAGCACAATAGCTGCTCAGTATGGATCAAAAAAACTGGTGGTGAGATACTGGAAAGTGTTTTGAAAAATCTGTAATAAATTCCTAGTCACACATGCAATCCACTCTCACAATGGGCGTGATGTTTGACTACACTCAGTAGTCCTTGTTCAGCTATCAAATAAGCTATATGAACAATTTCACACATTTTTGTGGCACCGTTTTTGTTTTCAGTGCCACCTCAGTGGGGTGTAATAGCAGAATATGTTCAAGAAGTGTCAAAAGCAGAAAGTGATCTGTGCCAATCTAATTGAACAAACAGCTTTTCTCCACAATGTAGATTTTACACTTAAAGATTTATACTTTGGATTTTACACTAAAATCTAATTTAGATTCAAAAGTTACTCTTTCCAAGCCAACAAATATGTGGTGTTTTAAGGTACTCTCAACATCTTTTTTTTTAAGTTGAAAAAAGCTCTTGATAGTACAATTTCTCTGTCCACCCACACGAATAACCTACAACTGACTACTGTGAACAACAAATTGGTTTAACATTGTGTCAGCGGTGTCAGAACATCTGTGGGTGGAATTATCCTTTAAGACTGGTTTATTTCAACGATGACAAAAATCATTGTTTTGGCTTTAACCCTTCTGATGGACACAGGCAATTTATCGATAGAGAAAAGCACATTAGAAAAGCAAAGATAGTGTCTGTTCTGTGCCTGCAGTTATACAGTGCCTGAGGAAAAGGCTCTGTTCTGAAAACTCTTTAATATAGAGATTCTAAGCATTTGTCGCAGAACTCATCTGTGAAAAAAAAAGTGTGCCCTTCAGTTAATAATAAAAGTATTTATTTCAGTATCCCTGTAAACATATGCAATGGATTTTTTAAGACATATTTCACTAACAAAAGAGAGCACAAGAGATGATCTCTGCTGAGGTGAAATGTGTTTTTATGTTCTTTTTGTGTTTTGCAGGAATAATATTCTACCAAGAATTTGAAGGCCTGGCTTTACTGAACATTTTCATGTTCTTATTTGGGTATGATATGAAAAAAATTACAATCTCTAGAATGTAGTACAAGATATTTCATTTTCTGTAAGATGGTTTTAACCTTTCCTGAATCTGTCTTCCAGTTGTCTTTTGTCCTTTCTTGGAGTCTTCCTTATAACTCGAAACAGGCCAAAAATAAAGCAACAAGAGCGCAATTTCATTGCAATGGATAGGATTCCCGGTAAGTCTGTTTTGTTTGTTAACTGGCTTTGGATTAAACGCGTCACCACACAAACCGGGATAAAATGCGTTCAGCAGCTGTGACTCCGGATTCATCTGACGGCGAGAGTCTGCAGCCCAACCAGCAGGGACCATCTAATGAGCTGTTTTGTCCGTGTTCACAGGGAGAAATCGCACAGACCAAGTGCAGCCAGAGGCAAAGTCTACAACATACGGATCACTGGCAGCTAAACTCATGTGCAACAGAGCTGGCCAATCGGACGATTCGTAAGACCAGCTCCATCTGTTGGGACTGCTAGTTTGGTGACTTTGTGTGTTTGTGTCTGTACTCGCATCTTTTTTTCAAGTTTTGACAAATATGTTTATAGAAAAAGAACAATTGTACACATAAAGTCAAATCAGCTCCAGCCAACTTTCAGTATCTATAGTCTCATTGGTCTTAGATTTATTATCCAAGCAGGTGAGAAGTTATGCCTTTTCCTAAAGGGAAAGCTGTTTATGACTGTCAAAAATCATGAGATTTAACTTCTCAGGAGGAAAGTAAGACATAAGATACTTTACTAGCAGCTACTTTTATTTTCATTGTAGTAGTGAGACAGTCATGGGTTCTTCCAGTTTAACAAAATTCAGTTTTATTCCTGAAATAATACTGCCTATGATGTGAGCTCAGTTGCCACAGCAGAAAACCGTTTTCATGCTGTAAAATAGGTGCACTACTGCCCTCTAATGACAAGGGAGGGCTTAAAATATGCATACTGCTCTGTATCTGAATTGTGGATATGTTGGAAATTCCCTAAATTTAAAATGATTAAGTGTACGATGGTTAGTTTTTGAATATCTATGTACACTCATTATTCTTCAAGTGAAGTGGCTGACACTGATAATGTCATTTTAAGGTTAAATACAGACGTTTGAGTTCCTTAAATCTATCGCCAATATTGTACATTTACACCTCTGCACATCATCTGAGTGCAGCCTGTGAATCCATCTTCATTCCAGATAAACTTCAGACTGCATGACTGAATTTTGACAAAACTATTCTACCACACTGTAGTGTTGCCAAGCAACAAAACTCTTATCTGCCACCTACACGTTATGGGATATGTGGGAAACCACTGCTCGTGATAGCAAAACTTTCAAAAGAAGGAAAGTCGAAGTACTTGTTGTTTGATGCAAGCTGCACAAGGGCAATAACAAGCACTTTTCACATATGTTGTGTGATTTTTATCTTGAGTATAAGCTTATCTGAACACAGAACCGTTTGCTTAGTCCAAATAGTTGACATTTTTTAAACCAACTAACTTGACTCTTTGTAAATCCTGAAAAAAAAAAAAAATCGTAAAAACTAGGTAAATCAAATAAAAACCCAGAAAACTGCAGATATTAAGTAACCAAAACCAAAGATTCTCCCACTCACAGTAATCAACTGAACCTTTTTGGAACATTCCATGAAAATGGTGACCTAATGAAGACAAATTTTCAAATACAAGTTTCCTCTATCGAAGTTACACAATGGGGATGTGTCCTTAATATGCATGATTAACATAAACGTACATTTTGAACAATGTCGCCATCATGACATGATGGTTAGATCGCTCTGAGAAATGAAAGGTCTTCATCTTCAAGCATCAGCAGGAGTAAATGATTGGCACCGACTTGTTCCGTGAAGTTAACACTGAATGCCTGGCCGGGGACCAGTTCTGCACAGGTCACGATGTTTGGGTCACACCTCTATGTGTACTTTGGCCAAGCGGTAGTGCAGGGAGGTGGGGTTGCGCAGCAGCAGCTTCCCTCTGTGTTCCGCTGGCTGGTTGAGGAGGGTATTAAGGAGCCCCGCGACGCTGACAAACCCGAGAGCCTCCCCGCAACCTGCGGACAGGGAGAAATCCCCCTGAGTGACCCAACCCAGGGTCAACCGGGAGCAGTGCGAGATGATACTTGGCAGGGGATCTGGCCAAATCCCCAAGATGAGATCTGAAGAAGGCTGAAGAGATGATTTGGTATCTTCAGATGGAGCTGGGTCTGTTTTAGAGGCAACGTCTGATTCTTTGCTTTCAGAGGATAAAGGTGGAGCCTTCTTGGCGCCCTTCTTCTGACGTTTAATTCCGCTTTTAAAGTTGTCTCTGTGTGGGGGCTCCAGAGGGCCACTGCTCTCTTGTTTTCTGCCCAGTAGCTTCAGATCTTCTGCAGATGGCGCGCACAGCAGAGCGTGCTGCTCAGGTCTGCCCTTGGTCAGCAGGGACACGCGCACCCACACCAGGCTCATTCCGTGTGCGGCGGTAAAAGAAGCGGCAGCTGAGCAGCTGAGGGGGGGCAGTTCCCCAACACGCCCTGACCTCCGATCTCTGGACGACGTGGGTCTGCACCAACCGCAAAGAAGCCTTAGAGACTTTCTATTCCTGGAAAACACGACATGACCAGTATCCATTTAGAACAGGTGGCTAATATCTGGAGGAAAAGACTTTTAACTTAGCCCCATTAGGTGCCCTTGGGGATCTATAAATTGTCCAATAACATTTTTAATTTTTCATGCTGAAAGAAAAAAAAACAAAAGAAAATAGCAAATGGACTGGAAAAATCCAGCCAATTTTTCCCGTAATAAAGTCATTCACATTACTCATGAGAGGGTTTCATGTGGATGGATGCAGCTCTCTACTTCCACTAATCTCTGTGATGTATTGCAGCAATTTAACGCTGGATGTACTTCGGGTATTCTCATCAGAGACATAATGGAAGGGAGCAAGACTGGAAAAACAATGCATCAGGGCTGTCAAAAAGCCGTACATTTCTCTCACTAATTTCTCTCAATTAAAATAAAAAATAAAGTGTTGACTCATGTTCCAAATCATGGCACATTTGCACCAGGGTTCATTAAAAAGCCAGCCTCCTTTACATTGTTTGAGATGAGATTTGAATGAATGAAACTAAAAGTCTGAGGGGAACCTACAGGCTTTGTTTGGTTCAATGTCACTATTAAAAAGATGCAAGATGAGAGGATACAAAATTTACCAAACAAAAGAACTTGACAAAAACGTACCTCAGTACAGTGAAGATGCTTGGAACCTTAGTCACAGTGATACTTTGTGACCTAGTCATCGTCTTCATCACGACATCAGTGTTTGTTGTGCTTTGGGTCTGCTCATCTCCTCCCCCCTCCCCTCCTCCTTCCCTCGCGAGGAGCTCCCACTCCTCTGCCAGCTGTTGCCAAGAGCAACGGAACGGAGCCAGACAGCCATGTTTAATGTAATTGGTCCTCTTGGCGGGCGGACGTCTGTGGGAGAGATTGGAAGGTCACGTCCTCGTCGATCTGTCCGGGCTAACCTGCCAATTTACGGAGATGACTCCTAACTGCTGCTCGGTGGACACTAGGCATTACCATCTCATCTGCATACTTAGACAGTGCCACATTTTGGAAGAGCTGCGGTGACTTTGAAAACCTTTTATGTGTCAAAGCCTCCACGGAAAACCTCACCTCTTAATGATGTCAATGGTAAATATTATCTCCTTGCAAGTCACCATAAAGTCATTCAACCCTATGTTTCAGTATTTAAAAAAACAAACCTTTATGTTCTGAGCAACATTTAAAATTCAAAGTATTAATTGTATACCAGATGCATAAGAAGCTTGGGCACCATAAGATGTCCTTGCTAAAACTATTCACTTATATTTGATAACAGCATTCCTCCTGATGATTGCTATATTGCATGTCTCTCTTCTCAGCCTGTAGCTGACCTTTTGAATTTGTCCAGGAGGTTGGCCTCTTGCTCCTCCTGAAAACGCACACCTGCAGGGCAGTCCGGATAATCGTGGGGAAAATGGGGAGCGGCTTTATTTTGGGAGTGTTTCAGGCTCATGTTAAGTCCGCCAACACGGACTCCTCTGTACACCTGGAAGAGGCAAGGCAAGGCAAAGGAGAGGAGTGAGAGGTTTTTAAAAAGATAGATTCAAAAAATAATAATAATTAAGACACTTAATACTTCATACTTCAATCCCCCAAAAAATAAATAGACAATACATTGGGGGAGACATTGTTCAGCATTCATTAGGTCCCTCAACACATCACATTGTGCATACAGATTAAATCTTGAGTCCCTTTCACATGTCAGAGAGGATCTAGTCAGCAATATTGACGAGGGAGTTTACTGATAACTACCTCTGCTACTGTCTAATATGGATAATGGATAGTCAAAGGACAAAAAGACACCAAGCCATAGCGTAACAGAGTCAGACAAGAACCAAACAAAAGAACTTGTGGGGTGACATCCAAAATGTTGGTCGCCTCCATACCAAACAGATGTGAAGCAGTTATAAAAAAAATTGAAAAAGCGGTCATACAACTAAATATTAGTTCAGTGATTCATAGAATTGCTAAATCCTAGAAAACAAAAAATTTGTATAAAAATAGTTTTGAGTTTGTAAAGTTGACGGCACACCCCTTTAAACTAGTTGTAGTTGCCCAACTGCACAGCTCTCAGAGAGTGTGCATATCACAAATGCTGGGTCTTGCTGGTTTTCTGAGAATCTACTGCACCTTATTTGCCATGTAGCAAAAAGTATACTAAAAAGAGTGATTAATCTGGTTAGTCACATTGGCCTGCTATCATTTTGAACTTTAGTGTACGAGATTTAGCCTTTATTTTCTGCCTAAAGACTGCACACTTCCCACCAGATTTCACTGGGGTAAACTGTCATGTTATTTCAGTTGGCATTAATCCAAATGTTGTGATCAACATCCAGTTCCAATTTACCACGGCTTACGTTTATGAACACCAAGCTCAGTGCTGTCTTCTAAATTGTTCATGCTACTTACCAATGGGACCCAAAAGGCCATGCCCCAGCCTTTAGGTAGGAGCAGGTCCCATCCAGCTCCCCAGCCGCTCATCTCATTCCCCACCTGTTTGCCAGGCTGATGAACCAGTAGAATGGGGATGCGGCCCTGTGGAGGAGTCGGGCTGAGCCTGGAGCCTGGCACCAGCACCTCACTCTTCATACGATTCAGCTCCTTCAGCGAGAACACAGTACATATGCTTCAGGAAAAAGAGAATAACCAGGCTTCTGTTTGACATCCTCAAAAAGACAGAAAAATTCAGGCGGTAAATCAGATGCTTTTTGTTACCTGTTCGGATATCTTGTTATCAGTGACGTTATCACGGACAGACGCCTCCCACAGTGAACTCCGACAGCAGTCTTCTGGAACTCCTCGTAAAATCAGCTGCCTGCTCTTCTCCTCATCCACCTCTGAAGTAACAGATACAGCATGCCGTTTTACTACAGACAGAATAGATTCATATTTAAATGCAAGCCATTAATTAGAAAAAAGAATACTCAAATTTGTACACAATTACAGTTGCCCCCTTTATACATTTACTTTTTACAGGTTAATCAGGCCAAACCTTTAATCATAAAGCAAAATGGATGGCAGGAGGTCATGGTCACAGTTCTATGGGGCCAGACTGGCTTATGTGAGACCACTGATAATTTACCTACTTAGTTCTGTTTCCCTGTTTGCTTGATGAGTCATTTGCTAAATTGGTGAAGTCTCTATAAATAAAATATTTTCAAAGTAATTAATCTTTTATTAAATGGAACCATCTTTATTACCCAACACAAAAAGAGGAGGGCCTGATTTCACAATTATTGCCATTACGTTTTTAGTATTATTAAGGTCATTTATATATAGAAAGCCTAAAAAATATTTTTCTGATTTACAGGTTAACTTAAATTAAACACAACTTCCTCTGGGGAATGGCCAAAGTCTGAAAAAGTTAATTATAACTATGGAAAAAAGATTAAAGAAGAAATCAAGAAACATATTGCTTTAGCCAGAGTGACAGTTTGTCACTATCTTCGGATTGCCTTTTTCTTGTTTCTCATTATTTGACACTTTCCTTAAATGCTTTATGATGCATACGCCACCAACTGTAAGGGTCAGGGTTTCATGTGAGTGTTCAACTCTCACCCATGTCTTCTATATTCTAGATATACAAAATAAAGGTTGCAGAACTGTGTGTGTTCAGCATCGATGTATGTATTCAAGGCCATTAAGGCGTATTTAAACATTGCGCGCAACCACACACACACTATAGGCGTATCCAAACAAGCATATTGACAACACAAAATAACACAACAGCCAGAATATTATTTTACAGTAATTTACTCATTACTCTCATTTGAACTTAACCTCACCTAATGAGATGGATGTGCAACATGCTTGGAGTACAGCAAGTCCAATCTTGGATTAATGTTGGAGACCGCTACTCGGAGATCATCCTCCACATTCAAGCGTGATCTGTGTTTATCTTTAAGGTACGTCAGTGCCGAGAAAGTCTTTTAGCACAAGTAAGTAGTGCCAAACGGCATCAGCACACCCAAAGCCACCCTGGATAGCAGCAGGTATTCCCTCTCAACTGAAATCCAAAACTCAGCCAGCATCTTCGCTTGACAGTTCAACCAATGCATCCTCCAGGTCAGATGTTCCCTTTTTATTCATTTTCTTGATTTTATTTTAAATCTAGTGACTAGTTTTATCTTGTGTTACAATCATGGCTAACATATGCTATCTTTAATCTTTTTAAATCTGTATTTTATTTCTGTAAATCAACTCTCTGGCTCGTGACCCCCACTTTGGGAATCACTGCATTAGAGGGCCAATGTAGATGGAGAGAGATAAGTCCTCACACTCTTGCCTTCTACTTAACTGATACACTTTTGGGCCGAAAGATAGAACCAGAGCATGCACAGATGACCAAGGCTGGCTTGGGAAGTGCATGGAAACTCCAGGCAGCCACCGAAAAGGTTCTTGCCATAAGACAGTGATGCTAATAACTAAACTACCATGCCCCATGCCCCCAATCAAATACATACAATTCAGGATTCCTTCAGGGTTAACAATGGGTTCTTCAACCCCACAGCCTTGTAAAGAGGAATGTGTGAGCCATGACAATATCGTTTTAGAACATAACATATTAGAGTAGAAAAAATTATATTTTTTTATTTGTTTGACCACAGTCTTCTATGCCTTATTTATTTGTTAAGCAGTCAGGATGATAGGGTCTTAACGGCTTCCAAAAATAAATAAATTATACTATTTTTTCTACTTTACACAAAAATTAATTAATAAAATGTTGTCAACTGTTCTCAGTCACTGGGGATGCGCTTTGAGTACTGGGCCCTGCCAGGATTCGAACCTGGAACATCTGCATGGCCAGGCAGAGGCCCCCCCGGAGCACAGAACCAGATGCGTACTCAATTCAACAACCCCAGGACTGGAACTTAAAGACTGACTGTGTTCAGCTACTCTTTACGTTTTAAGGAATGGTTATATTACAATTTACATACTATGGTGTAAATGTTTGGTGAGAAGTCAGTTTAAGTCATTTCGAACCATCTTCCCCCTGCTCCATTGTCTTCTCGTGGGTCGGATTTTACCTTGGGCCTGATTTACACAGGGCAAAGCTTTAACCTTCTTTGTAGGTAAAGTCAGCCTGGGGTCATCCACAGTGAGCCCCAGCACTGTGCCTGGGGGCAGCTCTCCGGTCGAGTGGACGCCTGAATAAATCACACAGACGAGCGTGAATTGAAAGACAACAAGAGCACCACGACCTGTGCACAAAAACAGAAACTAACCATTTAAAATGTGAAAAACATCCGTTTGCTTTTTATGTAGAGCCATTTGGTTCTCATCTTTGCAGTGCTGAGGCCACCAGAGGGGACCGTTCACCTCGGACTTGCTGACCCCCTGGGAAACAAAAACAAAGCAAGGGGGGGAAAAAAGTTATTCAAAAGCATGAAAAGAGCATCCTTTTCAGAGAAGGTTTATGTTAAAACACAGTGCATACATCACAATCCGTTGCTGCATTCAAAGTTTCCACTAGCACTGTGTGCGACTGAGGTCCAATCAGGCGGTAGCGGATAACCTCCATTGTAAGATCACTTTAAAAAATAGCAAAAAGTTGTTTTTAAGAGAAAAACAAAACAAAAAAAACATCAGTATCAAGCAAAGATATACCTCTAAAAAGGAAAAAAAAACAAGAACTAAGAGTGCCCTTGAATCAAACGTGGTCACTTAACTAACTTTATGACTATTCCGGTTGAGCTGGACTTCCAGGTGACCGGAGTACCGGGCAGTCTGGTTCCATCTCCACAGATTTTCTTCGCAGGAGGGCCGCTGCCGTCTTTACATCTCCGTTTTGTCTTTGTTCCAGGTATCGGCACGGTTTCACAGGTGTTTTCAGGCTCCGCTTGTGGTGGTGGACTACCCTCTGCTGGGGTGACGACCGGTGGAACCGGGGGCACCACAGCCTCACAACACTGACACACACTTTGTAATTCAGGAAGAAGATCCTGGAAACAAAGTCGTTTTTTTTTGGCTGACTGATAATCACCTGTTTTTATTCCAAAACAAGGCACATGTCATTTCTTTAACATGTCATACCTGTTTAAGAGTGGGATGAGCCCAGAGCCACAGCTGCCGTTGAGTTGAGCCGTCTGTTCGTGGTCTCCACAGGAAGGTGACCGGGCCCAGAGGCTGTGAGGGGTACTGTCCGGCTCTGTACACCGTCACAATGCCCTGTCTGGTGCCCGACAGACACAGGGCTGCGGCAAATGTGGGCCCTAGAAATACAAATGACTCCACGCTGACCCTAATCGCACAAACTCAGACTCCAAAGAGGAAGACCACGCAATGTTAACCTCTTTTATGAAGAAGTTTAAGAGGGGAAAAGAGGGAGAAAAAAACAAAACAAGTATTGGCAGGTCACCTGCTTCTTTGCTGGTCATCTGTGACAGAGCATACAACAGTTTGTCCTCTTGTCCCTGCAGCTCTATGCAGCAGTAATAAGAAAGGTCCTGAGTAAAGAGGATCAGAGATGTTAATCCCAACATCAACTCAGAGACTGTGTAAATAAAGCATGAAACACACACACACCGGCTTTGTTAGTTTACCTGGAGGAGGCAGTGGCTGCTCATGGCTCGGTAGCATGGCCGGTAGCACTTGTACGTGGGCCTGTCCCCAAGACAGTACCCCCACTTTTTAACCATATGGAAGCGCTTGGCGTGCCAGATGTGAGTCTCCAGCCAAATATTTTTCCGTTGCCGGCGGTTGAACTCCAACAGCAGGTTTCCATGTCGCCTGCGAGCCTTCCGGCTTTTGCTCTTCGCCAGTTCCTTCTTCTTCTTTTGGCCAGCCTGGAGGCTCTTCTCCCGCTAGTGGAGGATCAGATATGTCAGTGGAAATCACTGCTACTCAGAAGGTTTGACGAGTATGTGGAAAGAAACGCTCAATATAAAACAATTTAAAAAAATATATAATTTATTTCAGAAAATTACCATTCTGTTGGCTATGTCCCTCAGTCTGCGTGGAAGCCGTTTGGTGTTGTGGCTCATGGCCCGTCTTCGCATGTGTCTGGGAAGCGCTTGGAACACTTGGCTGCTGCCCGTTGTCTTGGTCACCGCTTTCAACATGGTACTGACCTCTGCGGCTCTGGCCCTGGCAAAAGCTCCAGCTGGGAGAGGAGGCAAAACAAGAAAAATATCAATCATGTCACTCTGACGCTCCATTTGTTGCTCGTGATCAATCATCTGATTGATTAACCTGTCTACAGCTTCTTTAATTCTGTTTTCACCACATGAAAATCATGGAAAATTAATGAACTCAATAGGAAAAACAATCAAGGAAGCATAAAAACATTTGTCACAAAGGACATTACAATGCACCATAGTGAGCTTACAAGAATAAGACTTTTTTTCTTTTCTTTTTTTTACCAGTGATGTACTTGGGCATCTCTTTGGAGTAACCACTTCCATCTTTTTGATGTCCACGGACCCACCCGCCTTTGTGGGGAACTTTCATCTGCCTTTCTGAGGTGGGGTACACAACAAAAATATCACATTTAGAAGCAGATAAAAGGCGATCCAAAAAAGTATAAATCCATAATGCATTTGGGGTCATTTAAGTACCAAAATATGCAACTGTACAGAATTCACAGAGCTACACTGAACAGAGAACGAAAACACACACGCAAACACCCTAGTATAGAATAAGATTTTATAGAATAAGATTAATGGTTCAATTCTGCAAAGAAAACAAAAGACAATAATTGATTGATTAAATGATTCACACATTCACAGTGAAGATATAATCGCCCCTGGGTGTTTCAATGTAATCTGGTACGGTGCGGTAGACTGCAGATCTAACGACTACACAGATAAAATGACGAAATAGAGACGAATAAAATGCTGTATCACTCGGGGGAGATGTACCTGTGATAGGAGTGTTATCTCCACTCCGTGTGCCTGTCTCCATGCTAAGAGGAGAAGATGGATATTGCACACTGGCAGGCTGATTCTTCATCTTCTTTTCCCGCATTTTTACTTTAGCTCCAGACATTTTCTGTGGAAAATAATAAGACACCAATGCCCGAATGCCAAAACCAAAAGCTGACACCTCAAAACAATTACATGGCCGTTGGCCTGCTACCAAAGTTGTCCTCCATAAAGTTGTTTAGCCTAGAAAAACACACATGTATGGAGGCACAAAAATGCACTCATTAAAATTACCTTTAATTTCACAGGTTGAGGATAAATGTCACTTTTCAAGAAATGTAGACGTCCTCTCTCATTACAGCTATCTACCATGTGAGTTTCCCTCATGCTAGTTAGTAGCTTGTTTGCTTCCGGATATGTCGTATTCACAGCATGTATAGAATATCGGCGCAACAAAAATACACAAAATATAATAGAAATATTCTATTCTATATTGATGTCACTTTTTCTATATTCTTGTTTCTTTTTTCTTACTTTTCCTTGAATTTGATTTTTTTTCATCTTTGTTTAAAAACTAAGAGAAACTCCGGAAATACGATAAGCTTGCGCTTTTAATGTGCGATTTACGGTATTGGGACTCCGCAGCTCTTTTACTGTGTCCTCTTCACTTTGTAACTTTGTTAAGTTATTCCTTCTCACTTTTAAAACTGTGAGATGGCTTCTCTAGCCAGGAGAATTATTAGCACAGCTAAAGCTCCTGCTGCCATCGGTCCGTATAGGTGAGGATAAATAAGATCAGTGTTTACCTTAACAGCTGTACAGTTCGCCGCTCCATTTTTCGTTTATCGTATTAATAAAAAAATCTACCCTTTTTTAATAATCTTTTCCAGTTGATTTCAGTGCATATACAGTGTATATATTTATAGAGTATTAAGAATTGTACAATGGGCTCTTTGTTTGAGGAAAAAGCGGTTCGATGGGGGCACATGCACAATTCAGGAGCAAAGTGGATTTTGCACTGTGTGAGATTTTGAATTGAAAGGATGGACGTCACTCAAATGTTAAGGTTCGAAGTTTTTAGGATACACCATACCTGATGGTGAAGTTCAGTATAGTTTGTGATAGCTAAACATTCAAAATAATAATGATAAACAAACATTTGATTGAAATTGCATACGTGGTTATTCAAAGTAGAAAGCTGTAATACATTAAACAAGCCTGTGATGGGCCTGAAAATCACTAACACTAATGATAGATACTGATTGACCTGGAAAAAGAGATCAAGGAGAAATGCAATTGAACTTTCTTTTAAACCTCTCTTTATTGGATGAGAAGAATACCATCTAACCGTTCTAACAGTTCCTGTTTGTGTGTTCCTCAGCCAAGCTGTGGTGGTGGATCGGACAATGTATGTATCAGGACAGCTGGGGATGGATCCTGCCACTGGACAGCTGGTGGAAGGTGGTGTTCAGACTCAAACCCAACAGGTGACACTCCACAAATGACGGACATCGATCATTTATTCAGTCGAAAACACATTGCGCCTGAAACTGATCTATATATGGCTAGATGGTTCCAGTTAAATACTCTACTGAAATAATGACTATTATGAAGTTACTTAAAGTAATTTAAAAAGCTTCTTTTTATATGTTGCATTTGAAAATTTACATGGTATGAATTATTAGAAAGTAAATCCATCAGCCTAACTGTGCACAGTCTGTCTTTGCAATGTCACCACTTATAAAGCGTGTGCATCTAGGGAGTTGTATAATGCATTAAACAGATTATATACATTTTGCAATGCATGATGGATTTAGATATGACATTTTAAAGCACTGAGTTCTGTGCACTGTGCTTTACATTGTGCTCTTGGACTGTTTTTCTTTCAGGCTCTGGTGAATATGGGTGAAATCCTTAAAGCTGCTGGGTGCGGTTATAATAACGGTAAGAGAAAAATGTCCAATGATCTATGGATTAGTCGACTTTTTGTTATTCGTTTGCAAATCAGGTAATGCGTTCTTTTTTATTTCTTACAGTTGTCAAAACCACAGTGCCCTTAGCTGACATAAATGACTTTGCGAAGGTCAATGATGTCTACAAACAGTGTAAGTATAGCGCGCAGTCATATTGAAAATATTCTGAGTGTGGTCTTTCTTTGTGATAAACTTGCAACTACTCAACTTATGCTCAGCATTTACATCTTGTAGTACAAAGTTAGCCACTGGGTGTCAGCACAACCTAGAAAACTTCACTTCACTTGGTTGGCATTATCGCTCGCTATTCATGCAGACTACAGTAGACAATTAGAACCAGTCCAGGAGTACTGTTGTTTGCTAAGTTATTTTCCAGAGTGAAAAGAGATCTCCCCTTTGCCAGTGGTTTACATATAATGCAAGCCCCACACTATGTCCTTCATCTCATGCTTCATTGATAGCTATAAAGCCACCCACCCCCTGTTGATTTCACTATCATTTAAGTTGTTTTAACAGGAGTATTTCTGACTAAAGTATTTGATGCTAATAAGAGAAAGAAAGTAATCAAGGGATAACCTCTTTGAACAAGATGGCTTTATCCATAAAGAATGTGTGACATAAGCTCCTACGAGCTTGATTAAAGGCAACATCACTTGTTTCCTGGATCTTCTCATCTGAAAGGCTTCTTTAATTCCACAAAACAAGATGGGGAGCATCAGTTTATAAGCAGAGGGGGTTGTTAAAGTAAGGATCCATGTAGATCAATGTGACAGTCGTTTTCACCCTCAGTTACCTATGACGCTTTGCCTCCATCTTAACACCCCTGAAAATAAATTTTCTGCATATTATACAGAACTCTGCAGACTTTCTGAAGAAATAAAGAAAGAAAAATAGACTTTATTGATCTCACAGTAGAGAAATTCACGTGTCACATCGGCTCTTATAATAAAGATCCCAGATCTGAAACTATGGCCATGTGAAGCAACCGTGGCTTTTGATCACTCACTCTTTACTTTCATCTAAATGTTTAGCAGCAGCTCAGATGGTCAAGAAACAGTTGTAAAAAGATGACTCAGTAAATGACAGTTAGTTTCTCTGCTGACAAGATCTGTGTCCTCTTGAACCTGATGGTTTCACAGCTTTGGGAAAACAGAACATCTAAACTTTTTTAGAAAGGTTTTTCCAACTTCTGGCTACCCCAGTTGGGTGTGTGTCGAATCAGCTCAAATATCTAGACCAACACAACACTGTCCGAAAAGAAAGATTGAATATGAGGTAGTATGTTGTATTACCATATGTGAACACCATCAGATAGAGACTAGTCCACCCCAAGGACAAGTTTGAGAGCGGAGTAAAGAAGTCATCAGTGTCAAGCAGGAAAAATCCACCCTAAACAGGGGAGAGGTTATCAGGCATCACCTTCCCAGAACTTTAAATGCAGCACATCCTCCTAAGCAGTTTCATAGTCATTCACACTTTGGACCTTGTCACCAATTTTAGTAAAAATTATTCTTAAAAACTTCATTACCCAGGGTTTCAGACTGTAACAACCCTCCCTCAGCTCCAACCCGTTGTTTAGAACTGAAGAATCTTTTCATATTAGAAATTAAATGTCTTCAAGCTACAAGAAACAAGTCTAGCTTCCTTTGATAAAGCTCCTAGAATTACCATGACCTGACTGAGTGAGCATCTACACCAACATGTGGCATAAGATATTAACTTCAGTTAATCGTGTCTTGTTCCGAATACACAACTTGGAAGGAAGATCAACAAAAAAAAATAGCTACTGTATATCAACAAAACCAAAACAATGACAAGGTTAAAAAAAAAGTCTATAACAGTCTCAATAATGGAAGAAAAGTCAGTTAAGGGTGGTCGGCATAATTGCCAATTTTTATGTGACACAAAAGTGTTTCTGTGGCCAAATTGCTCTTGTTTTCAGTTGTAGTTTTTTGTTCTTATGGGAGAGAAGTTTTTATTCATGCTCTTGCCACCAATCTTTAGATAAGAGGAGAAGGACAAGATATGAATATCTTGCAGATAATGGTGACAGATTCCAAAGTAGATAACATTGTGTTTGTTTAACTTCTGACCAGTTTGCACGTTTGAAAAATCAAACCTCAACAACAAATATGTGTTTCTGAATTATTTAATGTAAATTATTGTCTAATGTTTGTGTGTGTAGTCTGCTTCCTAACTGAAAAATCTTTTCTGTAGTTTTTACAACAAACTTCCCAGCCAGAGCTGCATACCAGGCTGTTGCTCTCCCCAGAGTAAGTAGTTGGAAAATATGTCATATGATATCATATTCCATGCATATTTTTTTCAAAATTTTCTCAAAAATTAAATCCATCATTTGCACTGTGTTACTGTATGTGTCCCCAGGATGGACTGGTTGAGATCGAGGCGGTTGCTGTTTTGGGGCCTCTGACCGATGCTTCCTAACAAGCGTATCAATCAAACAATGAAAATTATACTATTTCAGAAAATGTGGATTAGCCAAACTGTTTTGAAGGGAACACAAAAACTGCCAAGACAAGCTTGCTCAATTTTAACACAGCTATATTATTTTTTAAAGATCAATATATTGATTTTAGTTTTTTAAAGTGGGTAACCTGTCAGTCCATCAGCAACCAGACTGGAAGCACTTTCTCTTCTCATTAACATTGATGAGACGTGTTTGGACACTGCATTTTCATCTCCTGCTGCTCACATTTCACTTACAATAGTCAATTATCAAAGCTTGTTTGTTGACTTGAATTACCAGATCAACCTTTGTTGCCATCAGTCAAACTCATGACAGTAAGTATATTGCCCTTCATTATTTATAATCACATAAAAACACAGTAATAAATGCTTCTAAAATTCCTATGTAGTGATTGTGTTTTTCTTGGCAGTGAAAAAAAAGCGCTATCTGTGTTGCCTAAGTCTTCTTTAGCCTCTCAGTTTTCGTCTGTGGACGTGTGTGGATGACCCCCGGGTTAGTCAGCAGGGGGTGGTTTAACGTAGGTTAAGTTACACGCGCATAGAGGGCTCATCAAAGATATTATGTTCAGGTTGAGTTTAGGTTTGAAGCCTAACATAACTCTTGTTACTGTATATTGATGCTGACTAAACGTGACTGCAGTGTAAAACAGGGATGGCCATAAGTCTGCAACTTATTCTGTCAACATTACTGATTCTTTCCTTTTTCTTATTTCCTTCCTTTTCGAGTGGGTCAGTTTGTTTGAGATAAACCAAAAGAAAAAGGTTCACTCACAATACAATTGTCTGCCATGGCAGACAAAACTGGCAGTTTCTATGCAGGCTTCTGATTTAGATTCACTAAATGTGACTGGCAATTTTAATTTCATAGTATTTATTCCATATTCGCATGAGACAGATAAATGAAAAATGATCTAGCTCTGCTACTTTCACTGAGCACTGTCATTCCTCTTTATGCATTCTATGTGGTATGAACATGTTCTGAGACGGGGGGGTAATAAATGGAACACCGTACTACCTCCAATAAGAATCACAGCCATTAGTGAGTAAAACTTTATTCTATACAGTAAAAGGTTAGCAGTATCACAGTGAAGGTTTAGGTAAGCATTATGTTACAGAAACATCAAAGAAACAGGTTGACAATTCAAATTTTCCCTCATCCATTCTACCATATGCAAGTCATGCATGGTTTTACATCTTTTATGTTCTTTACATCACTCATCTTCTTTACAACCCATTTTATAAAGCTAATTCTAACCTTAACTAAGTGATCTATGATCTGCATCCTAGAATTGCAAGATACTGGTATTGGCTGACCATCTAGAAACTTGAATTAGACTAGCTTTTCTTGTCATGGAAGACATGTTTGTGAACACCTGGCAGCACCAGTAAAGTTGTACAAAATGGCTTTTGAAAAATTCACAAGTTGACATTTATTGCATATTCTCAAATTTTGTCAACACTAACCCATTGACAATGCATGCGAGTCTGATGTTGTTGTTTTTGTCAATTCTGAAGAGTGGAATTCATTTTACCCTTTTTTTTGTATCATAGTGACCATTGTGTTATCATAAGTGTAGTGTTCCTATTAAGAAAATAGTTCTTTGAGAAAGCCTGCTATTAAATAATGTGAAAACATTATTTATGTCAGTCTGTGAAACCACGATCAGTGTTTAGTGAGATAAAGTAAAATTAGGCTAAGAGTGTGGCCTCTGTCACTGCGGCAGTGAGTTATTCATCTCTTCATTTTGGTATTCTTGTCACTTTGCAATTTTTGCATCATATTATTCACAGTCAGGTTTGGCTTATTTCCTCAGAAGATGCTACTCAAGGATTTCCTATGAAAGTTGTTTCCTGTGTTTCAACACAGCTACTGGAGTATCTAAAGAGTAAAAAGTCTCTTTAACAAGAGCTTACACATTGCACACCCTCATATCTCATCCCATCACAACCATTTTTGAGGCACTTTTGGTGTAAAGGCCTATATGGATTGCTCCAGGCATTTATTGTCCCGATAGAGAAAAACTCCCCTTCTTCTGCTGTAGAGGTTTATTTACAAATGCACAAAAAATCCTGATCCCCCCCAAAAAAAGACATTATCAAGGCACATTGAATATTAACAAATGTGTGATTTGGTGAGAGCTGGAGAAACAATACAGATAGTTAGGACCTTTTTTTCCCCTCCCCTTTTGCTTAGTTTTTTTCTCTTCCAGATGGCTTAGAAGGCAGCTTTGAGTGATGAATCGCCTCCCCCTGAAAAACAAGGAAGTAAGATCATATAAAAGCTTCTAACGTGAACTCTTGCATGTTACCAATTCATATTTACTCTTTCAATACATCTGGTTTTTATGGTTAACAAGAGGGCAGTAACGATAATGGATGGATGGATGGTACACAAGAAACCATTTTTTTGTGTTGAAATGAAAGTCCTTTCTGGTACATGTTTTAAGTTGTCAATAGGTGGCATATATTTACTAGTGCAAATAATCTTTTGCATCATACCTTTAAAAGTGTCAAAGATTCCAGTAGCTCAATCATATTCTTTAAAAAACGTTCTTCTAAAATTGAATGATATTTAGATTCCTTACTCAGTGACAGCTAGCCCCTAGTTAACACATGGCTTATGCTGGGTTCTCATTTAATGCAAAAAGTACAAAAAAAACATACTATAAAGAGCAGAATGTGTCCCAAAGTTTATGAATTAAGTTGGTCGACTATCGTCTCCTTTATGGGACTGTGGTGTCATTATATGTAAAGCATGATTCCAGCTGTATCACTGAAGATACCTTTGAGGCATGACATGTTTTATAGTTCATACAAGATATCTCATTCACATGTAATATGATTTTTTGTTTTCTATTTGTTCAATTTAGCAGGAATAAAATACTTTATTTAGCCTGATTCTGTGATATCGGCTTAGGGTTCTGGCAGCTTACCAGGTTAGTCCTCCTTTTTGGCTTTCTCACCCTCTGTATCCTGAGATGTTTCATTTGCAGATGCCACTGTACACACAAATACAAACATAAAATCAATGTGACATTTTATATTTGATAAGCTACCTTACATTACATTACATTTATCACACTGATGGTTCGGTTTGGTATGTCTTAACTATCCCCATGTCACTGCTTCTCTAAAGGAAGAATTGAAGGGCTAATATTCCTTCTTTAACAGGGTCTCCCAAACAGGTTTAATAACAATTTACTATAATGCACAAACTAACTTGGACATACACACATAAGGAGAAAAACTAAGAACAAAGAAGAAAACAGCACAGTTCTACAAAAGTTGTGCAGAACACATGGCCTTTCTTACCTGACCTGTATTCAGTGTGCTGCATGAAGGGGTGTTGCTGCCCAAAAAGTACAACATGTTCTGAGAGGTGGTGGGGGATGTTACAGGCAATATACTGCCAATCTCTAGCTCTCTTTCATATTAGAGAACAGATTCAATTTTACGTTTCCAACGTACTAATATAGATATCTGACACATTCAATGTAGTTAAACCAACATATGATATTTCCATGTCATTTAAAACCACTGGTATATTAACAACATATAAAGTTCCATATGAATAACAACTTTCTCCCATATGAGCCATGTTAGTGTTTCCTAACCCTGGTGTGCAAAGCACACTGCCCTGCACTTTGAAAACATGCATGGCAGTGTGCCTTGAGGAAACACTAAACCGTGAAATAAGAATTCACACAGTTATATGTTCATTCCAATCATCCAGAGAAGCATGTCCATAGTCAGTTCACAATAGAGCACAATAAGCGAGTTGCCTAGCCAGAGCTGTTGTTCTGACAAAATGCTGGTGCTATAATCAACAAGCTCAACAGAGGCCTTCTTACTAAGGGCGTGTTGCTGGCTTTTGTCTCCCATACTGTACTGTCTGCTTTCCCTAATGGTCCAACAATAACCAATTCGGTCTGGCCGTCTTAGCACAAAAACAGATGATTTGTGAGCTCAGACTTTCTAATATCATGTTTCAGATTCTTGTTTGGTTACTAAATCATGGTCAAATGTGAGTCAAGTTGACGGATTCACAACTATTAATATCTTAAAAGCTCTCTAAGAATTTTTGAACATCACTGAGTCTTCCTTTCCTTATCTGTTTCTGCACTCTCACACTTTTCTGCTTGTTTGCGCATGCCTACCACCAAAATCATGCCCTCACACATCAAGCCTATTTTAGCCAGTGGCTGTGCTGCTGTATGTGACCGCCCCCTAAAACTGTTTCTTGAGTAAGCAGAATATCTTGTTTAAGTTAGCCTGACAGGTTCTGTCAAAGAAAGAATTCCGTATTTAAGAAATCACCTGTGCAAAAGAATCTGTCATGAAGCGGCTTAAGACTTTAATGCATCGGCATTCATCAAACACTATTGTTCTGCTGTCTTATTGTTAGGGAAACATGACTGTGCAATATTTAAGTATATATGAATCTTGTCCAGTTGGACAAAAGTGTTCTTCAAATGTCGTTTAAGTACCTAAAACTTAATTGTTGCGAAAAGAACAACTTTGTCATTGTCAGAGCTTTTTTAATATGTGCATAAACACAGTAGAAGTTAAGTTAGTTAAAACATGCAAAAATATCCTGTGTATATTATATTTTCATACCAGTTGATGAGGGTTCAGGAGCCGGATCGGCAGCAGGTGCAGGTGCTGAAGGGGCTTCTGATTGTCCCGGGGTGGAATCGGCCACAGGACCCTCTAATGGGACGACGCTCTCCGCAGCAGGTTCTAAGGTCACACTTGCTGGCGGAGCTTCTGGTACTTCTTCTGTCTGCGTTTCTGAAGCACTCGGTGCTGGTGCTGTAACCTCTGCGTTCGGGATAAGTTCAGCAGCTGTATCCAGGGCCTCTGTGGGACAGGGTGTCTCAGCAGTTGGGACAGTCTCAGCGGGGGCAGTTGTGGGCTCTGTTGCTGCCCCAGGGGCAGGATGACCATCAGCCTGAGCAGATGATACAACAGGAGATAAGGGAGGCATCTCTGGAATGGATGCTGTAGCAATAGCTGGGTCTACTACAGGTTCTGAAGGATCTTCAGGAACTGATGGTTCAGCTGGTGCTGCGGGCTCTACTAGCATTGAAACCTCACCGGGTGCTGGAGACTCATTCTCAGTACTCTCTAAAGCACTGACCTGTGTTTCTACGGTGGTTTCTTGGGCTGAATTGTCAATGGAGGCCTTTGGATCTACAGGTGCAACATCTTCAGCTGGAGCTTCAGCAGCTGCTTTAGTGGGAGCTTCAGGAGCCGTTTCAGTGGAAGCTTCAGGGGCCGCCTCGACAGAAGCTTCTGGAGAAGATTCCACAGGAGCTTCAGCAACTGCTAAATCAGGGACCTCGGCAGGGGCCTCAGCCAAAGCCTCTTCCACGGCTACTGCGGTCACCACTGGCTCAGACACAACCGGTTCAACAGCTGGAATGGCGACTACTTCTTCTGCGACGTTGCCAATATCTGCTTTTTCCGTGGCCTCAACAAGGACTTCAGCCACCGGAGGAGCCTCCTCCAGGATCGTTTCAACCGAGGCTTCAACCACTGCTACAGCAGGTTCAGGCTCTGCAGAGGCCTCTGCAGGAGCAGAGGCTGAAGTCTCTTGTGCCGGTTCCTCACAAGCGGCGGGTTCTGGCTGTGGCTCGGAGACTGCTAGGAGGTCTTCCCCTGAGCCAAGATCTTCCTGGGCCTCAAGGGCCATTAGGACTTCCTCCGTTTCATCCCCTCCTCCCGGCTGACAATCGTCTGGTAAGGCAGTCTGCACAGGCAGCTGCATCTGGTCCTCGATGGTTGTTGCGTCTTCTGCAATAATGCCATTTTTGACTGCTGTCAAAACAACAAAAACAAAATTAGGAAGGGAGTACAACTTTTAAGCAACCAGCACATCAGTTCATTCCATTGAACACTTGCACCTAAAACAAATTAAAATATCTGTTCAATATCTAAACATGTATATTCACATATTACAAGAAAGTTTTTCTGAATAATGTATTGATATTTATTTGGAATTCTACAACCATTTTAAAAAAAATTGTGTGCAAAATTAAGTCAAATTCTATTTTATTTATATTGTACAAAATCAAAGCCAATGTTATTTCAATACACTTTGAATAAAATCTTATTAAAACCAGAATTTCTAAGGTTAGTTTTGTCAATATATGTGGTTGCATCGTGAGAAAAAAAATCTGTTTTTTGTTGCCTTTCATGCAATTTGCTTGAACTGATCATGCTTCAGAGAAGAACGGTCAGAGCCAGAGGGATGTGTCAATCACTGTCACTTCTACTCTGGCAGAATGTGTACACGTGAAAGCCTTTTACTGTCATATATGACGGAGCAGAAACATGGGAAGAGCTGAAACGTAGCTGAAAGTGAGGGAGACGCATATTTAAATCATATTACCGTTACTCAAAATTTAAGTCCTTTAGATCAAGCTTTGTCAAGAGTTTTTCTTCAGATTCAATGAATAACGGAAAAATATGCAAAAAACAACATATATCTTTGGTTTCCGACGTTTGCGAAACTCTCCTCAAGTTAGAACTGGATGGACAAGTTGTTACCATTTGAATTCTACCAAACTCAAACGGTTTTTGAGTAGGTTGGAAATTTTGAAAGACAAAAACACATACAACGATCCTCAAGCACAGAATACTTTTAAAACAAAGCTAAATGAAAACAAAAGCATATGAAAAGCAAAACTTTCAAATCACCAGCTGAGATCACAAACTACATTGTGTCTTTTTTTTTATTATTAATTTTTTCTTAATTCAGCAAGCAGTGCAAAACCCACCCTCTGTTATACTACAGGACGGGATATTTACTGGTTTTGGAACGATTGTCGATCCTATATTTTGTATGTTACCATTGATTTCATGAGTAAGATAAGTACAAACACTTAAGAAACATTTGACTTGGTGCATTTGTAATATTTTCAGTTCTACTCATTTCATGATTTTGCTAATTAATTTGCGCGTTGTGTTATTCATATTTCAAAGTGTCTTAACTTCTTAGAGAAAAAAAAACAAGGTTGTGCAGTGCAGCTGAGTGTCAGAAAGGAAATAAACACTAAGGGATGGAGAAAAAGAGATTCTTTCATTTCCGCACTTGAAGATAGAATTTATTAAAGCCCTGAGGACCTTGACTCTCAGAGGAAATAAAACACACGCAACATTCGGGGGGGCACCTTCACTCTGAAGCTGCTGTCATTGGTCTGTGCAGGCTTTGAGAGTGCGTATAGACTCTCAGCCCTCAGGTGAAAATTGAATAAATGAGGCACAAAGAGGCCGAAAATGAGTAATTCAAATTGTACATCTAAGTCACAGGAACCACAAAAAATCTACAAATGAATTAGATCTGTTTTATTTCATGCTTGCTGCCTCTCTGTAGCATTATGTGGACATTGTTCACACACAGGACAGACCAGAAATATTCAGTATGCTGAAAGGGTGGATAACTTGCCGTTGCTGCTTCCTGATTTTATTTGTCTGTCAGGAGCTTTAAAAAGAGCTCAGACTAATAGGTGGAAGGGAATGTGACGGCAGAGCAGCTCACATAAAAATCAACCAGTGGGAGAACACACACCCCAGAGGCACCTCCATCAAACAAGTCATTTCAACATTTTTAAAGCAATTTCTTTTATCTAAAGACAGCAGAAGAGTAAAAGCTGCTAAGTCCAGATGCTCTGCATTCTATAATATTGGCCATTGGAATGCTGCATGTTCTTCACGTAAAAGAACATTAAATGCATCATCCATGTCTTATCTTTGAATTTAAATATTTTACACCCACTACAAAAAAAGAAGTCTGTCATTTCAGTTCTGAACTGGTGTCCAGTATTGCAAATGTCACTGTATGGGTCCGGATGGACACAGCCACGCCAGGCATGGGTGACTCGTTTGTCATCATGATTTAGCAGTCAAAGATGACACAGATCCCAGACAAAACAGAGCCATGGCTGGCTGGAAGTAAAGGGAAAAGAGGGAGGGAGAAGGGGGGGGGGGGACGGACACAGACCAGGGGCCCAGACTGGGGATGGGACCAGTGGTGACTTGGATGGCAGACAACTGGTTTAGCAGACAGACAGTGTAATGCATTAATTAAGACCTCGCTCATGCCACCACATTTAGAGCAGCCTGCCTGGGGGAGAGCACAATAACTGATTTTCTTGCTGGGGTGATGTAAGAATCTGGAAAGGGATCCCGGCTTCTCCAGGTGACTACAGCTGACTGCTTGAAAAAACAAAGCAATGACACAAGCCTCAAGCAGAGTTGAAGAAGGAATGGAACACTCTGTACAAATGAACAAAGGAGCTGTCCCGAGTAGAATGTATAGGAAGTGTATAAAAACCATTTTTGGCTTCTTTCCAAAATTAAAAAAGTAGCTGGAATTGTTTCTCATTCAAATATTAGAATAACTTTAGCGAAGTATGACTATTTTTTAGAAGGCTAACAACAATAATAGTGTGCATATGCGAAAAGTTGCCTTAGGAACACTGTGTACATGCAGCTGGGCTTAGCATGACACTACCATGTGCCAGTAAGTCATGAATAGACAATCATGGGCTGTGTCAGTGCTTGAGGTGGGTGTGTGTTCATGTTTGTACAAAGTGTACACACATTCTAGGCTGAAAAAAACTAAGACAGCCATGATAGCTCTCAGAACTTCTCAAGTGCTTGACTGTCCCTCAGAAAAGCTGTACTTATATCTTAAAACATTTGATTGTTTCTCAAGGGACCATCCCTCACTACTTTATATGCTTTTGTATTTCACTTCTATTCTAAGTACATACATTATTTTTGCTTGGCTTGTGCTGCCTCTGAAAAGCTTTTGAAATGAAGCATGAATAAAGGAGATAGAATGGAAACAGGTTGGATTGCAAATTTTGCCTTGGGCTGCAAAAGACTCAAACACTCCGAACTGGAGTTTCACATTGTCATATTGTAAGCTTTGCATGTTCCCCTAGATAGAAATCTCATTTCATTTTGATCAAAACTGAGTGAGAACTGATCATGCAGGGTCCAAGATAACTATTTCTCAGGTTCCATTCCATCAATAAATCATAAAATTTTTCTCTAAATCAGCCCACTCTGTGGTTACAAAGCTAAAAAAAGAAACAGGTAAAAATAACTAAGAAGACCTCCCAGCAGTGATGAAAAAAAATGACTTGGCATAAATAATTCTGCACATGAGGAACCTAAGTATGCTCTGCAGGAGAGTATGAGAGAGAAAGCACACAGTGTCCCAGACCAGCCAGCAGCAGACATGCAGCTTCCTAAAACATTTAAATCTACAGAAGTACCAGAATTGGAGCACCTACTGTTCCCTTCTTTCGGAAATGCAAACATTGGCATGTGTTCAAGTTACAAACAGCAAACTCTGATGCCCCTAATGAAACACCAAAGCTGTCACAGATCTTTACTCACCCAGTGTGTCTCCATTGCTCTCTTCAGGCTTTGTACCTGGTCTTTTTTCTTGATCAACAGTTTGAGCACTTGATGAGGAGCACCCCATGTTTAGAATAAAAAAAAGAAAGGAGATAGTAAAATGGAACCTGTTTTAAAGAGCAAGTAAACAGAAGTCTCTGCGCTGTTTGCTGTGAAAGACTAAGAAGCAAACATGGACCTAGTAAACTTTGTTCAGTTCCTAAGAGTAGCTGAGCACCATTATCTCTCCGTGGTTGTGTGCCTGTGCATGGCCTGCTGCCCTCTTGCCCCAGACCACAATCTGCTACAGGCAGAAAGCAGAGCAGCGCAGTCTTTATTGCAGAATGTTCCCTAGATCCTGCTCATGGTCACACTGTTCACAGGAGGAGGAGGCTAAGCTTCATGGAGAGTGTCCACCCCCTTCTGCTCTGCTCTGAAGGACATCTGCCACCTTGTGGTAATGTCAAGAATTACACGAAACAAATCAAGATCTTGTCTCATATTATTTCCACTTTTTTTCAAAACATAAAGTGGAAGATGTACAGAAATTAAATACACGCATTAATGTCGTGAGGTTTAGGATGTTTATTTTTTAGTAAACTGTACAAAAAGTTCTTTATGTAACAACACTACTTACCCATAGTTGCTAAAATAGAGAGAACCTTTGTCTAAAGAGACCTTATTGTGTCTGATTGTTCAATCGTATTTCTAACTAATCATGACATTTTGAATACTAGGGTAACATTGTCGTACATCAATATTAAAATGCCTATCTATGACACTGCAACACCTCAGAATAATAGAGTTCTACCACTATTTATGAGTACACAATTGAGCTGTATATTCTGATGATCTTTCCATAAATAAAAAAATAATATGTAACTACAATGCACTTAGCTTTCATGTTAAAGTCAGAAATATTTATTGGCAGCATTTAAGACCCTGACTGAACTTTGTTTCAAAGTTAGTTAAGCTTCCTGTGTGGCAAAATTCTAGATTTCAAGGCACTATTGTTCAAAATAGGTTGAAGGTAGCTGTTTCTGGGTTTCTACCCAAATGTTTTGATAGCATACGTGATTTTTTTTTTATTCCCTTTTTTTTCTAAATAAAATGGGAATTTACACATGTTTCTGTCAAGGTAGGAAGTGAACCGGTGCCGACTTTCCTTCCAGAACTGCTGCAGAACGCATGATGAATCCCTCAAACATCAAACAACAGTAAATAAACTGTGAGCAGTGCACTGAAATGTTGTAGAAAGTGTTGGATTTGCTTATGTTCCAGCTTAGCTTAAACAGCAGTTTTGAAGTAACTGCATTTCTGCAGGGATGAGTGCTCCTCAGTTTCACACTCCGGTCATCATGGTGGACGAATCAGTGTCTTCCTTTTATGTACGAACGAGACGATTCTCCAGAGTTTCCAGCTTCTTTGACATAGCTTCAAGTGGACATGTTAAAGAATTTTATGACAAATGCCTTTTTAAATAAATAAAAATTGAGATACAGTACATAATAAATCCATTTTAAAAAAACATGATGCTTTTTGGTTAGGATAAGGATTTTTTTTATATGGCTTATTTGTCTTTTTTAATTATCTTCCATAATGCGTAACCAAGGCAACAGAGATGTTGTCTGCATATAGGAGCACCTCATTTGACTCAAAGCCCAAGTAATGCTTTGAAAAAATATCCCAACAAGATGAAACAGGAATGTTTAGGATGCATAACAAATGTGTGTATTTTTTAAGGTTTTAACCTTTTAAAATAATTTGAATATTCTTTGTTAGAATCTTAGAGCCACACACTCACATTCACTCCTAAAGGAAATCTGGAGTAAAATGCATGGGATATAAAGGAACATAGACACAAGAAAAACATGCAAAATCCACACAAAAAGATCCCAGTCTTGAAGGATCAAGCTTTTTCTTAAAATTCTGGGCTCTAACAGGAACACTCTTAGTGTGAGTTGAAGGTTCTAGCCACCACGCCACAATCCCACCCTGCCAGCACAGTCACTAAAAAAGGATATCACTCTGTGTCAGGCTCCTTAACTTCTCCGTAACTTGGTTCTGAAACATTAAGACATTCTCACACTGGCACATATTTTCATCCGCTGGTTTATCTGTGGGAAAAAGCAGACAAATAAGATGTGATATATTTTAAAGAATCCTTTCATTTTTCACATCTACACACATCTTCCCTGTTTCACTTTTTTGGGGATTCAAACCAGGAACCCTCATGCTGTGAGGAGAAGGTGCTACTTTCTATTCCCTTTCCATTCCAATTTCCCCATCTTGTCACTGCTTATGAAGGCTGTGACAAGTGATTAAGTCATTTATGTGTATTGTTTCTATGTTTTATAACATTTTCTGTCATAGTTCAAAGGAAAAAAAGCATGTGGGATTAGTCATGAACAATGAGTGCTTTTCTCCTTAGAAAAGGCTTCCTAATCTTTGGACTGTTGTAACTGAGGAGGCAGCAGGTGGCAGTACTGCACAATGACAGGAAAAGTTTGATCAAGCTTTTTCTTGGGAAATTGTGCTTAATAAACCTGCCCCTAAGTGAACGTTAAACATGATGTCCTTTGTGCTTTTTAAATATAGACTTTTATCAACAACAATTTAGTCCTGGACATGATACCTTTACACATCCTTGATTTGAGCTTCGTTGCAATTTCTCCCATTTTCTCGAAATCTTCAGCATAATACAGGTGCATCTCATCAGGCTCTGACGCTATCTCTCTCAGCTCCTGTTCAATAGCCTTGCCAACCCCCAAGGCATATATAGTGACACCTGAAAATGGCAAAAAAAAATAGACCGATGGCATGAAACTGCTATTGAAAAGAAGAAGTTTTGATTAGAAGCTGAAATGGGACAGGATGTCAAGACAGAATACAAGTGATATGTACCAGAATTTTTTGCTTTACTGGCCCATTCAGAAACATCGTCTTGTGATCTTCCATCAGTGAACACAATGCTGACTCGTGGAACGTTCGGCCTAGCACCTTCTTTGGCTGAAAAGCTCAACTCAAACATGTGGCGCAGGGCCGAGCCCGTCATGGAGCCCCTTCCCATGTACTGCATCTGGTTCACAGCCCGCTTGATGCTTTGTGTTGATGTGTATTGCTCCAAAGTGAACTCGGTGCGTACCTTGGTGGAGTACTGAATAAGGCCCACATGGGTGCCTCTACTGGAAATGTCCAGAGAGTCCACAATGCTGTTTACCAACTGCTTGACCAGCTCAAAGTTTGCGGGGCCCAGACTCTTGGAACCATCGATCACAAAAACTAAATCCATGACTCCATCGTGACATTCTGGTTCTGCCAAAAAGCAAGGATGTAAATTATTTGTTTTGATTCGTTCATTTTGCATGTCTAATTTCTTTAAGTATAGATCGAAAAAATTGGTTGTGTTGTCTGTCATGCAAAAAAAGTATATTTTTTTGTCAGAAAATGGTTATCAATTTCACTGGCCAATTTTATATAAAAGATACAAACAGTACAAAAAAAATAAATATGCCACCAGATGTTACGATACATACTTCTTTCAGACTTCAAAATTCAACAAACAGAGTTTGTTGAATTTTGATTATGATTCATTTACAGTGTACTGGTTTAGTTTTTGGTAATAAATTATAGATTGCTAAATTAAAGATGTGTTCATGTGTTCATACTTTTGCATCTCTTTCCATCTTCAGCCAGAACAAATCCTTCAAAACATTTACAGATGTAGGAGTCCGTGGTGCTGACGCACTGATGCTCACAGCCGTGGTCCACCGACTGACACAAATCCAAAACTAGGAGAGTAATCACAGAAAACATGCATTACTATAATTCTGCAAAGGCATAATGAAAAGTATTTCAGCTTTGCTGAATTGTGGTAAAAGGGATAAAGAGTAAAAGGACTAAAAATGCAAAAAGCTAACTTAAAGTTAACAGAAAGCATAATATTCAAAAGGCAAAATGTATTTTCGTTGAGCTCTGGGGTTAAGACTGACCTCAAAACCAGTCTAAAACTTGTTCTAAATCATGTAAGCTCTAAATACTGGATAAGAGGGCAAAAACATGCTGACAAGACAATTCTAATAAAATGAATACATTTTGCATGGTAGAATCATTAATGAAAAATTTAGTCTTAAATAAATAATTAATTCAATAAATGAATTAATGAATTTATTTCAGACGATTAAACCACATAAGGTTATCAGTAAACATCTATTACTAAAAGAAAAATCCAAAACAGCATACATATGTTGTCATTAATGATATCCCAACATCAGAAATATTGTATGTCACTTTGGCCATTCAAAACATAGCTGTGGATAATAATAATGATAACCAAAACTATTGTTTGTTAAATAGTGTCCGTTATAGAAAACACGTGCACATACTTTTGCAGGTTTTCCCATCTGGTCTGAGTGTGTACCCTTTTTTGCATTTACACAAACAGCTGTCCTCTGTGTTCATAAACTCCTGTTCACAGCCATGTGTTCCATCAGCACAGTGATCGATTTCTGCAAGAGAGAGGCGATGTATAAAAAAACAACAACTGAGGAGTGACTTTAAAAAAACTGGTGACATATTTGACATTTGACAAATTCGAACAAACAAAAAAACGAGAAATCAATTTTCTACAATAGCAAGAATATAAGCAAGAAGCTGATTTTTTTACTTTTGCAGGTTTTCCCATCTGGTCTGAGTGTGTAGCCTTTTTTACATTTACACACACAGGATTTTTCTGTGTTCATAAACTCCTGTTCACATCCATGGCTGCCGTCAGCACAGTGATCAGTCTCTGAGGTGGAAACAACACAAGCAAGAGTGGAAATTGTTGTATTTTGCCAAATATATCACTATTATGAATTATATTAATGTCTATTAATGTTATATTAATGTTATGAGTGTTTGCAAATAGATCGATTATGTATTTGCAAGTTGTGTTTTTTTTTTTTTTTTTACAATACTACAAAATGGAAAAAGCTCTTACTGCTGCAGGTCTTGCCATCAGGATTGAGGACGTAGCCCTTCTTACAGGTGCAGATGTAGGACTCTGGAACGCTGACACAGTTATGCTCACAGCCGTGGTTTCCCAGGTCACAGTAGTCTATTTCTGAACAGGACAGCTGTTTCATTAATGTTTTACCTGTGCTACCACAGCTGCAAGCACATTGATGGATGTATAGTATTTATCTACATCAGATTTGGCTGTTCAGATCAAAATAGAAAATCAAATGACGCAACTCATTCTGAAAATCTATAGTTTTGTCTCTTTTAACGCTCACTGAAGGAACAGAGTAGCATCAGCCCATTTGTCTTGTTCTGATTCAGAACACCAGGATTGCCTAGATACAATTCCACATTTCAGCAATTTCCCTGTTAGAACATTTTCTTCAGGAAATCTCCCACACTTTACTTTCTGTTAACGTCCACCGGGGGACCAAAAACAGGTCTTATATTTCCAACTGAGGGTGGACAGGACATCCCGCGGAGGAGGGAGTCTGGCTGTCATTTCAACTACAGGTCCACAGAAGTTACACATTTCCACAACTTATTTTCATTATAACCATGAGATTCTTATCAAGTGTATAATTCATGTAAAAAAGTATCAATTTAGATCATCATAATTAGAAATATTATGACAAATTAATCGTCTCGTTGCATCAGAATAAAATAAAAAATAATTCACTCATATCTTTCGCCTAGAAGGAAAAAAATGATTAAATTAAGTTTAGAAGCTTTTAAAAAATATATTTTTTACTGTTGCAGGTCTTCAGGTCTATGGTAAGTTCATATCCTGGACGGCAGCGGCATTCATAGCCATCAGGTATGTTAACACAGATGTGTCCACAGCCGTGGTCCACCACAGCACACGTGTCCTCTTCTAAAGGAAAAACATGGAAAATATTCATACACAGCTCATTTGAGTTACTCCAAACAGTCTGAGACTGTTGGGAATAACAGCAGAGAAGAACAGTAAGATAATGTTTATCACATTTTCACTTCTGAGTGAAACCTTTCTCTCCTTTATCCCATCATAGGGATTTGTTGGGAGTTATAGGGAATTGTGATCCTTGGAAGAGATTTTTTTTAATTCCAACTTGTGGGTCTCTTTGTGTGTTAATGATTATGACTTTTTTGCAATAGAACTGTAGAAATTTCATTTAAGAGGAGAAAAATCTAAATGTGATGACATTTATGATGCCATAATTAAAATCAGGTTTTTTTCTGTGGTATTGAAATCTTGTATATGACATGTAAAGAAAAACTGAAGATGATCTGTAGCGTGTTAATGATATCAAAGAGTAGTTTATAAGTAAATTAAGAAAAATTGTGAACGTGCTGGACAGATTTACAGTGCATATGTCAGACGGAGACTGTGGCTATGATACATTTTGGGGTCTTTTTCACCTTTGCATGTCTTTCCATCGGGGTTGAGGGTGAAGCCTTTCCTGCACTTACACCTGTAAGAGGCCGGGCTGCTCACACAGATGTGCTGGCACTGATGGTCCACCACGTCACACATCTCTGAACCTAAGACATACAGGAATACGGACTGTTAACAAATGCTCAAGCACAACTTTCCTAAAAAAACTAATTCTGAAAAAAAAAACAGAGCACTAGAATAAATATAATCCCCACCTCCACACAGTTTGGACTGGAACACCGAGATCAGGGTCTCTATCTGGCTGAAGTTGGCCACCAGGTGAACGTGTTCAGAGTGGGGCTCGCTCCCGATGGCCTTCAAGGTGTTCATATCCACCCGGCCCACACCGATGGCAAAGATCTGGATCCCGGCCTCCCTCGCTTGCATTGCGACCTCCTCCACGGTGTCCTGAGGCCTCCCGTCCGTTACGATCATGGCAATCCGTGGGATGTGCATGTCGGCGGGCCGGGCCCCCTGCTCCTCGGTGAAGGCCGTTTCCATGGTGTACTGAATGGCCAGGCCCGTCATGGTTCCCGAGGCCAGGTGCTCCATGTTCCTCACGGCCCGCTCCACTTCGGCCCTGGAGGCGTAGGCGTCCAGGGAGAACTCGGGCTGGACCACGCTGCCGTACTGGAGCAGGCCCACCCTCGTCGCGTCGCGGCCCACGTGAAAGAAACGCAGCAGGTTGACGATAAAGGTCTTGACCTTTTCGTAGTCTTTGGGCCGGATGCTTCTGGAGCTGTCGATGACAAAGACGAAATCCAGCCTGGTGGCTTTACAAGGAGTCTCTGCAGACAAAAATAAGAGTGAGACCAGCTTCGAAAACTGATGGAAGACTTAATACACAAGCATTCTGATCACTAAGTAGTCACTTGCCCACGTTGTTGCTTTGGACGGTTGTTTTATTAGTCTCTGTGGCTGGGATTGCTCTGGGATGGCGTCTGTCCATCTGCACTGCATGGCAGCACAACAGGCAGAAGAGGCCGAGGGCCAGGGATCTCATTCTGATGCGACAGATGGCAACTGAAATACAGGGGCACATTCACAATATTTGAAACAGAATTATATAATAAAAATAGAAAGCAATGACAAACAACGATTCTGTGACAAAGATGAAAATCCATCTATTACTGAATCAAAACCATGAAACCACACAGAATGTTGTGCTTGATATTGTTTTCTTATAGGCCTATTTAATTTATTTCGGTCTTTTCTTTTGTTTCAATTAAAAATAGTTGGCTCTAACTTGAATGTGATTTTATTCCCAGTTCCGAGCTCTGACTCTCATAAAAGACGAATCCAATTCAAATGGAAACAGAATAAATCACAAAAATTCTTCTGTAAGATCTCAAAGGGACAGTACAACAAAATAAACTGATACAGTTTTTTTCTGTGCTCATAAATTTATCAAAACATATCGGGAAAAAACAATTAAATGAAATCTTGCAACACTTCCATCTTTTATAGAAGATTGTTGATTATGTTGAGATTTTTTTAAAACGTTAAACATGCCTCAAAGGCATAGTCAGCAATGCATGCTATTTCATTATACAATTAGAAGGCAAGTTATTTTGTTAGGCCTTGAGAAAAAATCTCTCAAGAAAACTCTCTGAATTGTTCAATTGTTTATGAAATAAGACAGACATGACTCGTACATGAGATCACTGTTTCCCCATCTGTCACCACATAGGGTGCAAGCCTCTGGATGTTTTGCAATACAGGTTGTTCAGAGTGATTTAAGAGAGGCTGAAAGGTACCACAGACTGTTTCCCTATCCGGTCCCCAGTGGAGCCATTCTTTACCGGCCATATTTGGACCACGAGTACTGCCGCTGTCTGAGAGCTTAGTAATCGATGCAGAAATTGCAACTTCACCCACCTTCAGACAACAGAAAATCATATTTGTCATGATGTATTCATCATGTTCCTGAGGGCTAAACAGAAATACACTGATTCCAAGGTCTCTAAACTCAAATCTTGAAAGCTTTGTCAGATAGATTTGTACAGCCCCACACACACTTGTATACAGTAGCTGCTGACCTGGGAACTGCTGGGGTCACGTCTCCTTGTTGCATCTCACACTGAGCGGTTGACCCCTGAACTCACACGTGCTTGACATCTCTCGGCAAAAATTCCCTCAGAATCTATTTTTCTTGCTATATGTCTTTTACTGTCCTAACAACAAATTATATTGTACCAAAATCCCTACTTTCAATGAATAACATTTTTACTGTTGTTGATATAAAGAATGAGTTTATTTCTCACCTGATATGTAGATCTACTCTATATTTTCTTTCATAAATGCTTTCTTATATGATTAGTGGGTCTCATCATGATAAAAAAAAGTAATTCTGCTCATATATAAAGGCACCAATTGTATATTCTGGTATCAAGCAGAAAAGTAGCATGAACAGAACAACCCTATGGGACCTGATCTGTATTGGCCCTCTCAGTCCTTGATGACTTTTCATCATGTAGGTAAAAGAACCCCAACTGTTTGCAGTTATCAAGTGACACAACACAATGCGCACAAATGACTGACAAGCCAAAGAAAAAATGTTTTTTTTTGTTTTGTTTTTACTGAGAATGGATAGCATGCAGCCAACTTCCAATTGATGAATTTCAGGCATTAAATGAATATGGACTCACCTAGCTGTCAAAACGTGTTGAAAAAGTCAAGGTTCTTGAGGAATCCCAGCTCAGAGGAAAGAGACGAGCTCCAGCGGGAAAAATCTGTCAGTCTCACTTCTCCAAAGTGTAAACACACTTTTGTCCCAGCCCTCTGTCTTTTTGCACTGCTCAGCCCCTTACTCCATCTGCCATGTTTCTCTGTTTACACCCCCTCTGACTCCAACTTAAGAGACGCCTCCTGTTCTGCTCAGTCTGCTGGTAAAATGACTGGACCATCACTGTTTCATACACATTTCTGTATTATTACTTGAGTTTATTTTGGTCAAATGGAACAGAAATTATCCAACATTTTAAAGCCACTCAACATTTCCAAGAAGGATTAACGTTTGAATTAGTTAAATCAGCCAATCAATGCATGTCTTGATTATTTGCCTTTTTGGGGGGGGAGTAGTGATTGGAATTTTACAGAATGGATTGTGGAGGAAAATTCCACATTCTATGTTTTTGGAAACAGTTAATGGAAAGACTTAGTAAAAGTAGAGCCCTCAGAGTTCCGACCCATCTGAGCGTACCTAGCTGCTACAAAATAAACTGATTTATACTATTTCCTCTCACCTTTGAGGCCAAGTTGTTTCCAGGAAACATCTGCTATTTAAGCTAAAGAGTCCACCAGCAAATAGAGCATATTCATTCTAAGTACTACATATTAAACAGAGAGTTAGTCACTCTAGTTTTGCCCTACAAACTGTACACGCTTAATATATAAAAACAAAAAAACAACTAAAAAAAACAGACATTTTCAGTGAAATGTGGTTTTAATAGACAAATAAATGTCACATCTTTATTTTCCATACAGCAGTGGTCTTCAAGTTTGACTTTTGTGTCCTTGCAGGACAATCTGTGTCCGGTGAGCACTTTGCCAATAACTACATCTGGTAGAACAGACTTATGTAATGTTTACAAAGAGCAAAAAGCTCCCATTGGCCTAATTGAAAAAACACAACCAAGGTCCATATTCATTGAGCTCAATGTTCCCCTCAAGCAACCCACTCTTTAAGTTACTTCAAAGAAAACAAAATATTCCAGATCAGTTTTGTCATAATAGATAAATAGCAGCCCGAGACATTTCTCGTTAATCAGTAGAAACACACAGTTACATTTAAAAGTCTGCCAGGACAACTCAACACTCCAGACAATTCTGTGTTCTTGTTGAGTGATATACGTGATATGTTTGATATACACTAGGTTGCTCTTTGATCATGTCAGAATACAGGCAGATGCTTCTCTTTGGGAAACTTTCAGTCTAGGTTACACTTCATACATCCGCCTAAAAAGTGCATCCCTGTAGAGAGAACGTTTTGAATGAAGGCAATCCAACCCTGATCGTGAGCGGAGACAAAAAACTGAACGTTAACACACGATGACTCCTCACTTATGCTGCCACAGTTTGCTACCGTGGCCAAATAGCTATTCATCGTTGCATTTATGCATAAGATACACATTTTTGTTTAGGCTGGGACTCACAAAATACTTTTAATTTACACAGACAAGATAAATAGAATTGATAAAAATATAGATAATCTATGGAAAATTCTAGTGCTTTAATATTTACTTTCACCCAGATTCAAATGCATAACAATGCACATCATTTCTGGAATATACTAAAAGAGACAGAGTGTATATATGCACAAATACACACACACACACACACATTTATATATATATATAAATGTAAGGAAATATGGGATAATCTGTAATAATGAGAAGTCACGGTGGTGGTGTGTGTATGTGTATCCTGAATGCTTTTGTGTGCATAATGTTTCAGTGTAAAGTGTGTGTAGCTACAATATATCCATCAATATATTGTACACTGGACAGGCAGTGTGGCGCATATCGTTTTGCTGGGGTCATATGAGCAGTGGGGTCTAATCAGCGGGATCCTCTGGACTGTGCTCACGCTGTGGCGGCAGCACAGGGTGGCGGTGCCTGTTTGGGAGGAACGCTGACGTTGTCGTCGTATGGAGGAATCAGCACCTGGAGTTTAAAAAAGGACAAAGAAGGGAAACACAATGTAAACCACCTTGAATGTGCGAGCACGTAAGCTGTTTTTGTGCAAATTCGCTTTGAAAAACAAAATGATCTCGGACTCTGCAAAATCCTGACAACATAAAATGACCTTATAAAAAGGATAAACTGCAGGATTTCAGCTTTATATGCTTATGTAACGTGCAAAAAGATAAATACAAATATATTCACAGTGACTACGAGACAGTGCTGCTATAGTATGTACGCTAAATAAAGACCCTCATGGTTATAGTTATCTCTGTATCTTCAAGGAAATGTTTAGGAAGAGGTAAGCATAATGGGTTAACCAATTAGCTTTTCTATTGTGGTACTACTTTACTTGCAATAGTAAAAAAATAAACAGGTTGGGTCCGGCTACAGACGGTCACAGACTTGCAAAAAGGACTCAATGTGATTTTCACTCAGGCAACAATGAGTAACATACTGTAGTGCTTAGAAGCTTTTTTTAAATTTTGGAATAATAAATTGCCATTAAGTCATCAAATGCATTTTGTATAATTAGTCACATATGCACCGAAACTGCCAAATTAAATCACAATTTAAAACCTCTAGAAACATGACATGTCTATGTTTTTATTTCCAAAGTGTTAACTGTCACAAAGAGCTTTCCCAAGTAATAGGAGTTCCAAAACCTTTGAAGGAAAACTGAGGGTGTGAACATGGACCACCACACAAAAGAATAAAAGTGGAGTCTCAGCTGTCCCAATTGTCTAAAACAAATTGTGAATTCCCTATTTTCCAATAAATTGAGCAAATTCTGAAATCTATCTTTTGTTCTATTGTAACTTTACACTTGAAAGGTTAATGATTGTTCTCTGAGAAACAATTTTCACAAGCCTTTTTCAAAAAGAAGAATCTAAACCTCCTCTGAGCTGGACTTTTCACCGACTTTCAGAAAGACTCCACAGCAATTTGAAGAAAAGAAAAGCGACAAGACTCCACATGTGACTCACACCCATTTTAGTTTAGCTGCTGGCAGGAAAGCAAACAGAAATGTGGGCTCTGAATGGTTCACCTGGATTCATATACAACCCCCTGTGTCTGACCAATGTGGATAGGATTTTAAACCATGAGTCACAGAGGGGGTCAGTGCCCTAGACAAAAAACAGCCTATTGTCCTTTCTCATTTATGCTGGATCATAATATCCAGGGCAGCCTTGGAGACTTAAATAATTTTCCTTTTGCCTGATACACTTATCACAAATAAATCATGATTAGCAGTGAAGCCTAACTCATTTAAACAGTCATCAGAGAACCTGCTAATGGCACAGGGGCTGCAAACTCCTTCTCTGAACTGCCTGAGTGAGCCTCTGCAGATAGGTCAGTGACTCACAATGAGCAACATTTTAACCTGCTGGACAAAATGCAATGACATTTGGGAAAATAATATGGAAAAAGTGTTCTTTTTTGTGTTTCTGTTGACAAATTAAATGAAGTCGACGAAACAAAAATAGAACATCAGGCTTTCAGTGTGTTTTACGATAAAAACTCAAATGAAATTAACCCTTTAAAGCTTGATCCAAGAATAAAACAAAACAGAAAATTACTTTTTTTTGTTTGAAGTCCTTATTTGGCCTTTTAACAAAATATGTATATATATATATATCCATATATATATATCTTAATAAAATAACTCTTGCAGTGCGTCTACAAAATGAGTTTAATACAAAAGAAAAGAACATGTTGATCTAAAGTCCATTCACTGTTACAACTCTATCCTCTCTCTCGATAAGGAATGCTTTGAAACAGTAAAAGATTGTGCTTGAGGAGTAAAAAGGCTGCCACAGAATATTCAGCTAGAATAAATTTGGGGGAAATTGACATTAGGACTATGGATACAGCTGATAGATCTGTTTTTAACAACACATATGCTACCGCTTTGGTCTCTTGCCAGAAGAGCACAGAAACATTGCCTAAAGGGAGAGGGGGTTTTCCAGTCGATTTAATAAAGAGAAATATCTCTCTTTCCCCCCTCTGATGCATTTCAAGGGTTACTTATTACTCCTAAGAAGCCAAATAAGCATCCGGGTGGGTGTGAAGGTATTTTCTGTGCGTTTAGGAATGTGTCTCATATGGACTGCATTGGCGCACTTTTGACCTGACCACTGTATCTCTAATGTTTCACGGAAAAAAAAGCCACAAACCTGACGGCAGTCTGCAGGGAGCTCTAATTGAGCACGCCGGGCTCTAACTGAAAAAGCATACCTGTCATAGTGACGCCTGATGGTTCAGATACAAAGGGCAAGAATCCCTTTTTTTTCTGGCACTTTTTTTTTCTCGTGTGAGCTGTTCCTCCATTTAAAGCTCAGGTGTTTTAAACATTAAGAATCTACGGATATCTCAGTTGCTTAACAGCCCGAGACGTCACATAAATCCACAAATTGTATTAAGATGTGGAGCGCTGTCTCAAATTGTGTAGAATGTCGCACTCAGAGGGGTTTTAAGCTGCATGGGGGTAAGTGTTCAACAGAATACCTGTAAAACCTGCTGTATTTGAAGTTCAAATATCAGTCCTGATGGAGTCGGCTCCAGACAACTCATTGTGCTGATAGCCAAAACAGATCATTAGTGTTTCTACAGCCTAACTTTTCCTTTTCTTTTGTGTCAGAGTATAAGTGCAATAATTGGTGTGTGGGTAGCAGTGATCAGAGGGCCAAACTCTGGAAACAGAACACCAACAGGAGGCCCAGAAACACACACAATCGGAGCAAACATACTGTATGAGCACCATTCTAATGGTTTTGCCAGCATGGAGTTGCATATATCTCCATCCAGCCTGTTCATCCATCCATGCTACCGTGGCCTCTGTAAAACTGCTTGCTATGAGAACCCGGCTTTATATTTCCTTCCTCCCTTCAACATGATGACTTTACAGTTGCCAGACTGGCCTGGGCTGAGGGAAACCTACGCAGACGATAGAAGCGTGACAAGTGGTCTGGACTGTATAAGGAAATCATTTTTCCACAGTTGTGAGCTGTTTTGTTGACTTTGAACGCTGGTGAAAGGAGCAGATGGAGATCAGACACCGTTTTATGTTGGGTTCTGAGCTGATGATGTACACATGAAGAGACTACGAAGACTAAATACAGCAACAACGTGGGTGTAAATATACATACACACCTCACATATTCACAAGAATACAGTTTGTTCCTTAAAATGGGTTTGCCTTACAAACAGGTTCACTTTTTGTTGTATATTTTGTTTTCCACATTTGTTAATGTTCTTTTTTTAATCAGTCTCTTCAGGTTCATGTTAATAATAGTATTTGTACAGCTGTACACTGCACATAAGGAATGCCAGGGGCATTACTGTCGGAGCGAGAGCAGTCAAACGATCGCTACGCTTTGCACACAGATGTGTGTGATAGCTCATTGGAAAATATGATTAGCATTCACACAGGTTGTTGGACAGCAGAACATTTGTGTGCAACCACATTCCCAAGAACTGAGAGTGAAAATAGTACTTCACGTTCAATAAAAAACATCTTAATGTTCAATAAAAAATCCTAAACTAACCAAAAATGTATGTCTTAACCACATGTTATCTAGGTGGTACATACGTTTTACAGTTATCTAATATTTTGTTATGCCAAATTTCTAAGAAAAATAATGAAATTATCATTACTACTGTTATAGTTTTTTGCTGAATATAATATATTTTGCTTAATTTCCCATTTGATGTGCTGTTCACATTAAATTTAAATTAAAATATGCAACAATACACATTTTAAAAAACTATACGATACTCATGGTCAAAATCTAAGAGCTATAATATCCAATTGGTCACAGAACATACTTGATCTTTTTTCAAATGGATTTCCTCTCATTAAGAGCTAGTTATTATGGGGCAAAGTGCCACAGATAAGCACAGGAAGTACAATAATATGCAGAGAATCCCTAGTATCATCCTTTAAACACTGATTTCAAACCATGGAATCGTCATTGATGAAGATCGACAGCAGGGGAACTTACCGTGGTGTCGTTGGTTGTAACGTAGAGCAAGATTTCAGAACCACCCCTTCCATTCACATATCTGTAGCAGTTCCACACACATGCTATCAGATACGCCTGATGCCAGATAAAGAAAAACAAAACACAAATTAAACAATTTAGTTCCAGAATACCAATATAACTTCTTAGATAAATGTCACACTGTAATTCAACACATTTTTCTTCACATAATGATGCTTTAACAACTCAGCTCGGCCAATTTAGCATTCTTGGCATAACATTTTGTTCAAATAATGTATATTTAATCTCAATCAACACTTTGCTTCTTGCATTCCTCCCTGTAGAATGAATTACATTAACCATAAAGTTATTTACTAAGATGGAAAACAGTAGAAATGTATAACATTAGGATTATATCATGCAAACAGGCTAATGATGGCGCTTGGCTATGAAAAAAAGTATACAGTATAAAGGCAATGTATCTCACGAAGCTGGATGTATGACAGCAAATTATTTTTACAGAGTCTATCTGCGGGATTCAGTTTTGTTTTCCGCGCACAGACAGACTCAAACGGCCTCACACATACAAGAACAGCACACCCCAAAGAGCATGAAAGAGTCATAAAATTCTGTTATTCAAAGAACTTCTCTGTTTTGGTGAATACAGACTCTGTTTACAAGGTCTGGGGAAAGGATTGACATCTTTTTATAGTAGTGAAAAACAACTTCCTGTTGTTTTTCTGCAACCCTAAAATCATCTGGCTCTCTGCAGGCAGCGTGCTACTGGACAGAATGCCTCCACCAAACACACCACCATCTGCTACATCAATCCATCTGCCTGGACATCCAAAGCCAGTCTGAGCTCTCTAACTTTCTTACCATCAAAACCCAATTAAGAGGCCTCTTTAATGCCCTCGCAGTTCTGTTGTATGAATAGCCTCCAAACAACTGTACAAAGATCCATGTCCTGCAATAGTGGCCAATCGATTTACTCATCAGTCCACTGCAAAAGATTCCAAAATGTGATGACAATGCCAGCTGGGCAAAGTGATTTTTCTTCATCAGGTAGAAAATGATTCAAGCATCGTTTGCAGGCAAAACATGCCTCCTCTGGGAATGACTGGAAATCTAAGAAAAGTGGCTTTTCTATTTTGAGTCTAGACTTAATAGCCTGGGATTTCTAACATCACTGTAGGAGCTTTAACAAAGCACAAATTGTTTTTATTGTCAGCGAAATAACAAAGCAAGACATTTGACGTGATGGTAATCCAAAATATGTAAAGATTTTAAATACTGTGCTAAAATACTATTATTATTTCTGTAAAATGTCTTCATGTGTTTAGGCATTAAACACTTTATTTGCTTGTATAAGCTTTTTTTTCTTATTTTTGAGAAGTGACAAATAATTAAGTTGTTGTATTAAAGACAAGTCTGGTGTCATTACGTTTAGTTCAATTTTAGTTTGAGTTTTTTTTACACACATATACTTGCCGTGTGTGTGCTATACGTGCCTCAGTGCTCAAGTGATTAAGACTGTAAAGAGGTTTTACACAAATCATTAGGACACACCTGGATAAACAGTCTGGTCACTCCAAATATGCTATATATGACACGGTTCTGTTCATGTGATCTGCATTTTCATTGAACAACAAGTTTTCTGACTGGCAACATTAGCTGACAACTCATTTTACTGGGCAAAAAAAGGGGTCATGTGAGTCCAGAAAGGTTATTAAGTAGTGATCTAACTAGGTCAAACTCATTTAAAACATGTTTTTGGTTTTAGTGATAGCTCAGCATATTTTCTACTTAGTTATAGGACTTTAAAGATCATTTTAAGAAGGGCTGGCATTTTTTTAATCCATATCTTAGTGTACCTTTAGTTTTTAAAAGAGAAAATAAAGATTAATCATTTGTAAAATGGGTATCCAGAATTCGACAATTTTGTAATCCCTTGTTAGAAACTATCACTACTTCTATTTTTAGCAGCCATAAAGTCAAATCTTGGCATTTATTTAATTAAAAAAACATAATTCAGGTTTCATAATATTGTTTCATCGTCGGGTAATGTGTGGTATTCCAAATATTTGATAAAGAGATACTAGCAACAAGGGCAACAGTGACTAACCATATTCCAAAATGATCAGATATGAACAGTGAAAATGTTACCTTGAAGCCAAGAATGCAGCCAATGAAGAGCAGAACGATGAACGCCAGGCACACGTTGCTGAGAGCTGCAACCTCCTCTTTGTAGGGGAAATTATCAGGCTAAACAGGAACCAGAAAAACAATCAATAAGCAGCAAGGATTCCACACGAGGTTAAAAGAGAAGCTCCCATCAGCCCGTAAAGACAAGTGTGGCTGTTGATCCACACTTGTGAGAAAAACTACACGAGAAGGTGGAACTGATTTCACTTCATAGGACATAAGATAGGAGTTTCTTACCAGCTGCTGCAGGTAATCCTGTATCGTGTTTGGGTAAACCACAATGCTGACAGCCACCAGGGTGTTGAGAGCAAAGTCAAAAAGTTGGTAGCAGAAAAAAGGAATGATCCAGGCCGCTCGCAGCTACAACAAAGAAATTTGTTTCAAATATGTGTGATAGGCCAAATTCTGAGCGTTGAATAGCAAGCTGGAACTGATCAAAAACACTGTAGAAATTCATCTGGACTAAAACTGTGCCACAGGGAGATTGCATTGAGCTGATAGTTTTTTTTTATTTTATTTTGTACAATAGTCTGGAAGCCATTTATGTTAGACAACATGTTAAGCACCTTCAAGTATTAAATAAGTAAGTATTATTAAATATTATTAACATTTTGTTTACCTTGTAAGCGCCGTACGTTGCCATTCCACATATGAGTATCATCAGCAAAGAGATCGCGGAGGCAATGCACATGTCTGAGGCAAAAAAGAGGTTGAGTCAGAAAAAAGTTAATTTAAAAATATCTAACTGCTGCCATTTATTTTCTTCTGAGATTTATTTAGTCCAAGCACACTATGCTCAAAAAGACATTTTGATTTAAAAAAAAAAAAAGAAGCTGTTTACAACATTATGTGTGCCGGTTCTTTTAGTGGAACATTGTGTTCATAAAAAATATGACATGCTACATTTGTCAACGCAACCTCATATGAACTCCGCATTGCAGAGGAAAATAAATCACTATTATATAAGGATGAAAATGGGGAACATTAAAACACCTGTGGAAGACTTCAGTGAAGTGAGAACTCCTGTTACCCATTAATTTTCCATGTATTTCTAACATAAACTGACAAATAATGCTTTGCAGCTGTGAGTCATTGAATGAATCACCTTTCAGCTTACGAAAAGACTTAAGAATATAGAGGAAATGTGCCAATATATTCAACTGTGAACAGGAAAGTGTTTATGTTGAATGAGATATTTTCCAACATGCAGTACATATATGCATACACACATATATCCATCCAAAAAAAAAGCATGTCAGGTTACTTGGACACTAAGTTTCCCATAGGAATGAATGTGAGTGGTTGTGGATATTGGATGGATGGTATTTAGCATGATATGTGGTGAGAAAAATTTTGTTTGTTGTTTCACTATCAAAAAACGGTATTGGAGACTTTTTTTTCCCTTAAAAAAATAACTATTCTTAAAACCAATTTTAAATTTTGTGAAGACTCGTAGAAGACTGTTATTTAAATGCACCAACAAATATATTATTATTATTATCATTATCTGTTACTGTTTGTAGATCTGAACACAAAAACTACAGAAATAGATCATCCGCTTTAGAGCGTGTCTTTCCTCGTGTTTGGCTGCACTGAGCTGGTTGACTCAAGCTGGATCACCCTAATCTTTTGAATCTGGGACAGCACAGTCATTCCCAATAAGAGACTCAATGTGTCACGTGTCGTGGGCCACCATCAGACAGAATGTTCCAGTGAACTCCTGGTCTTCTAAGGCGGCTTTTCACATTCACTGGACAGATGGACATTAAGCTTGCATGAATGTGGCTGTGGGTAACTGATTAATACTGTCCTAAACACAATTAAGATGCCACTTTTGTCACTTAAGTTATTAGTAAGGAGCTGAAGATTTTAGCTCAGACAAAGCAGAAAGACTAAAGAGTCAACGGGTAAACAAAATGTTTACTCGAGTAAACTTCTTCTATCCTCCAACATTTCCAATCTATTCTAAAGCACTGGGTTTATGGGCAACTTACTGGCATCATCCATGACATCCAGGTCATTAGCCAACTCAGCACTGGTCAGGTGGTACTTCTCGGGATCACTGAGGGCTGTGAGCAGTATGAGTAACACCACTGCATTGATGAGCTTAGGGACAGAAGACATATGGGAGATAAACACAACAATATGGACAATCGGGCAGCTGACGTTATGAGCTAGAGCACAGAGGACCACTAAACTAAATCATCAAAGATGCAACAGATTTATATATCAATCGTCTGCTGGGTTAAACAGATTAACAGGTTTCATTTTAAGCCGTGAATAGAAAGCAGAAAAAATATTATTAGAGCTCGCACCAGAAACAGTTGTTGATCTGAATATCTGACAGTGATGCACCGCACGTATTTGTCTTCTTCTTGCCAGCATAGTTCATAATGCAAATGACATGTACACCTCCCCTGACGGGGTGAATGTGATGGAACATTCTCCACAGTCAATGGAGAGTCTGACACAGAAACCCTCAACCTGAGCCCAGCTGCTAATTTATTCATTGGTAGCAGAGATGGGATTTTTCCACATGAAGTGCATGGTTTAGTTAACCCTGTCCTGCACATGTAACCTGGCAAACTGTCACATTTGCTAAAAACATCACTTTCCAAATAATGAAAGACTTTGTAAAATGCTACCTGAAAATATCAGTTTGATGGACAATAGTCATTTGAGGGCATCTACATGCATTTTGGTGCTGGAACTGACAAAATGGTAAAGTCTACAAGGCAAGGTAAAATATATATATTCCATCCAGAAGAATATTGCAGTTAATAACACAGACTATAATTTATGTTCTGTTAAAAGATATATTATCCGAGCCCATATTAAGCCCCCTGTGATGAGGTTATGTGTCCTATGTCTACACGGATTCCGGAACAAATAGGCGGTGCTCACCATGTACCAGACCCCCAGGATGATGGTTCCGGTGCGGACATGGCAGCACAGGCAGCAGCTCGTGGAGTACCAGCGGTCCCACGGAGAGACCATCATTTTGTCTGTGAACATTTTGGCTGCTGTTCGGGTGTTCGCACGCAGAAGACAATAAACAGACCTTCCTGTCCGACCGACGTCCGCTGAGCGTCGACTGTCACCGAGAAGCAGCGAGGGGGAAACAGCCGCTGTCACCGACTTGTCCGTTGTTTACTTATTGCTAAGCGGCTTAACGGGGAGCGGAGGGCGTCAAGTTAGAGTAAGGGGAAGCGGAACTTCCGGTTTTAAAATAAACTCGAATTGTCGGTCTGAAACGAATTCGAACCAAGAACGGTCTGTGTATCGACATTTCTAGACGAGTTTCGCTAATTAATTTGAATTTTCTATCAAAATATTATGGGGCGATAGGTTTTATATTCAGTTTGTATCCCACAACACTGAACGTGAGTCAATCTAATTGGAAGGGGACAATGTTTAAAGGCAATTCCTTTAAAAGGACGATAATTAAATATCTAGGCTTTCTTAATTAGATTTCTGGAGTATAATAATATGTAGGATATATATAAATATATAATAGAAAATACGTTACGTGTGGTGTGCATGTTCTTAAAACAAATCAGTAGGATTAGGATAGATGTGAAATGTTCAGTGCATGCTCGGTGGTAATCTTTTATTTCTGAAGGCAAAGAGCCAGTGCTTCCGGTCAAATCCATGTTAAACAGTGCTCGCTTGAGAAGATCGCAAGGTCGCATTTACTCGTCCTGTGGATGATAAACACCACAACGCTCGAGCTTAGATAGGCTCAAATCCGATGATGTAACCAGCACTTTCTAGAGTTTTACTGCGGAGGCATAATTACCTTTCTCTGAAATGTGCCTGTCACTTCTTTAAATGGAGCCCTTAATGCATTTTAATTGGATAAACTGGTTTGTATAAGGAAATACAAACCCTTGAAAATGCTAAGCATGTACAGCATGTTAAATTTTGCACAACCATTTAATAGAGCAGATGTTAATGTCGGCAAAAGGGTTGAAATTGTAGTAATAACAAACCCAGACATAGAAAAACTGGCCTTTATTTAGTTGTTTTTTTCTTCATTTCTTTTTTTACATATGGCTTTAGCTTTTCATTTATTACAAACAAGTTTTACAAAAGATTCTGAAGACTTTTTAAATCAACCAGTGGTGGAAAATCATCAAGAGGTTGTTCATGAAACTGCCATGTTTATTTGCCATCAGAGGCTTTCTAATTGGCCGCAGAGCCGCCGGTGGCCGAAAGAAAAGGTTGTCTACACACTGCAGTACAACATCAGAGGCTGGGACAGAACAGATGGCTGATAGCTGATGATAGGTGGTCAGTCACAGAAAGACAAGAATGCAAAAGTACAAAGCGGACGCGATTCCCTTTTCTGTGCATCACCAAGCTTGCATACGCCACAAGCCCAAACCGTTAGCCTGAACGAAACGTCTGATATCAGGAAAATTGGGATGCCTCTGCTCTGACCTGAAAAGATCGCCAAGCAGAGGGCCAGTTCAACGTTACTGCCCTGTGTTCTCTGACCCCACGCCCATTTACAATCTACACAGGGAACGACATTCGTTTTCCACCACAACACATTTCTAAACATGATCAGTATTTTTACTACATGCCTAAGGACTACTATATAAATCCTTCAGTTATTCGATTCAGTGAAATTAGAAGATCAAATACATATTTGCAAAACGTCATTAACACCTCATTACATTAGATTGCACTGCATCTAGTTTCAGTTTTCAATGATCCACCAACCAACACGTCACGTGTATAAAAGTAATTTCATTTTCAAGACAGGTTTTTGAGTCTGTTGATGGAGACCTTACTTCAGAGTCCTTGCCACAAAACATGTTGCATAAACAGGATATGAAGTCTTTTGCATACAGAGGTGTTCGGAGTGGACCGTCTCATGTCTCCCTCCTGGCCTTCTTCTTCTTTGCTGGTTTGGGCGCTTGGCTCTCCTCAGCTGTTTCTGTGGAACCAGGAGGCAGAAGGAAATTAACATTATCCTCGACTGCTGTCCAGTGGTTGCCATGGGCAACGCTCAGGGAAGAACGGCACACACACGACAAGGATATGTGAATTAGGCTCTCTAGTTATTTCTCTTAGGCAGACATTGGTGGTTAATGTTCCAGGTTTACAGAATACTAAAAGACGTAAACCTAAAAGTCATTTAGTCAGAGGTTGCAATTAGTTTTACCCAAATGCTTCAGTCGTGACCTCGAGAGGCTTTCGGTGTTTAACGTGACAGTAATGTTCTTACTTTGCTGTACTGGAGCAGGAAGGTTGTTCTGCTTAGCAGTGGGCTCTCCATCAGCGGACTTGTGTGGCACTTGTGTGACGGGGAGTTTCTGGGACACGGCCTCCTTCACAGGTCGCTCCCCTTTTATCTGTTCAAAAGGCGTAAAAAGATGAGCTGTTTTTAACTCGGTTGGGAAAGAACGAGCCAATCGGCTGAATTCTTCGCGTTTTTTGGGGATCTGCGATTCAGGAGGGGGGGACAGTGCTGCCCGTTGGGCAAGCTGACCTCGACAGCAGCTGCCCTGACGGGCTGGACAGCAGCGAGGCTCTCCTGAGCAGGTGACTGCTTCTTCACGGAGCCCGTGGGCGGCAATTCCTTTGCCGGCTCCTCTGGCTGCATGAAACACAAACAAGAACAGATGAATTCCATTAATTACTGGGGAAAAAACAACAATGGGGGGGTTTTAAAAAAAAAAAATCATCTATTTGGTAGTTACCTGGCCAGCTGCCCCATCCTCAGCAGTCTTCTTCTTCTTCTTCTTTTTCTTCTTAGCTTTAGCTCCTCCATCAGTAGTGGCATCACCCTTGTCTTTATCTTCATCTTCGTCATCTTCCTGCGTACAAAAAAGGTGGCCAGAGAAAGTTCTGTACATTCAGTTAACTCTGTTCATCAGGACATCGAACTGCAAAGCTATGATTGAAGGAAGGAACCACGACAGCTCCGGGCACGTAAACTACTGGGCTGTTACGTCTAAGAATGTCCTGGAAACTTCCATAATATTTAGCTGTGATCCTGCCCCAAGCTGACTTACAGCAGCTCCAATTAGGTTGATCTTAGCTGGCTCGGGGGCGGTCTGCTCCTGAGCTTGGGGAGGTTCAGGAGTGGGTTCTTCGTAGTTTCCCCAGGGTTCAGAGGGAGCATTCCAATCAGAGCTATGGTCAGCTGAACTACCATCTGAAAAACCCAAAGGTTAGACATCTCTAGTGAAAAGGGATAAGAGAATCAAATCAGGCGGAGGGAGCGCTTACTGAGTCCTGACCACTCATCGTCCACTCGGGGCTGACTGAGCCAGGAGAGGTCGTTCACAGGCGGAGTCTCTACAAACCCAAAACAATACACATCAAATCAGCAGAACCAACTGTGGCTACATTCACACTGCAGCCTGAAGTGACCCAAGTCTGAGTTCTTCGCACTGCATCCGAACCTGAACAAAACAATTCGGATTTTTTTCAAAAGCGACCCGGTTCACTTGGATATGTGTTCCTAAATCCAATATGTATCCAGTGGAGACAAAAAGCGAGGCTACAAGGCCAAAGAAAAATAAAGAGCCTCCAACCCAAATATAAGGAGACTAAAGACTCGAAGCGGCCATGGACGTGTTCCTTGTCCATTTACGAAGAGCTGTACCACTAACATTGAGCACGCTGACTATTTGTGCATGCAGGACACTTTTGGGTTCACTTTCAGTTCCCACTGGATATCACATACGAGTTGCATATACTTGGAAATGTGACCAAGCACTCAAAAATATTCAGATTGTACTAAAAAAATCTGATTTGGGCCACTTCAGGTGCAGTGGGAAACTAGGCTTGGTCTTGACTTTGGAAAATTGTGCCACCTGGTGGGGAATCCCTGTCACTGTATCAATGTACACTTACGAGCAGGTCCAACTCCCAGTCCTACCAGGTTCAGGTCTGCTGTGGGCACTGGCCATGACTCTGAAACACACACAGATTGAAAAGATATGATGACACTGCTGTTATGCCCAGATAACAAGGAATCAAGAAGTAATTTAAACAGACCGAAGAAATTGTGAATGTTTTTATTTTTTAAACAGGCCGAACGTTTCCACCAACTCATCCATCCATTTTCTATACTGCCTATTCCCAACGGTAAGCCTATCCCAGTTGACGATGGGTGAGAGGCGACGTACACCCTGGACAGTCCATGACAGGGCCACACAGAGACAAACAACCACACACCCTCACATTCACTCCTAGGGGCAATTTGGAGTCTCCAATTGAGCTAACATGCATGTTTTTGGATGGTGGGAGGGAGCTGGAAAGGTTTTACCACACAGAAAGGTCCCAGTCCTGTGAGGGACATAACTGGAAACCCTCTTGTTTTGAGGTGATGGTACTTCCCACCAATCCAAAGCTGTAATTGTTTTTTCTTACATTAGTCCACCTCTGCAGTTGTGTTTAACACCATGCTGTTTTAACAGCAGCTTGCAACCATTGCTCGTTTACAGAATCACAAAGGTCCTCACTAAAGAAATATCAATAGTCCATCACTGGACAGTGTGACTGAGCAACAAAATAACCTGAAATTTGGAAGGACTATCAATAGATAAGGATGGATGGGAAATACAACTGTAAAAGTGCCAGCAAAGGTATGCACTGAAAATCGCCATCACAGCAACCTGTCCAAAACAAGCAAATGTCATCTTGGAAAATGATAATATTTTCTACCATCAATCGTAGGTCTCCATAGTGGCGCAGGTTGTCTAGATGTTGTCCAAGAGGTTGTCTTTGGGGCAGCGCTGTGAGCAGGAGCCTTTACTGGCACGTCAGTGGCAGCAGGCACCACCTCCACTCCTGCAGCGCTGTTAGCTAATGCAAAAAAAACAACAACAAAAAAAAGCTTACGCTCAGTTTCAATAAATAGAACAAGCTGAAAAGTCATCAAACACTGAATGTGATAGCTGAACTCCCACAATTACATCAGAATGTAACCCATTTTCTAATAATTACCTTGAGGAACGACACTTTCACCCTTTTCAGCCTTCATTTTTGCCACATTTCCTGAAAATAAAGAATGTAAAAGGTCAACAAATGCCATGTGCGTGTTTTAAATTAAACCATTTTGAAAGAGAAAAACACATGCACACTTGCAGACAATTCAGCGAGAACTCACTCGGGACCTAATTCCCATAATACATGTATATATAGTCCATAGTGTCACCAAGAGACCAGTGAAAGGCAAAAACAACAGGGAGAAAAAACAGTTCAATGAATGCATAATTATGTTTACATTAACTGGTCCAGTGTTTGTTTTCAAAAAGGAAATGGAAAAATGAAAAAGTAAACTAAATTGTATGTTTAAAACTGTAGAATGAGCCACCTTTTTTCTTTTTTTGAGTGGCAGCTGTGGAAGGTACAGACGGAGCATCCTTAGGCTGCTCCAAAGGAGTGCCGATAGGTGTGTCCCCTCCTCCAGGACTTGCTGAGCCATCACTGGAACTCTTGTCTTTCTTGCGTTGCTCACGTTTCTCCTTGTTGCTGACCTTGGTTTCCCACGTGCCTGAAAAGTAGAATATAGGTCAATACTTCTACAATACTACCCTAAGAATTCCTAACAGGATTAGCGAGGAAATATGGTATGGATTAGGCAGGCTGAAGGGATAGATGTTGGCTGCTGATTTTTTTTAGATTGAAAAAAAAAAAAAACAGAGTTTCTATCCAACAAGCAATAGAAATTATATTAACATTTTGTAAATGGTTTATTATCACTTACAGTGTTTAAATGGCCCTTAAATGGCAGTACTTATTTAATAGGGCATACCAATGGAAATGTCTTCCGTCTCAAAAAGGGAAAACACACCCATTTATCACCCTATCCAGATATGAATCATTTTGAATTGCTATATTTCACCTTCTTCTGGTTCTTTGCCATCAGCAGTGGTTGGTTTAGTCTCCTTTACAGCCTGTTTGGCCTTCTTTTTGGATTTCTTCGTCTGCAACAGAAACATAATTAGCATATAGCTGCCTTTCTGAAAAATGTTTACAATTAATGCATCAAGTGAAAAACTGTGATTCACGAGTAACAGCTTCAGTAAAACGGTTTTGTGCTATCCTTAATAAGAACAAAATGATGCTCCATTAGAAACAATAGGCAATGGTTAAGTTAAATTTCTTTTAAAATTACCTCTGCAACCTTCTCAATCTTGACTTCAGGCGGGGGAGCCTGGTGATGTGGCACTATCCCTTCTTCTTCTATGGCTTCCTCCTGTGATTCAGCAACGACTCTCCCGTTGGGCTGTGCTTTCTAGAAAGGTCGCGGGGAGATACAGTTAGAATGTGGAAAATATTTCAAAGTTTTTTTTTAATACCCAATAGACCGTCGTAATATAACATAACGCTGGCCAAGCCCGGTCTGACATTTGCCAGAGGCTAGCTTTAGCTTTAGCAATGACAGCGGTTAAAACTGTCACTTCAGCGTTAGCTTGCCAGCTAGCCTGGCAGCATGGTTGTCGTACTGGACAGAGGTGTACCGTAAATTGGTTTAATATACGTGCCTTTTCTGTCTTCTTCTTCTTTTTCTTCGGTTCCTCGGCTTTGACGCCCTTGCTGACACCACGCTTAGCTTCAATTCCGTCGTCCACTGCGGTTAAATTTGGGCGCCTTCTAAAGACAGACCTACAGACCGAGGCCCACAGAGCCACCAGAAGCACCAGCCCGATACATGCCGCTAAGAGGATCATCCATGGCGGAATAAGCTCAGGCTTCAGCCCCAGATCCACACCAAACTCGGAGTTCAGCCACACCAGGCCTTTGGACAGCAGTTCATTCAGTCGATTTGTCAGCAACTTCACCTGCTTAGAGGCCGCGTCCTGCCACTGTTCCATTTCTATTGTTTTGTTTTTTCTTCACACAGACCGATTAGTCACTATTTCATACGCTAGCATGCTACGCTAGCTATAAATAACGGAGCAATTTCGACATGGTGGCAAAGAATATGTTCATCCGCTAACAACATTGGCCTAACAGTCGGCTAACTTGCTAAATCTGGTAGACGCACTCAGCCAAAGCTAACTAGCCACTGAGGCGAGCCAGCCCATACCGTTATAAGAGAGTAAAGCACCGAACTGACCAACACAATGCATTAACAGACCGCAAGTACAGCAGGTTCACCTCATATGGCTCCGTTATGACTGGAGGAGAAATGATGCCTTCATGACGGTAGTAAACTACAGTTTCCGGGTTGTAAATCACAACTGTGTCGTAAAGATCTTGGATTGTTGCGCAAAAAACAAACAAATTTGATAAGCTAAAAAAGTCTAAAAAATGAACAATACTACTAAAATGAACAATACAGAAATGCGCATTTAAATGTTGTTTCACCTTTTGTATTTAATATGAAAATAGGATTGAACACGGAATGAAAAACAAAAGTGTAGAAACAAATGGCTATATATGTCAGCGAGTTCTATTAAGTCATCCGGTGGAAATGGGATTTACATGCAAAAAATCCAAAAGTTAACTTTGATGTTCACATTAACTAAAGAAACGTTAAGGTGTGCTAATGAGAAGCAATGAATGAACGCCAAAACCCAGAACTCTTGTTTGGTGGAGGTCTTTGGTCTTGAGTACAGCTCAAGATGACAGCCTGAAGAACCCAAACACAGTCCAGCAGTAATCCATAGAATGGTGTTGGTGCCAGGCAAAGTTTGGCTCTAATTACCAATATGATAAATGCATTTGTATGTGGAAAGGTCAGCCACCCCATATGACCAAATGCTGTGGGCCACCACACACCCCAGTGCCCTTGACACAGCGCCCTGGGACCGTGCACGCCCACCGGATGGTGCAGCAGTGGGGGAGAGGTGAGGCCAACCTCTTGGCCATCGACTACTGGGTTAGGCTCCAGTCCCCCCGTGACCCCATTAGGGAATAAGCGGTTTCGAAAAATGGATGGATGGATGGATGGATGGATGGAAAATAAATAAATCACCCTGGAGGTCTGATGTGGGGGGCACCTCAGCCACCACTGACTAGAGACAAACTCCTACCGGGCTCTTCCCCTGTGTGAAGCTGGACATAGTAGCCTAGAGTTACTTTACTCTTACGCAAGATCCTGTGTAGATGTAACTAAATGTTTCTTTGGTGATATTAACACTTATTATCTCACTCATTCTGATCTTTAATACTTCTGTCATCTGACTTATTTTAAAATGCTGTCAATCCACCAAAAATGGCCAAGTTTTGATCCTCAGTGGTAACACATTGTGCTTGTGTGATGAGGGATGAAACCCCACATGTTCAATTGAAAAATGCAACAGTTCCTTGTGAACTTTGGTTATGAAGTTTTAACTGTGACAATTCAGAGCGAACTGCACAGTTGATGCCATGCATAGGCTCATTTGGACGGCACATTGTTTATACGTGTCCTGAGGATTCAATTTAAACACACTGACCCGTTTGTCTACATTCAGGGCCTGGTTTTTTTCTGGTATTTTAGAGGATTATTTTATTAAATAATCTATATTTCCCAGAATAACCCTTTTAGTTTAAAAATTATTAATATTTTTACTATGAATAAATGGATTGATCAGTGAATGCATTCATAAGAATGATTTATAATAGATCAGAGGACATGATTCAAGAACACCAAATGTTTCTCTGTTTTCTTGCTTATTTGCTAATTTTTGTTCATCTTTGCATTTCCCTGTTTCATCACTAGAGGTAACATAATCCATGATGGCACATCAATGTGCGCGGTCGCAAGAATGTGGTGTTGGAATATGGTGTTGAGAGCATGGAGCACAAACCAGGAAACGCGGAGGGGGCCATAGGAGGACAACAATCCAGCAGCAGAACCGATTTCTGGGATGAGATCCTTAGACCTTTTGTTAGACCACGTGCTGATCCGGTAGGACCTGGGTTCTTTATGATGCATGACAATGCTCGGCCTCATGTGGCAGGAGTGTTTCAGCAGTTCCTGCATGATGAGGGCATTGGCGCTATGGGCCTGCCCGAGAACCAGCCAATGGCCAATCACAGACTGTTCCCTCAGGAGAACATCTGTAGTCTTATCAGGAGCACCCCAAAATGAGAAAGTCATAGAGTCATGGAGGCCACACACAGGAAAGAACCTCATTTTGAATTGTCCTAACAATTTTCCACATAAGCTTTGTCAGCGTGTGAATTAATCTTTCCCACTTTTGTTTTGAGCTTTTGCTTAAACCTCTGCATTAAAGAGTCAGCTCCTAAGTTTACAAAATAGCACAAATGATCTTAACTGTAAAACTATTGTTTTACGTAACAGCAAATGTAATCTTTACAATATAAAGTATCGCTGCTTGTGGATCTGTACAGTTTCAGTGCCAGTATTTCAAACATATTTTGCTGAGACAGTGTTTAAATGGCATCAGTGATGGTCTTCAACAACCAAATCTACAGCACTTTCAGTATAGTTACACATTTGTAGCCCACAAAGCATGCGTCACCCTCTAAAAAAAGCAGCTTAAACTAACAAAATGTTTTTATGTCGTAATTTCTTCCAGCAATACACCACACCTTTGAACACTTTTGGTTAAATGGCCTTATATGTGTACCAAAACACTGACTTTATGAACTGAGGCAGAACAAACCTATGAATCTCAATCAGCTAAATTTAAACAAAAGGTATGAAAAATGTTTATCTACTGGGGCAACACTGCAATGTGAGTAAAACAGATCCTCTTGCACTAATCTTTCATTACAAATTAAATCAGACAACTTATTTGCATCCAAGTTTATTTTGAAATTCCCTACTCCCCCTGTACAAGAAAAAAAAAAAAGGACTTTCCACAAAGGCAGCAGTGAACTGTCAGTGATAGTACTTTTCTAGGGAAGAAAGAAAAAGAAATAATAATAATCACAGTGTGTCTTTTCTCCTTTTAAATATTTCTACTGCTGTCATCTTTGGCTAGGTTTTTCGGTTGACGGCTTTCGGTCACACCCAATTCCCGGGAAGCAAAGGTTTATGCCAATAGAGCAGAGCTGAGGGCTTTACATTTTACAGTGCCAATGCAGGAATGTTCTGGACCATATACCTCTTCATTAACACAAAAGGAACGAAAAACAATAAAAACTGAAATAAAAATAAGCCGTTTGTGTTCACAACACAAACAAATATTACCACATGGGGAGATAGCGACAGTATGTCGAATTTCATAAAATTGCTTGGACAAAAAAATAAATCTACAAAAATGGAGCTAGGTAAATATTACACAACAGTAAACATGTTCTTTTTTTCCTTTTTTTAAACTTTTTTTTTTTGTTGTTGTTGAACCTCTACACAAAACCAAAATTCTTGGTCTTAATGGCTAGCAGGAGTTTTTGTTTGAGTATCTGTTTAGAAGAGTAGAGTGGCACGTAGAGACGCGAGATGCAGGTATTGGCTGTGGGGAGGTGCTGGTCGTCTGGAGGCCTGATGGTGATGGAGGGCATTGGCTGGAAACCCTCCTCGCTGGCTGGCAGAGATGGGCTGGAGGTCCAGAAGTACACCTAAGAGCAGACAGGCAATTCGTTACATCAGTCACCTCTTATGTTTGGTTTCAGGATTAAGTCTCATCATTTTGCTGGGTCCCAAAGTTGGCAAGACACAAACATTTCAAGCTTGAAACCAAAACCGGTGTGTTATCAAGGGCCAAGGGACATGTAAATTAAACTTTTACCCCCTAATGTTGGTGATCCCAAATGGAAATAGAAGCGGCAACACACAGAGCTGCTCAAATGAACATTTTCATTAGTTTTTCTTGATCGTATCAATAAAAATTATATCAGTCAGATCATAAACAGAAATATGAAAGGAAATAAAAAAGTAGTTTACGAGAAAGTTCTGATATTTTATTGATCCATCCATCTTTTTTATACAGATGGAACATCGGAGGAAACCTATAAATATTGATGCATTTCTTGAAAATAAAAAGGGAAACTATCTGTTCTTCACAAAACCCTAGTATTATCCTTAAAATGGAGTAAATAATGTGGAGATGCATGTTGTGTAATTTATTAACTTGTCACTCATGGTGTCAGCTCTGAGTCAGAAATGTTCACACAAATCTTGAATTCCTTTATTTATATCATTACAATCATATCAGTGAGGCTTAATAAGGATCTTGTGCATCATGGTGTCACTGAATCTGCTATTCCTTTGTTTTGGCATTTGTTGGGTTATTACTGTTCGTAAAATGTACAGCCTTCCTCCTTATACACTGTGCTGCTGGTGCATGTCATGTCTCTGCCCAGCTGTGGCATCCTTTTGAATTGTCTCTTGAAATGGTCTAAAAAGCATCTTTCTGCTGAGAGACCCTGTTCAGCTGCTCAGAGATAAGGAGTGAAACTACTGAAAAATTAACATCTAAAAGGATAATGCATTTTAATTACCTAATTTTATGCAAACTGGGGTTACAACTGACAGTTACGACTGATTCAGAGAATAAACTTACCAGGTCTTGCCTCTCAGTCATACTCATCTTTTCCACTATAGACCAAAACCATCGCTTAAACTGGAGCAGTTTGTCTGCATTTTCTCCTGTTGGATGAATAAGATTTTAATCAATGCAGTTCAGCAGAAAGTTTAGAGTCATTGTATCACCGGGACATGGACACCATACCCGATTCATCGTTGAAGGAGGTAAAGCTGATCAGCATCTGGACGTTGACCTCTCCACAGCCGTTAACCAGCAGCCGGAAGTCCTCGGCCGTCAAGTCCTCCAGCGCGTTTTTAGGGAGTACATCCAGCAAGCCTTTCCTCATTGCCTTTGAACAACAGTCAGAATTCAATCCCATTCCGATGACTTAGCAACAAATAAATAAAAACACACAAAAATGCAGGGTGGAAAAAGATTGAACTGAAAATAATGACTAAAATGTTGGCTTACATGGAGCGGTTGCTCAGCCACCACCAGCATTCTGTGCTCTGCATACTTCCTCACATACTCGTACACGTTGAGGGGGGTTACAGGCATGTTGACCCCACCAGACAGAAGCTCCACCTGAACATTTATTAAAGCATCGAATCATTAAGTTGGTGAATGCGTGGTTTTCTGATTCAACATTTTTAAAAATCAGTGTATGCTCTCTCAGATTTCCTAGGAATGTGGCAAACTGACTTTTTTTTTTCTTTCATAGGTCAAAGCAACAAAATGAACCATTGTTCCCATTTTTCAAATTTGGTATTATTGAATGTCTTTAAAACTGAATGTAGATAAATTTTGGATTAATTCAACATGTAACTTTAATGTTTGTTACATTTAGTGCTGCTGAGAAAAGTGAGATATTGGAAATGTTTTTCAAAACCATTCCTTGGTCAGGGTGACTTTTTGTACATAAATATTTTTTTCAAATTAAAATGTTTGATTAAGTTTTTATTCTTGATTTGACTTCATATTTACTACATTTCGTTATGGTTTGTTGTATGTATTCATATTTGCATAGATGTAAACTCTGATTATTTTTATGACTAAATGGGCTATTACCTGTCCAGCTCCTTCTTCCTTACAGAGGTCAATAGCGAAAGCCAGATCCATGGCAGCAAAAACTGCCTCCGCTTCACCAGCCAGCGAATGGCGGATCAGCTGCCGCAGGCTCTCGTACATGACCGGGTCAAAGAATGCAAAGTCATGCCAGTTCACCTGGATGGGCAAAAAAAAAAAGAAAACAGATCAGATTTTAGCTTTATAATCTGATTGAGAAACCATTATGAAACAGATACTGAACACATCTGCCCTCTTACCTTTCTACCAAGAAGCACTTTGATGACGTGTCTATTCAGTGTGATAGGACAGAGTTCATTCTGCAGCAGACATAACCCCAGTATTCTGGAAAGAAACCCAACAGTCAAACTTGTGTTTTAAAAGGTCTTCTTGATTCAGTGAACGGTGACAGTCTTTGTCGGCTCATTACCTGCCGATGTTGCGGAAACAGTTGAGCCTGGCCTCTGTATTTTTGCCCGGTCGAGGGGAGTAAAAGCCCCGTTTGCCTGGTTGGTAGAACAGAGGAGCGTTATCGTCCCCGTCATCCGGGTCGTCCAGCTCCATGTCGACCACACTGCGGGTGGAACCATGACGCTTTCGGTTTTCCTGCTGCTGCAAACGACAAAATAAAATCATTGTGAATAGTGCAGTTTTACAGTCTTTACCGGAAAAAAATGTTTTAGTGTGCCGAACCAATCTAGGTTTTACAGGAAAAGAAAGAGCTGCTTGCAGAAAATGGGGAGAGGGGATAGTTGGGAAATTTACCTGCGCTTTTTCTGGAGCCTCAGGAAGACCCAGATCCAGTATGCTGTCAGCACCATTTTCCCTAAAAGGATAACGGTTTAAAGCTAGTTTGTAAAACACCAGTGTTGCAACCAATTCAACACGAAAGCAAAAAAGGTCACAGAAAGGTCTTCCTGCTATTCTAATTACCGGGAGCCCCACGTGTTGCTCTTATGCCTCCATGTCTACATAACTGTCGGGATCGGTTTACCTTCCATGTGCTATGAGGAGCTCCATGGCCTCTTCCACTCTGGCTCGGAGAGAATCCTCGCTGGCCAGCAGCAGCAGCAGCTGAGCAGGGGACAGTTCCAGCAACATGCCGGTAATTTTACTGGCAAATGCCTGGAGACAAATGCACAAGCGGCCTTAGTGCAGTCAAAAAAATGTACTCAAAGCAGACAAAAACATTCTAAAGAAATACCACTGAATTCTTGGCCGTTATAAAATGCTTTCTTGGGAAAAAAACAAGTCAGACTAGTGTCTGAAGAAACATGCGATACAAACGGTCTGCCCTCTAAAAACAACCTGTCATATGTTGCATAAGAGGAAGTTACGACTATTTAATACAAATGAGCTCCTTTTATATCAAGAATTTTTTACGTTTTATTTTTCTTAAAAATTGCCCTTATTGGGGCATTTTATTACCGGCTGCATTGCATGAACTCGCGGGTAAAGTCTTTCTCCAAGGGCTTGTCTGTGTGCAGGCAGAGGATCTGGCTCATCGCTGGGATTTCCCTCTGATGAGGGTCTGAAAGGCCTGGTGTCTATTGACAGCTGCCTCCTTGAATCTCTATAACAGATGAAGAAAGACATCATCAGTTTCAGACTGTTTGCACAGCAATGTACCAGTTCCAAGCAATAATTTAAAAAAAAAAAAAAAAAAAAGAAAAAGGAAGAAAATTAGAGAAGCTCACCTATCTCGGTCTCTCCGAGAACCTGCTCGAAGCCCTCCACTTCTTCTTTCTCTTTCCCGGTCTCGGTTCCTCAGACGCTGCATTAGATCTGAGAACAAAATAAGCACCAGGTTCATTGTCAGTATTTAGTTAGCAAAAAACAACTCTACAGCCATAAGGTAGCTGCAATTGATTAAGCACCACTTCAGATAAGAACAGAATCAAATTTCCATAATATGCGGTAGTTTCTATGTATTGTCATACTTGAATAATAATCGTGATGACACGTACTGCTGGCCTGCATGCCCTTGCTGACACTCTGAACACAGTCCAGGTTGGGCAGCTTGTCGTTTGAGAGGAGGGCCAGCGCTATGGCTGTGTAGAAGCTGCGGGCCACGCCGCTGCCCTCTCCCGGCTCGTCTTTGAAAGTGACTTTCACCCGGTGGACGGCCATGGGCGTGGTGGTGCACCGCCTGCCGAAGTGGGCATTCAGCTGACGCATGGTCTGCTGGATTAACTGGTCTCGGTCACGGTCCACTTCTAGGGCCAAGTCGCGGGACTGCAGGTTTCTAAGCTTCTCCATCTCTCGCCGGAACTTGGATTCTTTCACCTCAAAGCCACCAAGCTCTGTGAGAATCTGAAAGAAACGGCACGTTATGACACTTTAGATCCTTTTAGATTATGTGCAAACAGACTTAATTTTGTTATGGATATGATGGAAACCGATTAAAAAGCATTTTTGTTAAATTACTCATGTTTTGATGGCTTGAGTTAACATTAAATCAAAATTTACCGATCCAGGTTCAGCTCCGACATCCTCCATGAAGACACGACCAAAGAGCTCAAGTGACAGGCGCCAGCGGCCAAGTAGCATATCATGAGATATCATCATCCCCATGAAGCTGCAGTGAGGCCTGAACAGAGACCAGCCAACATTTTTAAATCTTTACACTGATTTTTAAGCCCTTTTTAAAATAAAAGTAGAGCTTTCGTTGTATTCTTTTGTATTGTATTCTGACTCGTATCAAAGAGTTTTCTCCATCTTTAACATTCAACAACTTGCATTCACCTGAACGAGGGGAGAGGCGGGCCGTCGCTTTCGGTGAGGCCAATCTCAGCCAGTAGGCTGCTTTTGAGCTGGGCAGCGAGGTCATGAGGAGAAGGGCCTGGTTTTGAAGCCTCCATCTCCTGCTCTCCGGCTGACTGGTTCTCAGAGCTCCGCTGGCCAGTCTCCATGCTCATGACATTCTTCAGGTTGGCCGAGTAAGACATCTTTGTAGGCAGAATCTGTTCAAGCAGGGTGTAATGTCAAATATCTGACGTTTCAAGATAATGACAGTGTGATGACAGAATGAAGATGGAACGCAAGCTATGTTCAGGCATCAGTGACTGGGTACACAAAAGGACCACATTTCTATGAAATGTTTTTATATATATTTTTAAAACACATTGCTACTTTAGAGAAGTTGCTTGTACATTTCAGTGGTGTTTGTTATGCATAGAACACTGCTGCCAACGCGTTTGTCCAGTGAGGATGGGTGGTATACCTGAGAGGGGGAGGGTAGAGAGGAGCCCATGTTTACCTCCAGGCAGTTCCTGTCCATGTTTGTGTCAGCCAGGCCTTTGGTTGTCATGTAAGAAGAAGAGTACAAGCCCTGAGAGGGACGCCCGAACAGATCCTCCTTTCTGGCATTAGGCTGTGGAACAAAAAACAAAAATTGAGTTTAAGTCGAGGAGCGGTTTGCACCATTTATTTCAGAGTGGAAGCTAACAAGCAACAGTTATCAGTCTCGTTAACGGCTTTTAGGAACATGGGACAGACACACAAACTAATTAAAGTGTAACTTTAAGCTGTTGCTAGGCAGAATGCTATGTGTTTATTGGGTCATTAAACAGATTGGTACTGGATCGAGCCAGACTGCTCGTAAATTGAGTTAAATCTCATAACTAGCCACATGAAAGGCAATATCAGTGCTAATAACTGCCAGAACTTTACAAATTCTGGCTGACTATCAAAGCTTCTTAGTCAATTTTTTTTACATGAGCAAAATGTAGCGAATCCTTAATTTTACTGGATTATTTAGAGTTATTTTTGTGCGCTTTTCAGCACCCTCAAAGTTCATCCCATCTTCTTTCTTTATCCCAAGTGGATTTAAACATGTCCTAAAAGCTACACACTTCATGTTGTGTTATGATAAGGTTCAAACAGCTGTAGAAAGGCTTTCTTGCTAATCAGACCTGTAGGAGATGAGGCTGATCTGCCAGTGGGATGGCTTCTGCCAAAGGAACATCAAAGGGATTCGGTGGGATGCAGCCCAAGAAGGTCATTGAGTCAGAACGGCGGAAGAAGGGGTGGTTCTGTCCTGTCTCCGCTGGAACAGGGTCCTCATCTTTGTCCTGCAGAGTTGAACCTGACAGAAAAGAGGAACAAGTATGTTCAAGTTAAGTCATACTGTGACATTTGCATCAAGATGATCATTGGTCATAAGTTAACTCTTACTTTGATTGGTGTCCTCGTCATTCTCGTGCTCAGAATCCTCATTGTCCAAACCAAGTTCCAAAATTTCTCTATTCCTAAAAGTTAAAGAAATTGTTAAAAAGAGCTTAAATTTATTTAAAAGGTTCAACTCAAGTGAAAGTTTAAGGACAATTACGGGGCTCAATTTCTCCTCTTACCTCTTCCTGTCCATCTGTGGGGTATCCAGAGTTGTTTGCTGGTTCATGGCCTTTATCCAATAGATAAGAGCCTGGAAAACGTAGGCCACATGTTTCAGCGAGCACACGTCCAGGACGGGGAGCACGTCAGAATGCTCATCGTTGTGGGAACGCATCAGGGAGAGGGCGTAGTTCAGAAAGTCACCCCGTGCTGACATCATGCCCTGACGAGCAGTCAGCAGTGTGGCCGCTCTCCTGAAACAAAAAACGTTTCAAGCGTTATGTTAGGACTTTATTTTTAAATCTAGATTTCACAAAATGTTCTAAACAATAATTATAAGTGGTGTGAAATGGAAGTGTCACAGGACTATACCTGCGCCCTTCCAAAGTGCGCAGGCTGGCCTCCTCCCGGGCAGTCATACGTTCCCGGCGTGCGGAATGCTGGGAGGCGTGGAGCGGGTGACTGGGGTGACCGGGGTCTCCGGCAGAGGACAGAGCTGAGCCATATCGCAACTGAGCCTCCGTGGAATCCATGATGGAAACCATCCAATTCCAAGTGGGGATGAGCTTTTCCTCAACATAATTCTGAAGGAAACAAAGTAGTTATATTTAGCAAGAGTAATACAAATTACTGTGACTTGGTTTCTAGCATCTTGATAGCTTCTTTTTTTTAAAAACATTCTTAGCTTTGTCAGCTTTACCTGCAGGTTGACTGCATCTTGGTAGGAGAGCTTCACAGCTGCGGGATACTGGGAGTAGACAAGGTGGTTATATTTCGGAATCAAACTCATGAGATCTGATATCTGCCTGATGACAATGCTGTAGGCACGGGCGAGACTGCTGGCAGAGGTCAGGTAGCTACTGGAGTTGCTGGCCTCCAAAGCCGCAGCTGCTGCCGCAGCGCTGGAGCTGATTGCACTGGAGCGGCGCAGGTTGGTGGGGTCGATATATATCAAGCCTGTGGAGCTTGCTGTGTTGGAAAAATCAAAACAACAACGGCAAAAAAAAAAGTTATAAAAGATAAAAGAAAATAAACATCAAAGTGTGAGTGAAAGACGACAAAAAATAGAGAAAAAGACATTGGTTCACTCACTAGCTGTTGTTGAGGAGCTGGACGGAGCGCTACCACTTGCCCGTTGGTTCGGGGTGTTTCTCACAGCCCACTGCATGGAGCGGGGAGCCTGGGCTGCGCTGTTAACATGTGAAGCACTGGTGGTCCTTTCTAGTGGCTCGTCCAACAGAAACGTCTCCTGGTCCACGTCGTCACTTTGACTGCTGCTGCTGTCCGAGTCGCTCGAGTCATTGGACTGGGAGTCATCCTCTGAAAAGAAGGCAGGGACACTGCTGGCACCTTTAGCAGGAAAGAAAAGGGATGGAAAAAAAAACAAGTAACAGAAAAGAAGTTTAATGGTTTTCCCACTTGGCCTCCCTTTCACTCTCTTATGCCTTCAGAATAAAATATACAGAGGCAGAAATGCGGGTTAGTGAATCACACCACTACAAGGCAGAATAATACTAATATAATGGTGACAACTAAAAGGCATCAAGTCAGAACATTAGCTGCACACTCTCAATCAACTTGTTTTGAATCTTTCTTCTACTTATTAATTTGTTCCATATTCAAAGATGTCGCTAACGAGAGAGTACAACAATGCGTTCCTTTTCAGGACAAAAAAAATAAATATTAGTAGAATATAAACATCTTACATAACTACAGAAGGGGGGGAAACACCACACCTTTTGGAAAAACTGCAAGTTGATTAGTTTGTTATTTGGGTGAAAAGACAAACAAGACAGTGCTTGTGATGATGGAGGGTTTTAGTTCAAAATGAGACAGGGTAAGAGTGAAATGTGAGGAGGGAACGGACTGAAGGAACTCGCAGAAGGAAACTGTGTATGCACTTTGCAAATTCACTCTCGCCCTGACATCTGTGTATGCATTGAAGTAAAGAGGAGCTCATACCAAAAATAGGAAATGCCAAGGACACCCTACTGCCTGCAAATGAAATACATTGGGTATTCAGCCAGGGACAATTTTGTCTGCTGTATCATTAGCTCTCCAAATACAAATACCCCACAATCCAAAATATTGCCCATTAAGCACCAAAAAGGGCTGACTAAGTCTGTGATTTATGGAAAAATAAACCATAGTCCATATATGTGATTTGTATTAAATGAGCTTTTATAGTCTTCAAAAAAAAAAAAAAAATTAAAAATTTAAAAGGGGGGTTTTTTTTTTCCCTAAGAAAGTTTTTTTTTTTTTTTTTTTTTTTAAATGACCAATGCTTAAAAACTGAAGGGAATGTTTATCGATTTAAAAGAGAATGTATTAGATTTGAAGTAAAAGGAAGTAACAGCTGTGGACCCACCGGCTTCGGAGCCAGCGGTTGCTGCTGTGACCACGCTCCTGCGCCCACTGGCGTTGTCCTGATTGCTGTGGTTACTTTCACTGTCGCTCTCTGTTTCAGCAGCGGCAAGCAGATCCAACTCCATGTCGCTACCTACAGGCAGACACACAAAGAAAGTTTTGTAAAGTTTTTTTTTTTTTAAATAACACTATGAAGCTCAGTAATTTCGGGAAATGATTTTTCAGTTAAAGGGCTGATTCAATGTGATCACTTATGGAAAGCAGCTGGCGTCTCACCGTCTTCATCGTGCTCATCATGCTGCCCCTCAGCCTCTGCGTTTTCCTCACCCTGTTCCTCTTGATCATCGTGATGGTCTTCCTCACCAGCTACTCCTTCCACAACTTCAACCTGACAGACAGACAGACAACAAGATCAGCTTTCATCCCAGAAAGAAATAATACAGCAAGAGCAGTACACAAAAATGTGTATGCAATGTAAATAAGTAGAAATGAGATGATTGTAGGATCAAATCTGTCGTCTCATGCACTGGAATGCTTGGACCCAAAGGTAACTTTAGCCTTCATGACTTGTTAATGAGAATCCCCACCTCTTCCACATCTGCCGATACGATGTCGTCCTGCTCCTCATCTCTTCCTCGAACAGGCTGAGACTGGCTGCTGCGGCGGGGCTGAGGGTTTCTGATGATATAAGAGGCGGCAGTTTGGCTTGAGCTGGAAACAGATTAATCATGTCGAGTCATCAGACCAGATCAAATCAGATAAACATTTTTAAAAAATATTTAAAACCAATCAAACTTTACAGGATGATTAAAAGGTTTGACAAAAGTGCAACCCAGTTTACTCTAAAAAAAATTGTGCAAAATAGATTTTTTTTTTTTTAAATGCAGCAAACACAACAAAACATAAAACCAACCTGCTGGACTGGTCTGGTGAGGGTCTAGGAGGCAGCGGTTCAACAGAGAAAAGCTCTTCGCTGCCCTGCACTGCATCGATACTGGTGCTGGCCAAAGTGAACGGAGCGGTAGGTCTTGCGATACCCATTCGCACCGGAACGATCAGTGACTCAGCCACATTACAGAGCTCTTCCACAGCATAAGGCAGGAGAGCCTGGAAAACACGCCGGCATTTCCCAATGGGCTGGGGGATAAAATTGCTGTAAGAAGAGGGGAGAATATGTCAGAATTAGCATTTTGACCAGTAAACAAAACATTAAAATATTGTCAAACACATATGTGAGAACAGAGCTTAATAACAAATAATAATTAAACACAATGAAAGACGGCAGGGTGGTGCTTGACTAAATGATATCACCCATTTAAACCCAAGCAGTATCCACCACACTTCTTACTTTTTCTTCTTGGATGAAGCCATCTCCACACTGAGGATAACAAACACTCGAGCAACAGAACGCAGGAACCGTCTAGTGACGTTGACGGCCTCCTCTCTGCGGCCAGGAGTGTATTTATTCTGCAGTTCCTTTACCAGAGTACCCAGCAGAGTGTCTATGAACTAACAAAGGAATGAAAAGAGGATCATTATTGGAACTTTAATTGTGATCAAGTCACCAAAACTGAGAAAATGCCTAAAGAGTAGCATCACTCAGGTATTAAACCAAAACATGATATGTAGTTTTGTAGATTTACTTACAGTAATGTCAGGAGCGCACTTGACAATGAGGCAGTGTGTGAAACAGTCGAGGCGTATGGTGCCACTCTGCTGATTCAAGTAGACCTGCTCCTCAGGCAGGAGGTGGGCGATTCTGCTGCTGGCACTAAGTCTGGAGATACAGAAAACGCAGGTATCAAAATATCAGCAGTTGCTCAACTTGTGTAACAGAAAATATGTCACCTAAAAAAGTAAAGACTCGGGCCATGTTATGTCAAACAACGAAGGAAAAGCAAAATGCTGATGTGTACAAAGCGGTTACAAATTGAAATGAATGTTTGATATATCACTGCATAATGTGCTGGTAGTACTGCTTACAAAGTTTAATTTTATTATTCTTTTGGCTTTTATCTGATCAAAACTAAATGAAGCACCTGCTGAAATTCTCTATTGAGAAGTGATGAAACTAGGCGTCTTTGTAAATGTTCCAGTCCTCAATCAACTTTGAGTAATTTTTTTATTCCAAACCTAATAAAGACTGATTTGCGTTCTGATTATTTTCTTTTTGGGATAATTGACAAAGAGATGTTTGTGTATATTATACAAGGTGCTTGATATTTTTGCCAACCAAATCATAATGCTACTGAGATGCTTACGGGTCTTTATTTTCCTGAGAACCAAACATAATCATGGATTTGAGTGCATTCCAGTCCTGCAGGACCCTCTCCAGAGCCAGCTGAGCAAAGCGAGGAGGTTCAAGGTCATGGTCTGGCATGTCAGAGTCTGCAAGATAAGAGATATTTAGACATTCAGTATGTCAAACAGATACGGGGGGGCGGGTAAATAAATATAAACTACCGCACCTTCTGCATTAGCAGCCTTGCGGTTCCTGTCCTCTCGGATGCGTGGTGGTCTGTACTGACAATGCTCAACACTTTGTCTGGCAACAGTCTGCACCAGGAACAGTAGAATGTGCTCTCCCCTGTAGACGGAAACAAAAAGGCCCAAGTCACTTTCTTCACTTAATATACTTTTTTTTTTTTTTTTTTTAAAGGTTGTTGAATCAGAACGACATGAATTTGCATATTGCCCTATTATATATTGCCCATATATATATAAATATAAAAAACAGTGAGATCATAACTAACTAAAAATAATGAAGAAGAGTCAAATGTAAAGTTACCTGCTGTTTGGTGTGGTGACCAAGTTGGTGGTTGTTAGTAGCCTGTACAACAGATCCAGGCGAGCAGCCTTCTGGCCAGCTATCAAGGTTTTACATTTGCACTTCTCCCAACAATCGCAGTAAGCTGTAGGAGAGGTCCTTTTCAGTCTGGAAAAGAATAAAAACACAAAAAATATTTAAATCACATGAGCAAAAACATTGGTGATGAGAAGCAACATGACAAACCAAGTCCTAAATATAAACAGAAGACTCACTTGCAGTCGTGTCCTTTGTGGCAGACTCTCGCACACTCAGTGCAGCAGCAGAGGGACTCCAGGAGGCCACACGTTCGACATTCAAATATGTCCTGCATGCAAAACAGGTGTCATAAATTAAATGCAAGTTGGTCAGATTCGAAAGGAAAATATATTAGAGAACTTATACATGCTTTCTAAAGATAGAAGCACTACTTGTTAGATGTCGACACTTGTTCTTGTGAAGAACCTAAACTTAAGCACTGACCTGGTTGATGTGTTCTGCTCCGGTCCAAGTGAAGCTGCAGGTGTCGTTGCAGCAGAGCACATATAGTGGTGAATCATCTGGGTTGGTTCCCGAGGGGCATATCATTTCCATAAACACAGAATCTGCATCCTCCTTTTCTGTGATGCCCGTGTCGCCCACTGCGTTCACATCATTCAAGAAGAAAAATGGAAGTTATGGAATGGGAGTGATGAAAATGAGAGTTGGCTGGAAGCAGGGCAGCAAAATAGGTCAGTATTCTCAGGACTGATGGAAATGCTCCGAGTCACTTATGGTTACATCAGTGTCACGGAAAGTGTGTCGCTTTTCTACAATTTATTTAAAGAGAAGACCCCTTGCGGCACGTGCCGCCATCTCCCCGTCACGGGGATAGCACAACTCTTGAGTCAAGCGTGTTAAGATAGTTCAGAACAAAAAGCTGAATTATTCACTCACCTTTAGCCATTTTTTGAGCAGCCTCAAGCACCGTGATGGCTGCTGGGTAGGCTCTGCCACTGACAGCCAACATGAATGGGGTCATTCCTCTGGCATCCCTGTCAAAAAGTTGCAACAACACAGGCAAGCACTTCAGAGGGACAGGCACATGAAGAAATAGTGAACAAATATGACAAAGCTAATATTCCAGACATGCTCATACAGTCCTGAAGAAACCTACTTTGCTGAGAGCAGCTCCCGAAGGTGGGGTCTCAAAACAACGCTGTCACACATCAGCTTCAGGATTAGGTGGGCATTGGCTTTCCTGTCTTTAGACTCAACCACAGACGGCTCAGTTGATGGCCCTGCGTACACACAGAGAACAAAGTCAGCCATTAAACACATACTTAAGAGTTGCATTCCTACAGAGGACATCATGTACGGTGGAACACAGTGTTCAACTAAACTTTAGTCTTCTTAAAGATTATCTTTAGAGAGGGGACATATGCAACATAAATACATAGCTTCTGTTACTATCTATTAAGACACGCTGTGTACCTGGTATGGTGGAAGTGCTGGGTCCCTGGCTGGTACCAGTGGAGGCAGTGGTGAGAGAACCGACAGCTGGTGCCAGAATGAAGTCAATGTCTCCATCTGTTGATTAAAGAATATTATTCCTTAATAACGTGTGTAAATACGTGACCCCAAGTATGCAGTTTTGTTACGATTGACTAACCCGGGTCCATTGGTGGAGGATCAGGGACCCAACTTGGCGGAGCAATGGGTGGCGAAACAGGGTCCTGGTGGTCACTGGACGATGGGCCAGATTCATGACGGCCGAGCCCTGCCGCCCTCAGGGACCTCCGCATCATCTCTCTTAGACGAAGCCTGCAGGCGCCACAGCAGAAAAGTTATTCAACACATGTGCTTTGTGCTTCCATTATATTCTGAAGAAACTGCTCCCTGAAAACTGACACCGGGAAAATTCCTTCCTCACACAATCATAACATTTCCTGAATTAATCTTTCCTCAAGCCACAAAATAACTGGTAATTTACCCTCTGCTACTGGAGGAGCCAGTCCTATTTCCAGAACTGTTGCTTGAAACCACAGAAATGGCATTGGCAATCGCCTCCACGGCAGACAGGCGCTCTGCAAATGTGTTTCTCTCTGACCTTTCAGCCTCTGAAATTAAACAAATTGGTCATTTAACTACTGATAAGAGTCAAGAAGAGGAAGGGAATTAGTATACAGAGGCATATCCAAACATCATAAGCGCATTAATCTTCAATCAAACCACAGACATCCGAGCATGTCACCAACCTTCCTCCTCTTTGGTTTCCTTGTTACTGACGGGGAAGCACACAGAGACGGCAGCATGGAGGATGTTCCGGTTTCCATCACATCGATGCCCGAGTAGTGCCCCAAGCGCTTGGCTGCCCTGATCTAAAAGGAAGGCCTGCTCCAGGTTCACCAGATACTGCCGACACGCCTCGTAGTCACAGCGCAGCACATGCTGCATCAGTGTCTGTTTCTGAAAACAAAGAGCGTCCATGACTATTTCTACAAATCAAAGGCAAACGACTTGCCAATAGAAGTCTTTTTTTTTTTTTTTTTAAGACAGATTAATGTTGTTTTATTTGTTAGTTTGTTTTTTTTTTTACCTCGACAGCCATGATAATAATTGCAGCTTTCTTTTTTATCGTGGAGTTAGATGGAAGATTGACTAGAGAGTGAACCCCCATTCCCAGGCTGTTTATGGGGGGCAGGTCCAACCAATCAGGATCTCGTATCCCACCCATGCAGTCTTTGGCCATGGGGTAGATTGTACCATTTCCATCTCGGAGGATGATGGGAGACTCCTGGAGGAAAAAAATTATCATTTTAGTTTTGCAAGTAAGATCCCAGGAAATCCCTGAACGTCTCCTCTGAGGACACCTTCTCACCTGTCCTGCAGTGAAGATGGCCACGTTGCGCTCGCTCTGCCCCAGGAAAGCCAGGTTACTGGTAGGAAAATTATTCTCCTGCTCTGCTTTGCCGGTGGCCAGGTCAAAGATACAGTATCTAACCCAGTTACCAGTTTTCAGCACTGCATGGACTCCTGGAAAATGGACAGATATTCAGTACTTGGGAAAACAGTCACAGGTTCTTAAATGCAAATACAAGTTAAACTGTTTTTCAACAGACACAAAGGAACATGTCCAGATTTTTTAAAAAGATTTACCTTTGGAGTCAACATTTACCGCAAGAATCTCAGCCTTTTCAGGGATACAGAGCTTTTTAGGTGTTCGCTGAAAACAATCTGGAACTTTAGGAGTCCCACCAGTTTTGACCACCTGTCAAGACACAGAGAAGGACACCACAATGGGTGTGAATGGAAGCCAGACGAATGCTCAATCTTAAATAAATATTCTGATTTGCGGCTTCGTGCACCTACCTGTAGCTCGTCTATTCTGAGCAGCCTGCAGTCCTGCAGCAGTGATGACGGGTCGGGGTCGGCCGGAGCAGCAGCGCTCTGGTTGCTCACGCTGGTTGACGTTCCGGGGAACTTCACCGCAACGTAGGCACCGTCCACCTTCAGCACCTGGGGGGGGATTTTGAAGGAGATGCGTGTGAGAATATTTGCCATGACACCAAACATGAGACCATTCTTTTAGATCTAAAATGACTGGGTCTATGCTTTGGTTTTCTGTCCATTCATCACAAATCCACAACATCAAACTATTCAAAGCTTATTAAATCTTACATCAAGAATACCCAGCCTATGGAATATGTTGATAGAAAAAACTTGCTACGTTTATCTGTGTTGGCTTCTGCTTCCAGTCTTTGTTATTCTGTCAGACGTCTGTATTTTCTGATCAGATTTGATTTGGGGTACCAGCTGATTTACTTATGCTAACTGACCAGTATGTGGTTATGATCAGGGAAACAGAAAATATTTTTTAGAGATTTCTAGGGAGTTTAAGTTGTGGTGTGACTAGTGTAGTCTTTGTTTAAAAAAAAGAAGAAAAAGAAAAAAAAGAGGCTTTTCCAAATATATTTCATATACTACTGATGAACACCTGTGAGGCTGCCATTTTAATGACATGCTCTCTGGAATTCAACTTCTAAATCACTTTTGTCATCATCCACCAATGTTCAGTGCAAATATTTTTTCTTCTCATTCCGCAGAACACATTTTGCTGCCCCGTGTAATATTCACTAGCTGCACTTACTCAGCAACAAATAAAGCACGGTTTGCTAAACTGGAAATTTCCTAATGAATGGCAAAATAAAAAGAAAGAGTTCAGTGCAAAAATTAAAGAAAACACAGTAAAAACAAAAAGTCTAGAATGTGAGCTGGAACAATCATGTTAAAAAAAAAAGGAAAAGAAAAGAAAGCTAAAGAAAGGACATTTATGTTTTACACCGACCCACCTTTCCCACAGGAACATTCTTAACATCCTCCACAAAGACCACCTCCCTGAGAGGCCACTGCTCCTCGTTCACCTTCTCTTCCTCTTTTGGTGCTGGGGTAGAACGCCTTCGCTCTGAAAACATTAGTGTTTTATCTTTTAGTTGAGATTAAATAGTCACATATGTACTTAATCAATATCCTGTCAGAAGCATGTTCTACCTCTTGCCCCCTGCACCAGCAGAGGCACAAACAAGTCCCTCGCTAATGACACTCTACAGGCTAAATGGGGTGTTGCAATAAATAGAAGTGTTAAAGGTGTGAAATGAAACTCATTAAAACTGTACACGCATACAGCTGAAAAGATGATAAAAACTAGTTAGGACCAAGGACACAGCTGATCAAACTGATAAGTATTCTGAAGTTATAAATAGAGAACTAAATATACCGATGTATATGCAGGAAATTTTTCTTCACAGGAAAGCAGGCTGAGAAAAAAGGCTGCTGATGAAAGCTTGTGCACCATATGCTTTAAAGTCAAAGGACTAATGAGAGCACAAACTGACTAAGAAATTGGTTCTGTGCCTGGGAGATGGGAAAGTCGAGACTTTAGCTGCTGACAGAAAACAGTTGAGATGGGGACAGACGTACTGTAGGGCAGCGAGGCACTGCTAGCAATGGAGGAGGTATCACTGCATGTAGAAGCCGGGGAGGGAGGAGGACCCATCTCAGTCTTCACCAGCTCTGGTTTGCTTTCCATCCTATGGGTCAACATGGGTAAAACATGTGCACAAGGTTTTTCAGTTTTGAATTTATGAGGGAAAAAAAAAAAGAAAAAAGCTGTCCAGCCTAGCTGCTGCTAAAATGAAAATGAAATCATTTGCTGACTTGATTTCCTGGGTCTTAGTGGTCTTCTCCATGTTCTTCAGGCTCTCTGGAGAGCGCAGCTGGAACCTGCAGCTGTCATTCATGTTCCAAACAGACTCCAAAAGGACTCCTACTTTGGGAATTCCGGCACTGACAGAAAAGGCCACGGCACCGGCATGGTAGAGGGGGTTGTTCCTCAAGCATACCTTTTTAAAGAAAAAGAAGAAAAAAAGAAATAAACCCAAGAAGTATTTCAGTAAGTTTGACACAAACTGTCTCGTATTCATTTATTTATTTTTTTTAAGAGCAAAAGCACCATTTTCCACACCTGTGTTCCCACAGTGATGTTGGGTATTGAGGAGATGCCAGCACTGGACTTTGGCTTTTTGTTCTTAGCTCTGGCCTTTTCAAGCATCTTCTTTCTTTGACTAAAAGGCACAACACCCCTACAGAAAGGAGAAAACTGTTATTGGCATTCAAGTCTTCTCCTCCATGGCATACATGACAGTTTTTTCGACATGACAAAGTGTTGACCTTGGAATTTTGTTATGCACAAGGTCTTTAGATGGACTAACATTTGCAAATAGCTATCAAAGCATTTTATAAGACCCCGTGCATATTGATAGGGCTCTGACATTTCCAATAGTCCAACAACTAGCTTGTGTATATTACAATAAAGTAAAAACAACCCAATACCAATTATCAATCTATGAGAACTAAGAGATGGATTCTCTGAGATTAATGTCAGACAAATATAAATGTTGTCCATGAATATAAGCAGCTCTGGAAAGAAAACGGCTCTCACCACCAGTAGAGGCTATTCTCCAGCTGTGCGCAGGTGTAGAGAGCACAGCAGTGTAGGGACACCATGCGCTCCCCCTGCAGCTCAGGGAAAGCCTGAGCACTGTGCTCCAGTTTAGAAGCCACAGTGCTTAGCGTATCATCCACCCAGGTGGCCACCTTCACAGTACACAGACAGTCATTAATGAGTATTCATCGAATTCAATTAGTAGTTTACAGTCAACAGCTGCCCTAAGCAGTCTTGTTTATGCTTTTTTTGTAAACAGAAGGGAGCTAACCTTGTTGGTTTCTGTCGCTACAGTGGCTCTGATGCTGTTGGCAGACAGTAAAGTGATTTTCTCATTGGTCAGGCCAAGGAAGGACACACGAGGGTGGTGAATGGAAGGATTCTGATGTGACAGACAACATAAATGACAGTGAACAACGTTGTATTTCTCAATTCCCAAAAGTACCAAACAGAATACTCGAATATTCCACCTGTGCATTCCTGTATGGTTCGGGTTCGCTCCATTTCCACTGATAAAGCTCTCCTTTGGAACTCACAGCTACCAGCTCTGAGAACATAGCTCCAATACTAACAAACTTCACACCATCCTGAAAATGGAAGTATAGGTTTGGTCAGGAAAACAAAGTGAAGTAAAGACTATATTGAGAAATCCAATGTAATCCCCACTATCTTTACAAACTCCAGGAAAAGTCTTTATCTTGGTTTTTGCTTGTCTAACCTTGTCAGGCCACCATTGGAGCTCCTCCCCCAGGGAGACGGGGCTCTGCACCGGAATGCTCTTTTTGTCCAGGCTGGGCTCTCCCTCGCGGCTGGTGGACCCTCGCTCGGTGTCAAAGGATGCCCCGTCCAGCCACCGGCGCTCACGTAACCTCAACACAGACTCGCGTTCACGCAACAGCTCTGAGTCGCGCTCTAGGGGAAGAAGGAGAACTGGTATGCAATAAGGTCACACCAGTGGGATAGAAGTAAGCCACTCTCTGGGAAAGACCCGTCAACATAGTTTTAAGAATAGAGAGAGAGAGAGCTCCTTTAGAATCACTGTGATGCAAACCAATCAATTGCAGTGCTGAGTGGGTGTCCAAAATATACTGTGGGTGAGTCACTTTGCACGCTCGTATCTTAAAATGTGAGGTAGGAGAGGAAGTGGATGTAGAGAAGAAAGCATGCATATGGGCTGAAAATAGCCTGAGTAGGTTTTTAAATTAGGCTGCCTTAAAAAAGGGTCCCTGTAAAGACAGGTGGGCCTAGCGGGCCTTTCTCAGAGAGCTCACAATATGTACTACAGCCATGCAGCACACAACACCAAACATTTCTCAGTTAAATTCAGTTCAAAAACTTTTTTTCCCCCAATTATGGAACAATCTAAAAACATTTTTTAAATAATTGTGTCAATACCTACACCTTAGCCAACACTAATCTCAATTGGTAGAAGAAAAAAAAAAAAAACAAGGGAAAAAAATAAATAATCAGATCCAAGCAATTACATAGTTTGCTCTTTTAATCATATCAGTCATCATTCTACAGAAAAAAAATCTTTAATAGTATCTTTACTTCTGATTGTTTTCTCTCCGGAAGCTTTACCCACAAACAAAAGCCATCACCAGTGGCACCGAAGCTTCCCTTCCTCCCTGTCATCTGTAAGAGGTGAGCTGCCGAGTTACCTCTGGAGGATCCGAGGCGAGAAAGTGAGGAGCGTCTAAATGAAGGGTAGCCAAAGTAGCTGATGTCCTCCGAGAACATGGCATCAGCGTCAATAATGACACTCGGATGGGCTGAGTGAATGTCTGCATCCAACAGAGACATCAAGTCCTCTGCAGGGGGGCACAAACAAAATAAGATACAAGCCATTACTTATTATTATTATATCACATGCGGACCACACTACAACAGCGTTATAAAGAATGTTTTTTAGGAATAAAATATTTGTACACACCTCCTGGGAGGTAGGACTCACTGGCCGTGTCGTCGCCATCATCTCCATCTTCGTCATCCCGGCTGAGTAGGTTGTTGACGGCCAGATTGACATCCAGGTTAGTCCTCTGGAGTTCCCTGATGATCACGCTCCTCGATTTTCCCTGAAGGACTACCTGGGCCTGGGGAACAGTGCAATGAATAAGACAGAAATGGCCCTTGTTTACATTCGTTCTGAGGAAAACATTAAAAAAGGCTTCACTGAAGAGGCAAGGTTGAAGAGACTATAAAGAGAGAGCACCTGGGTGATGAGTTCCTCTGGGATGACCGATGCTGGTATGACCGGTTGAGGCTGGCTGCCCAGAAGCCCTGAGCCGCGATCCCTTCCGGTGCGGATCACCCTGGTCTGGCGACGGGAGTCGCGAGCTGCCGTTGACGACCTGCCCGACGTACTTCCGCCTCCTCCTCCTCCTCCACTGCCGCCGCCTCCTCCACTACTGCCGCTTACTGCTCCACCTCCTCCAGCTCCTCCTCCACCTCCACTTCCTCCACTGCCTCCATTTACGCCAGAGCTCCAGCGACTCCTATCGCATATAACGGAAGACCACGGTGAGACACAACAGCCACAGATTAGATCTGGCTAAAAGAAAAGACTCAAATACACAGGATGGGACTAAACCTTTGTGACAGCAGGCACAGGACATTCAAGGCTCTGACGGCTTCACATAAGAAGCATTTACTGGGACAGATACATAGTTTTCCTTTTCCAAACCTAATAAGGTCAGATGTATGAAAAGGGTTTCATAACTCAACAGTTATACAAGGATTGCATTTAGATATATAATGCTGAAATAGTAAAGTTTCAGCACACAGAATCAGAGGGTTAGCAGTTCTGTCCATTGTATTATGTTATTATTTTTAAACCACAGTTCCTGAAAATGGCTACTCATTTTATGTTTATGCTGTCGTATGGGGAAAGGGAGAAGGACATAATTATACATCGTCTCATATCAGCATCCATAAGAAATGCTCTCTTCAAAACGCGTGGCGTGGCACTATACCCTGCGGGCGATGCCTTCCTAACCCACCACTCTGCTCAGTACACTGAGCTTTCACAGGAACATTTGTCTGTCAGCCCTGCCAGGACTTACCCAAGGGTGTTGCCTGCCAGTCTGCCCAGTGTGTCAGAACCAGACAGGAACCAGGGTGGATCACTGGTCCTGCCTGGCCTGGAGCTCCTTCCTGTCCCTGAACCACTGCTCAACTTTGAACTGGAAACAAAAGATGGGAGATCAGTTACAAATCTACAGAGGTCCAACAAGGACTGAAAAGAGTATGAATGTACTATTAAAAAAAAGAGCAAAAAACAAACAAAACAATAATTTAATAAAATAGATAAATGAGTTAACCTGGGTTAACTGAAACTAAATGTTACCCAGGTATTTGTTAAATTACACCCCTTGGTTCAGGAGGAATTTTTTCCATTATTACCGCTGAAACAGGAGGGGTATTTTGGAGACTAGCATGGCAACACCCTTGGGAATAAGAATTGACTGCAACTCCTTCCTCTCTCACGACTTTCCTTTATTAAAGGTTGGTGGGTTTTTAGGGCTGCAACTGTTTTCTCCTATTTCAGAGTTTAGCCAAAGGCATTTTGCTGCATTACTTTTTTTACCAATGTGTTCCAGGTAGGAAAACTGTTTACTATGTGCTGTAAGCTGGGAAAGTAAACCATGACAAATTGGAAAAGTTTTATGTAAGTGACTATACTGAATAATGGGGGACGACTCAATAGAAAAACAATCCCGGTTCATGTCACATTGGGATAGATGGAATTTGGAATCAGAATCTAAATTATTTACGCAAAATAAATAAACAGCTTATTAAAAACCAATAATGGGCAAGCTGATAAGTTTCTAATCACTAATAAAATTACACCTTTGAAAATTAAAAACAAAAACAAAAAAACAGCATATTGTAAACCGTTTCGGATAAATATGTTTTGTTTTGCAGTGTCACCATTATCCTGCTTGGACAACTGAACTGGAAAAGGAAAGAGCTCTTCTTTGGTAATTACTTTTTGAAAAGTTTTGGATAAGTTGTTTCCATTTCACCAAATCAAATCTTAATGAAAGTCAGACAAAAACCGCCTGAAGCAACTATGAATACTGATTTGTGAAATCTGACGAGAATGACACATATTGCTTTATTCCATTAATAGTTTCTTACACCTTCTATACATATATGAACAACACTGAGTAGCAAAGAAGCTACTACCCAGGAAACCTGTTAAAGTTCCAGTAAGATGTCCAACCAGCAGAGCACAGCCAGTGATGCTCTTGTCTCTTAGCTTAACTTTAGAATACAATGGTGCTGACTGAAAGTTTGTACCTATTTCGAGCCTTTCTGAAATGATTGCATGAGTGTGGAAATGAAAAACGTCCACATGCATACGTCCACGGTGGAAATTGTTTCAGACTGATTTACTTCCACATTTTGCTGCTGCTACATAAAATGCTGCATATTGTTCTTCTGACATGACATCAACACTTATGAGATATTCCCCAAAAATGCATGCACAAAGCCACCATTACAAAAAAATAAATAAAATAGAAGCAGGAAGTGAAGTGTGCCTTTATGGAAGAAAGAGCCATGGAATACAGAACACAATTGCATGGCTACAAAGTCTACTTTCTTTCACAGCATAAATATATTTAGAGACTTTTGTGCCATTAGTTTATGGGTGTCAAAGTTAGAAAAGCCATAATCTATATTGGAAAAACAATGACCGTATTTTCCGCACTATGGGGCGCACTAGATTATAAGGCGTACATTCAATGAATGGCCTACTTCAAAATTTTTCTCATATATAAGGTGCACCGCATTATAACACAGAGTAGACGCTCCAGTAGTGGCTGGGGTTGCGTTATACATCCACTATATGCAGCTGCAGTCAGAATTCATTAATAGAATACAAACCAGCCGTCTGACAACTCGTTCACTCCCAAAATGAATAAACACCTGTTTTATTATTTTTCACGAGATAATGTCAATGACGTAGTGTTTTTGTGAGAGTTTATATTTTAACAAAAACAATGTATGCAATGTAGTGCAACATTTTTAATCAGGTAGTGGAGGGGAACTTTCCCTCGAAACACGTAAAAGAAATGGTTATGGTAAATCAAACGTTAGCACAATTACAATATATGGCGGCTAGCATATAACTGACAAGCTATTCTCGTAAAAAAAACACTAAACCGCCAGTATAGAATAATTTGAAATACCTGTTGTTCTAGCTAGGATCAGATTCTACGTTTACCTTTAATGTCGACATTTTTTTAAAAGCCGCATTCTCTTACTGTGTCGACTTTTAAAATGGGTACTAACAGATGTGTACATTGTACAGTACTGCGGAATCCCCAGAAAGAGGTACCTCTTCACTACCTCTTCGACAGAAAATGGAGTCGGCGGCTGCTTCCCCAGACCTGTTGCGACTCAATCCTGAACAATATATATGGCGCACCGGATTATAAGCCGCACTGTCGGTTTTTGAGAAAATTGAAGGCTTTTAGGTGCGCCTTATAGTGCGGAAAATACGCTACATCCCCTCCGTGTTCCCAAATATATATTATCACCGAAAGCAAAATAAATCTGACAGTTCAAAGGCAGCTTAGCACAACACTTTAAAAAAAAATACTCTACTCAAATAAATACTATTCTCCTCCTTGTAGCAAATACCCACTTCTTTTTTTACAAATGACACCATTTGTAAAAGGTGTAGAAAGAGCACAAACACCGCATTGAATTCAAATGACAGCAAACAGGACGAGTAAGCCTGAACAAAGTCATTCACCCACATTTAGACATCCCCACAAGTAATCTGTTTTCCCAATTTACAGCCAAAGTTAAAATGGTTTAAGGGTCATCATATAGTCTCTCACCCATCGTTCCCGTCCGGTTTGTTGAGCTCCAGGCGGTCAGGCTGAACAGCAAAGCTAATTCTGCAAACACGGCCATCCTTAAAAAGAGATGCATGCATTATTTGGAATGTGATGTTAATGTTCATTTTCAAACAGAGGACAAATAAATGAACACAGTGACTTCTTAAAAACATTAACTTTGCTCACTATTCATAGTCAAAACTACCCCAGTACACAACAGTCAATTTGGCTCCAGGATATGAGCAGCTAAAAGATATAATTCCACCTTGTTACAACGTTAGACACAAACTGTTGTGCTTGGTGTTTGTAATTACAGTGTAAAGAATGGAGCCATCTGACTGTACTTACAACTCAGCATGCTTCCACCCACAAGCACTAGAACACCAATGTTCAAACAAACAGGCTGAGCTTAGTTACAACACGCCACTTTACAGTGTTCGTGCCCTTGTTCAAACTGGGGGTGCTTGAAAAATAAATAATATTCTAATAAAAATCTAACATCCATAACAAAGCCACAACAAAAATGTGGCAGAACTGCAGGTCATTCGGTAACAGTGATAAGGAAAATCTCATGGGTTTAATCAATAATAATGACAATGCTTCAGAGCCTTACCTCGAGGAGAAATCCGGCATGGTTTGGACCGACAACGCACTGTTTTAGGACGGCCTGCTCAAGCAGACTAAGATGAGGATGACTGCACAAAGACAAATAGGATCCAATTTTATACAAAGCAAACTTACAAGCAAAACCATCTGACACTTAGAATTTAGAGAAACTCACCTGTTATAGCTGTACTTGTTAAGTTTCTCGGAGACTTCGCGTAGCCTGAAAAAAGAAATACCAAATCAGTTTTAAGACACAATCAAGACAACAAAATTAGTAAAAATGCAGCACTGACAGAGTAAATGAACTGGGATTTTACAGCACACACTTTTTGGAGCTTCAAATCTTCAGAAGTAGGGGACTCAAATGTACATATGGGCCATTTGGCAGCTGTCCGGCAAGTTTTTAAACGTTTCATTGCTTTAACGCATCTGATTCAGATTCTCTTCAAAATATTGTTAAATTCAGAAAAGGACAGCTGATGTTGGATTGGTTTGAATCAGCTGTGCTGAACCAAGGAAGCCTCTAAAACCTGCAGGACAACAGCCATCAAGGCCCAGAGGACCTCAGCCATGACCTGCAATTACAGGTCACTGTGCAATGGTTGGATGCTTAAAGTTTTTCAAACAAGAGATGAGAAACCATCTTTAATCTTAGCTAGCTCTGTGTTCCATTTGTGAGCAAATGGAGGGGGTGGGGGGTGCTGGAACGCATCCCAGCTGACTACAAATGAGAGGCTGGTACACCCTAGACAGGTCGCCAGTCCATTGCAGGGCCACGACTTTTTGATTAAGGAAGTCCAAATATGGAAGAAAATGTATTTTTTCCCTGTGCAGCTGGCTATCAATAAACACTTGTCTCTTGACGACCATAATACCTCAAGACTTTTAACTATTTATATGCCAATGGCATGTTGTTGTTTTTTTGCTTCTTGAATGTCACTGTCAAGGTATCATTCGAAAGTTTTTTAAGACAAAATTTTGTTTGCATACTAGCAAAGGATCAAGGGGGGAAAAAAACACACAAAAAAATATATATTTTTGCTTGAGGTGGCTTTTGCCTGTTATAAAAGCAAAGCAATGTCTACCTCACTTCGAGTTTAGCAAATGTGTTATATCAGACTGATCACATGAACAATCAGCTGTTCCTTTCTGGGGAAAAACATGATCAGGTAAAAAAAATATCAATGTCCTGTTGAATAAAATCCACACTGTCACAAAAACAAAACAAAAAAAAACTAAACAAACAAAAGCCACTATTGGGCTGCATATGGGTCAAAAACCTCCAATCTTTGTCACTTTCACAGGTCATTTACAGCTGCGAAACAGATCGGTTTGCCAAGTAAATGACCAAATCACAACCCTGGAAGAAAGCAGCATACCCAACTCTGCTCCAGTTTTCTATTATTTACAGCCAAAACAGCAGCTTCTGTTTGCATCTTCTTATTATTTCCAATTAATTGCTAATTCGGTTTATTACAATCCTTTGGCCAACACCTCCACCTGCTGATGGCACTATGCTCCCTCATTTATTCGCTCCATACCAACTAATTTCAACAAGACTAATACCCGTTTGAGAAACACCAACAAGCCTACTTGTATAACTGAGCACGTGCAATCTGGAATATGATGTGTACCCCTGTGCAGCCCCTGTGGAGCTGGGTGAAGCAATTAATGTATACATATGGGACTCTAAGTAGTATTTATCAGTCCAGATGAAAACCAGCTGAACTGTGTAGATTAAGGCAGCCATCTGCTATCCAGACTCCTGACTTTGATATTTCTATAGAAAGGTTTTAACTTTGGTCTTGTGCATCTGACTGTCAGCAATGGTAAAATCAGAGGATAGTTACCAATTCTTACTCAATGTTCCCATTTTTCATTTAGAAAAACTTGTGAAGCAGACAGACAACAATATGGACAGACAATGATACAAGATTTATTACAGCAAATCTTAGAGCTAATTCTCACTGTTCATCTCCTGTGTTATATAGGCGGGGAAATAATCCCTTGAAAAGAAAAAACAAGATTATTATCTCGCCAATATCACTTCCAGATCCACTTGGCTCATTTTCACCACATGTAAAATTACTCAACAACTAATATCCTTGCAACATTTTTACTAGAGGTTACAAGTCCACAGGCACTGCCCCTTCAGAGGAAGAATGCCAACACGCCACAGCAAGGAAAGCTGTGCTCAGTCAGTTTTTCTAAACTTTAATTCAGTTTTCTTGCCATCAAAGTCGATTTGAGCCAAAAGACAATTTGACCAGCTATGCATGACTAAAGATACAGTTTTATGTCCAAGCTTAATGAGTGACTTGATTCCTAATACAAACTGCTCATGCAACTGTCCAACTGAAGATGCAGACAAATCCCAGTTAAACTGAAAATTATAGATTTTTTAAATAACAAGGACAAAGGAGGTTAGTCACAAAAAATCCCTCCACTGCATGCCTTAATGACAACACAACAGACTCAACAGAAGTTGCTAAGCTCTAAAATGGAAGTGTTCATGATTAGTTATCCATTCATGCTTTACCACAAGAGGCCCAAGATCACCGTGACAACGACGCAAGTAAAAAGAAGTGCATGTTGCTGCCAAGACTACACAGAAACTACACGTTGATTTTTCACTTTAATACACAAGAATTTGAAAAATATATAAGGCACGATCAATGTAAAAGTCAGTTCCACACAAAGATAAACCACATTTGACTGCAAAATATGTGCATTTTCATTCATCTTCCTGATTAAATGGTTGTCAAGTTGAGCAAGTGATCTAAAACCATCCCTCTGCCCCAGGTCAGTCCAAACGCTGTGAGCAGGTAAATGAAAATCACTCTCTTAGCATCCAGGTCAGCCATTCACTAAATTAACTATTAAACAAATGGCACTCTCCCCAATGAGCCATTTAAGCAGTTTCGCAAGAACAAACCAAAAACATGTTCATCATCCATCTCACATCAGGGGAATCCTATTTTCCAATTCCAACGTTAAACTAATGTATCTAAAAAGACTTCAAAAGCCAAATCGAAACCACCAGTGACATTTAGCTGAGTAATACCAACCTGATGTTAATGCCTGGCAAGCTCTTCTAACATGCCAAGTTGAACCAAGCCTTTCGAATTTCATGAGGAAGCATTTATTTGCTTTGACAACTGCAAGTTCCATGATCGCTAAAATGGGAGAGGGCGTTCAAGCAGCACATGGTCACTGTAGAAAGTAATAGCATGCATGGGATAGAACGGCCATGACTGCTCACTGAAACTAATAATCCCCACAGTACTATGATGTTTGAGAGGTGTTTCCCTTGGGATTCCTTGTATCCAGCAAAGTAAACTGAGCCTCCAAGTCATTCAGAACAAAGCTGGTTTCCCTGATTTAAGGCAATACACTAAGTTTCTACACTAAGACTAAGCACCTATCTCATTCTTGATCTTAGTCATTCAAAAAATATTTTGTCTCCCCCCTATTGTCCGTTTAAAAAACAGTAATGAAAACATAAATCTCAATCACTTAATTATATTTATCCTAAATAAAAAATGTTCTACAAAAAACATGTCAGACACAGAACATTTGCTTTCCAAATAATATCAAGAAATTATTATTTAACTTCGAGTAAAACCCTTTTTGAAGGAATGTCAAGAATCGAAGGAAGCAAGTACCAATAAATGTATTTTAATTAACTGTGTGTGATAACGTATATGGAGGGGAGGGGAGGGGGCGCTCACAATCAATTAGAAACGCAGATAGATCTTCACTGTTTAAGAGCCTTGGCTTTCCCTATTAAAGTCCCTAACAGGATTAATACCTATGCAATGTATATATGTAGCCAACTCGGCTTAGCCGCATATTTTAAAGATATGAATCTTAGTGCGTAGTACTTCGGACACTCTTTCCAGTTGTAGTAGTTATAAACTACGCTGTTAAGCTTTAAGCAAAAATCTGCTGACACAAAGGCTCTGAAATACAAATATTTGGCTTCATCAAGCGCGTGGTAGCGAATTGCCTAGCAAGCTAGCATTTCTAGCAAGCTATCAGTTAGCTGACGTTAGCTTCTTCATTGATCATAATATCATCCACAATCCCACAAATTACGCCAGAACACAGTTCAAAATTGTATAGGTATAATATCTACATTGAAACACGCCAATGTGAGATGCAATTGAGTTATACGACCTATATTTACCCATTCTCCCCCCCATCCCCCAACCCGCATTGTCTATCTCAACTTTGACTGAGAGCCAATCTTTCCAGAGAACCAAGGAAACATCCTGCTAGCGTTAGCATACGGTACCCAGTTAACCCGTTAGCATATAGCACGCTACCGACTGTTTAGGTAAGCTAACAAGGGCTGTTCAAAATGCCGGGCCTTCTATCAAACCCTGAAGGGTCATTTAAATAAATTAAATCCTAATGCAAACCAATGACAGTGTCAACATCGGTCACAAAAACAACCTCGAATATAATTTAGCACAGCAAGCATCTAAATACTGATTTCACTAGTTTTTTTTCAAGAGCCGTAACAAAATACCTGTCATTGAGCTGATCCTCGGTCCCAGGCAACGGGTGAACAACGAAGTGTATAGATGTCATGGGGTCAATCCAAAATCACACAGAGCCGCGTGAAAGATATGGGAATGGTTATTCCTTCGATTACTGTATATGTGTGGTTTCACAGAAATCGTTTAATGGCGAAAAACCTAGAGTTTGGATCCCATCCTCCTCACCCACATGCCGCCATCTTAACTCTACCAAGCTTCTTCTGTGTGTTGATTAGTGCACATGCAACCGCTCCGTTGGTTGGACCTCGAACACAAACAGGAAATGTGATAAATTGGATAGGTTTTGCTCAATTAAAAAGACTATTGTGACAAAATTATAACACTTTTATGCTAAAGTAATCGTTCTATCGCACGTTGTCAACTCCATCTCGGTGGGGATATGATTGTTGTCAAGTTACGGAAATCTTACAATAGCTGAATAGCTTTTCAGTTTTGTGGAATTCCTACTAAATAATCGCTGAGGAGGTTAACACAAAAATATTTTTGAGGAAAGGCATAATATTACAGCGTATTTTTGTCATGTCCTTCTCTAATTAGATAAATATTGACAGTTCATTACGTCCTTCCATTGAAAACTTTCAATATTCCGCCGACGTTCAATGAAGGTCGCCAAAATGTTGACTTCAAGAAGAAGAAATTTAACAATATAAGAGTTAATAAAGATAATATGAAAGGTCAACTGCAAAATAATTACCTGAGAGGACCAGGGAGATGTAGCAGAGATGGGCAAGTGTTTAGATTTACCTGAAGAAGAAGAAAAACATAAACAAACCCATTTTAAAAAACATCCTTAGTCTCTTTAATTAATCCATTTATAGCCAAAACCCTTTAAAGGGGGTCATAGAGCTAAAGATGATCAAAGTTCAAACTAAAAAGACCTTTTCCACAGAGTTAGTAAAAAAAAGTCAGTATAATTTCAGTAAAACATTCAGAAGTTATCAGGCAAAAGATCTTGAAGTTGCATCACAGTTTATGATTTCTGAATTAGTAGCAATGTTCCTTTAGGCTTATGGCTATGATGTTAGCACTGTCAGAAGAGTAAATATTCACAATCCTTTTACCATTGTTCTGCAACCCATAAATAATCTAATCCCATTCGTTGTCAAGGTTGATCATTTCAATACACAAAAAATAAAAGGGAGATTCACTTTGTCATGTAAAAGCTGTTGAATATTTACCCCACCAGGTGGCATGGTTTGCCACCATTATGAAATGAGAAATAGTTCTCTCAAGGCCTTATATAGGAACAATATGTCTTCTCCTGCATTGATCACATATTTTCAAAAACAAATGCTGCAGACCATCTATCTAATAACTTTATTCTTGAAGGTAGACTATTGAGAATGTTATCCACATCTTATATTGGAACTAAAATATAAGTATAATTTAACCATAGATTTAAGTATAAAAAAAATGGTATCCAATAAATAATCAGTTATGTTTATAGACTAGAATTAAAGAAAGTTTTGTTCATAGTATCAATTGAAACCACTGACCCTGTTTAGGTATCTTTAGCGAAAGCACTGTCATTTCCTAATGTCCTGAAAGTTAAATAAAAAAAAACTCAACTTCGGTTGTTATATTTTACTTGAACAAATCAAAATTATGAATGTAAGATGTACTAACTTTCCGTATTTGGTCATATTTATATATATTTCCATATTTTATTAGATTCTTTGTGGCTACTGCTTCATTCAAATGCTACACATCATCTCTTGAGAATCCAGTGCAAAGGTTAATGAAGTCAGGGCCATTGCCCTCTAGGTGGAAAAAAAGTTCCTTTTTTTATATGCATTTCCAAAGGAAGTCAAATAAACTCCAAGGATCTAGATCTATTTTTAGGTGAGCGGGCGCTGGGTTATCAAATGACCTAGTGTTGTTAAACATGGATAAAAAGAGTTGGAGACAGACAAACGTGGAGTCATTTTTTCTGAGGCTGAGCAATTTTTATTAATGGGAATCTGTATTTTGAAATAAAACTAGTAACATTGATAGGGAGTCATATGGAAGAGATTCTGTGGAACATATTTTACATTTTCAGTCTCTTATTGGAACATATATATACAGGTCAGAGATCGAATAGAAAATATTTTCATTCCTAAAGATGATGAAAAACAGCACCAGCTCTTTTCAATTAGGCCACAACTTAGAGTAGAAGTTTTACCAGCTGGAGTAACAAGATCACTGGCTGGTGTGTAAGATTTTAAAATAACTCACGTTGGTGGTGGCAGACTAATCCGGCAGGCCTGGGACAGGGCAGCCTCTGGGAGGTTTACTCTCCCTAAAAAAACCCACTCTCCAACCACTGCGCAGCTGAAATAGCAGTGTGAGTCTGCATGTACATGTGGGTCACAATGAACTGTTCTCCGCTTTTCTGACACAGAAATATCCGTTTCTGTGACAGCGAAGAGGGGTAAGTTCCTCTTCCCAATCTCACTTCTCAATTCAACCCTGAATGGAGATAGACAAAGACTGTTGAGCAAACTGCACATGAAGCTTAAAAGACTCCATTTGTCTATTGCGTAACACCACGTAGATCTGCTCTTAAGCAGCTGGCTACTGTTACAAGTTATTAGAGCTAAGAATAAGAATCTGGGTCTCCATTGCACCATTCCACCATGTCTTTAAAACAAGGTCAGCCTTTTTATACCAAAAACCCTGCTGTGAGACCTTAAGCATTATGTGCTTTAAAATAGGCACATTAGTATTTTTTCTAATGACAAATCATAACATTTTTTACATGGAAAGTATATTATATCATCTTGCATTAGATCTTGATCAAAGTCTGTGCTATAGTTTATATATTGTATAGCTTTCCTGTCAAAAATCTTATCTTATCATGATATTCCTGATATGACTTTAAGTGGAATGCCTTTGTCCTTCTTGCTTTCAGTAATGATTAAACTGACAGTTGTAAGTAAAACTAGTTAACTATGAAACAACTAAGAATTTGAGATGTAAAACAAGTCAAACACGTTGCATAAAGCTTTACAAAGTTTCTGAAAATAGAAAAAAAATCATGGGAAATACAATGACTTTATTTAAACATCTTGACAGTCACAATTAATCATCCTAGTATCTAAAAACAAAAATCTTATGTAAACAATAACCTCATCATAATCTATAGATCTCTGTTACATTTAGACCTTTATGTAGAGCTAAAATATAACTGGAAAAACAAAGATGTTATTGATTGTATTGTTACTATAAGTCCATAGTCCATATACAAGTCACTGTGAATGGTTGGGATTATTATTATTTTTTTCTGGACAATAAACTGTGCCGGACCCTGAAACAGATTGATAGTCACATATTGAACAGTGGATAACCCACCTGCGACTTCAAATTTCCTCAAAAAAGCAATAAAAAAAAAGTATGTATAAATGATGGGTACAAACATACCACCAGCTTTTCTTTTTCAACTTTAGGCCATAAATTTTGTCTCTTGGAGCAAGTATGCTTTTGAAGAACATCCCACTGAAGCAGACATAGCCAAACACTCTCTGTGCCTGCATGTGTACTTCTCCATTATGAATCCACAGCTGGCCTTTTGTTCAGACTCTGTGCTGTGCAGGAAGGTCTAGACAGCTGACACTTACTTAATCCTCAGGGCTGCCTGAGGCTATCTCCTGTTGGCTGATGTCTCTCTGCCACAAGACAGGAGGCTGTCTGACAACAAAAAAAAATTGACATTTTCTTTAATTGTCAAAATACCCATCATTAATATTTATCTGAAAGCTTGATAATTTAAGTAACTTGTAACACATTGAGAAATGTGCTAGAAATAGATTTAAGATATTCATTTCAAGTATTACGTTATTTTGTTGTCCTTTTTTTATCCTGTCATGGACTGGTTGTCTGTTAAAAGCTTCCCCTGTCTCATGTTCTGTGACAATAAAATCTAGCACTCACCAGATTTAGTGGAAGCTGGATGGAATCTGATATAATTTAACACTTGTTTCTGTAATTTGGTCCAGGAATAGTCTATCTCCGAATTAGAAGTCTCGGGGTTTGAACCTTTGGTCATATATGGACCAAAAATGTGTCTATGGGAGGGTATGACACAAAATCCAATTCAGCAAAGTCCTCTAGATTGAGCTACAGCTTTTTAGCATTTCAATTTCATCATCATCAGAACACGTAACTCATTCAAGGATATGGAGCATATATATTTATGCATCTGAGCATGGATGGATAGGTTATTTCATAAACCCATGACGCTGTGTACCACGCAGCCTCCATGATTCCATCAGCCGCCGATCACGCGCCGGCTCACGCTCCCATTGGTCGACGCCTTAACACACCTTTGAGGTTTATTGGGCGCCGTCTTAGGCCACGCCCTTATTTTTTCCCCACTCCGCGTTTGAAACGTTGAATGGGAAAATTGGCCGAAGCTAAAACTGTTAATTCACTCCTTAAATGACAACGCCAGGACGAGGGGGTCCTCTTCACGGTCACTCTGTTATCCGGACAACCTCACAGAGGAAAACATAGATGTGAGTAAATATGTTTTCATTTATCTTACGACACATATACTCTAATTTTGGATTTTTTTTTTCTGTTCGAAGGAGAAGTTATGCGTATTGGGACAGAAATTCTTAAATTAAAATTTTAAACCGAATGTATTTTAAAATGACCCCAAAATCCCACAGGCATCTGTTGGGGAGAATTATTGTGGTTATAGTTTAAAACCCTGCTTGTTTGGTGTCGCGTGTCTGTTCGTCCCCCGTAAAGGAATCTGTGCGTTTCTCTCGCGAGATAAGGAGGTTAAAGGGAAGCACGTTGAGAGCAGCAGCTGATCATGCACGGTTCACATGCCGGTTGCTACGTTCCTGAATGGTGATGGGCTTCAAAGTCAATACATATTTGAACCTACACGGTGTATATGGTTGTGTATCAATAAATGACACCATGGGAAGAATATGGAAACCATTTAGAGTATTTCATGATGTGGTTGAAGATCTGGAAAGAATAATAAGAAAAAAAACAACCCACAATGTGCTTACACTTTTCTTTTTTTTTCTTTTTTGTTTTGTCAGAGCTGCTGCATGGAAGCCAAGAAGCAAAACACAAACCCCCAGGTTTTTATGGGTGCAGGTGACCTGATGGCCATAGAGGCTCTAATGTCCCTGACTAAGCATCAGAAGACAAGGAACTTGAGGCTAAGACCCCCGAGTCCCTCTTCAGACTGCTCAGACGATGAATTAGTCCCCTCAGGTTCTCCTGCCCTGTTGGGCTCGTCTTTTGTAAGTGAACCACACTGCCAGAGTGTTAAAATACTTCTTAAAAGCTAAAAAAAACTAATGAACCTGATCTCTGGAATGCATTATGTATTCTCCATTTTCTGTTAGTTTGATTTTTTCTTTTTCATTTTTACTTGTATTGATACTATTGCCCAGCATTTATATTTAATCTAACATTACAATATTTGCACAAGAATAGAAAACTGCACTAAATGAGTAGAAATCAATATATCCTGTCTCTCCTTTCAGTGCATGACACCACCATACAGTCCACCTCACTTTGAAGCCACCAACCCATCCACAGCGGTCAAACAGCAACACTCCGTGGGGAACATTCCCGAGCACCCCGTTGTTTCTCAGAAGTTCCAGTGCACCAGTGTGATCCGCCACACTGCAGATTGCCTGCGTGGTCCCTGCCAGGCTCAACAGCCCTCCAACGAAGAGGGACTCTGTACAGAACATGATATAACAGTCCAGAACTCTTACGATGGGCCGAATACCAGACTATCCAGGGAAAAGATTGCAACACTCCAGACTTTTCCTGATAAATGCCCTAATTTCCAAGAAAGAGCTGGTCAGACTCAGACGAGTCGGTTAAATCCAGATGATAATTCAAACAAACAACTTGCGTGCAGCCGGATTGCGCCTGTCAATTCACCGTCACTCACTGTTAAGAGCCCCTTCACAAGCTCTGAAAGCCAGCAGCAGCACCGGCTGTCAAGCACCATCACACAAGTGCCTCTAAATCAAGAATCCAAAGCGCCACAGCCAGCTTTACCCGCACAGGTCTTCTTTGTGGGGGGCCGGGTGGCTGAAGGGCCCGTAATGCTGCTGGTCCCTCAGGCCTCCGCTCCCGGCGTCTACATCCAGCAAACGCTGGCGACCCCTGGTGGCAACAAGTTTGTGGCCATCGCGCCCGCCCCCGCTCGGACCCCGTCGGAGCAAAGGAGCGGCCCGCTCCAAGCCGAAATATCACGGGTACGCAGCCATGTCTGTCCCCACGAGGATTGTGGGAAGACCTACTTCAAGAGCTCCCATCTCAAGGCCCACATGAGGACACATACAGGTGAGAGATGAACAACAAAGACTGCTACTAGTCCCCTAAAACCATATTAAGCTGCTTTGTTTTAAGCCCAGGTGGACTATGTGTGAAACGTTTTAAAAACTGATTCGCTGTCTGTTGAAACAGGTGAGAAGCCTTTTAAATGCAAGTGGGAAGGCTGCGAGAGGCGATTCGCCCGCTCGGATGAACTCTCACGGCACCGCCGGACCCACACGGGCGAGAAGAGGTTCGCCTGTCCCATCTGTCTCAGCCGCTTCATGCGCAGCGACCACCTGGCCAAACACACCCGCCGGCACCTAGCAGCGAGGACAGCGCCCTACTGGACGCTCGGGATCACCCAGCCCGCGGGTTTCGGCACCATCAAAATGTCTTCCTCAAACTCCGTGAGATCGGAGACGAACAAACACACGGGGATCCACAACGGATCCAGTTTTAACCTGTCAGAGGGCAGCTAGCAGAAAGCTGTAGTTTATATTTGACCAAATAAAGTTTAGTTATAAACCTTTTTTTTTTCTCTTTTGAAACGTTTTGCACAAATATGAGATCAAAAGTTCAATTGCACATGTTTGTACATTACTATGTTTATAATAAAAAAGTGATTCAGTCAAGTCAGTTAGGTGTTTATTACTAACTTGCCATTCTTAGACATCGACTGGGAGACAGCTTCACAGATAGAATACGTTATGCAAGAACATTTGTGGTCAGGAAATCTTGTAATACTGTCAATATCAAGTGTTGACAAATCTTCAAACAATTATAAATATCAGCAGATATAGAGAAAGTTGACATTCTTTGCAACATAAATGCCCTCTTTTGTTTTTTCTGAAGATGTCAATCCACCCCATCGGACTCCTTCTCCATCAACACTTCCTTTATTCTCTCTAAAGCACATGCTGTCTATCCTTCATGCTGCCTGCTGGCCTATGCAGAAAGCTTTGCAGCACTTTGTGGGGACACCCAACCACCAGCTAACTGGTGAACGCTAAAGCTTGAGCTTTCGGACCACGCTGAGTGGTAGACTTAATTTCTTCATGGATGGATGTCGGAGACACCACTGACAACACTGCCTTTATTTACCCCATGAAAAGATGAGGAAGTTCATCTTTATACATGTAGTATTGTGCTGAAAGGTCCCATTTCAAAACACTAGGGTAACAGAGTCAAGCTCTCAAAAGTCACAAAATAAACTATAAAACCAATTAAAACCATAAATACACATCTTGTAGCAAAGCATCATACAAGATATTTGATCTTTGCCTCTATCTAAAACACTGTCTCACTCTGGTATACATGTCTTACTTCACAAGACTAGTAACAGTAATGGAGATAGAGATAATACATTTATCACATATAGTCATGGAGGATTCTTTAGATGCCTTCTACAGTAGTGTAAACTAGTTCCACAGGGAGCTGAAAGAAAAAAAAAGTATATCAGAATCTTTATTTTTCCAGGAGTCATCCATTTTGTTGCATATCTATTTTAGCTTTTCGGGTCAAATAACGTTTGCTGAGAATAAAAGTCCAGGTCAGTGGCCGAGGTCATCACGGTGAAATGTAGAGCGAACAATGCTAGCAGCGTAAACGAAGGGGCTGGAAATCTTCCATGTGGGATGGTTGCTAGGCTGGGATAGACAGTGCAGCCTCTGTTTGGCAGGAATTGAAAAAGTACGGGACCAGAGAGAAGCTCTTCAGTGTGTTCTCCTGGGCGATGCCGGTGTCCTGCATGTCAAACCTGAAGCAGAAAGAGACAACCCTGATAAATAATTAAAAAAAAGAAAAAAGATCTGTTTGAAAATACACACAACAAACCGAGATACTTGCCAGTCTCTTGAGGAGATGACGTAGTAGACATGGGGGGTGGGTGAGTTAGTGGTGGTGGACAGTGTTTGACCCAGGTTGTAGGCCCCTGCGTGTTGGAACACAAGCCAGTCTCCTATGTTGAGCTCTGGTAGCAGGCAGTGCTCTACGACCTGGTCCAGGTCGTCCCCAGAGGGACCCCACAGGCTGGAGCTGAACACTGGAGCGTCCAGGGACGTGCTCTGCTTACGGGGAATCGAAATGTTTTGGTCACCGCAAATTAGGTCGTTCAATAAACGTCAAACGCTGGTCACTTCTACAAACCCGGCGTTGCTCTCACCTTGTGAACAGACGGTGGAGGAATGGGTGTTTCAGAGAGTTTGCCAGAAAATGATCCATACACTCCCTCATTCATGTAGTACTGGAACTCCGGCTCATCGTTGGGAGACAGATGCTCTGCTCAGAAATACGGCAGATAAGAACCCAGTTTAATCTACAATGTAACATTTGCACAGCTGTGATCTTAGAAAAGCTGTTAAGACTCACAAATGATTGATAACATTTTCCCACACGGTATGTTCTTTCAGTGTGTTCTTTAACACTGGCAACTACTTGTTCAAATGTTTGTATCATATTGCTGAATACATGTAAACGTCTTTATTAAAACTGACCCTGCTCCTGGTCCTTGCCATCTCGGGCTGCCACCTCCTTACAGATGATGTTGACAGCCAGGGTGAAAGCAGACGACACAAAGAAGCTGCCAGGCTCGGCAATGATGGAAACTCCACATGACGACGGAAAGTACATGTCCATCACAGACATGACCGTATTATTGATCTGAATGGGACAGCACAAAGCTTGTGAAAGTTTTTTTACAACTACAGTTAATTCACGTTTACCGGTTTAAACATATACGATGAGACATTGTTTAAAAGGAAAATAGATTAGTACTGACCAGGTCCAGCTGGCTCTCAGAGCCACTGAATCCACCTCCAATGTCCAAAATGTTCATGCTGAAGCCAATTTCCTCCTGTATAAGACACACACACACATAATAAAAGTGTTACCCAGGTAGTACAAGTCAGTTTTAGAAATAAAAACCTCACAAATAATAACTTACTCCCATATCAAAGATGCAACGAGCATCAGAAATGGCATGAACATACACCTGGTCATCCTCACAGGAGCTTGAAATGTGAGACCTGTTTGGATAAGAAAAGCATCCTCATGATGAATACAATTTTAATCCATTGCAGAAGAGGAGGCTTGATGTGATGATCTGAGGCCCTACCTGACTCCGACAACCTGCACACCCAGCTCTTTTGCACTCTCCAGGAGATGCCTACAGTCCTTCAGGGAGCAGCCAAACGTCATGCTCATTTCATCGCTGGGGTTAGAGGCCTCGGTTGTAACCTGTAGCAGCAGCCTGAATGAACACAGAAACAAACATAGGCAGTTATTGTTTAGTCACTTCTGCTCAATGGGCTTCTGTCAAAGCAGGTGAAGAGGCAAAAGTTTCATTAGTATCAATTCTGTCTGTGGGTTTACCCATCACAGTGACCACTGACAGAAAAAAAGACAAATTTTCCCAGCTTCTAATTGGAAAGCAAAGATTTAAGATGTGATGACTTTCAAGCCTCAGGAAATTATCAGCGAAAGGATGGTTGGTTTTATGAACAAACGCTAATGAATTAAAAGTCCTCCACAAACAGGTCCCTCCACTGAGTTTTAACATAACTCTTGTGTTGGATCCCTCCTGAAAACTGTAATATAGGGGGTAACATTTTGAGCCCACTGTTAATACAGGAACCCAAGAATGACCACAGCCTGCTCCGTTAGGGTGTTGGTGCCCAATACCTGGCAGTCAGGAATACTGTGAAAAATACAAAGTAGTATAAATAAGGTTAAAGAGCCTCTAACCCATTTAGTGCTCTATCAATCATTATTTGTAAAGCAGGATAGAAAAAAACGATTAGTAATGTACCACAGTGTAGAAAAGGCATCTTAATGGACATCCCTTCTCTTGCTCATGTGAGTGCCTCGTGAAAAAGATTAACTGTCACTGAACAGTGTAAGATATAGCAACCCCATCCTCCCACTCACTCACATAAGTTAACCTGCTCAGGTCAATCATTCCCACTACTCCGGACTTGGTTTTTTACTCAAACTTAACTAAAATGTATTCAGAACACAACAGAAAAAATAATTGCGATTAAAAGGTAAAGGTGTAAACAACACAACATGGTTGAAACTGAAGCTTTAAAGTCACATGACTACTGGTACAATTAGACATAGGGCTCTTACTTGGCATTGGGATGGCAGCGAGAAATCTTGCGTAGTTCTGCTTCATTATCACACACAAGGAGGTCGATGCCGTTCTTAGCAGCATATTTGATCTGAGAGACCTGTTTGCACACACCGCTGTAGATGATGTCTTCAGGGGGAATACCATGGCTCTGCACCAGCTCAAGTTCAGACTGAAAAAACAACAAAGATCATATTCTGTTGAGATGAGGAGAGTGAACTAAGGAACAAACTCAAAAAAGAACTAGCACAGCTGACTTTGGCAGAAAAGCGCTGTCGTTTTGGGCAGTAAAATGTGGATACTTAACACTCAGCGATGACATGAAATTACCTTGTTGCTGCATGCAAATCCAGAGCCGAGAGCGGCCAGCACTTCAATCACAGCTGGACTGCTATTGCACCTCACAGCATAGTAGGGCCGAATTTGAGTCATGTGGGTTCGCCAGCGAACATGCTGCCTCATTATGACTCCCAGGTCCGCTACAAAGAATGCATTCCTCTCAGACTGGGGTAGGAAGAAAGATAAATGTGCGAGAGTCAAAAAACATGCTTCAATAATGACATATCAAACAACATGATACAATGACTGGTGAAAGTACATATTTTTTTAAAGGAAAAACTGATGGTACAAAAAGACCGTACAAGTGTTTGATCATCAATGTGATTGTCAATCACATCACAGAGAGCGGTGCCTCCTTCCAGCAGGGCAACAGAATACTGCAGGTCATCAGTGATTCCTTTCATCCTCTCAACCGTTTTCTTCTAATCCGACAGGCATAAAGAATGTGTTTAGTCCAAAGTGGTCTTGCTCACTTCCCCTTGAGCCTCCGGGGTCCTAGATTTATGCAACAAACTGCACATGAAAAAGACCAAAGTCATCATAAAGCCCAGTTAAAGTACAAATCACTAATGCATTCAATCATAAATACATTGTGCAGAATCAGTGGTCAGGTCAAGGTCCTTTTATCTCATTCCTCACTGAGACACACAAAATCATTTCAAGTCAACACCCGATCAGAACAGGAGCTGTTACCATGTTACAGGGTTGCTTCGTAGAAGAGGCCTATTGTTCTGAACAGGGTTGATTTACTTTGCCAACAATTAATCCAAACAAAAACTATCAATTCCTGAGCCAGTGACCCATAAATGTTCCTATTGGTTGGTATAAACCAATAAGCCACAAAATCCATGGGGCCTGTGTCAAAAGTTTAACTTCTCTAATGTAACAAGATGTCAGAGTCCAGTCTGAACTGGACCAGATATGAAATAACTGTGGTGCGGGCATGTCACACAGGGGGAGAATTTATATATCAGTTTGCTGTGACTTGTGTGTTCATTGTATAGAAGATGCAGCAACTCCATCAATGAAACACTGTAAGATGATTCGACTCTTTCATCTCTTTAAAACTAAATCAACCACAACTTTATGTAACTACGACAATGCTTAACTGTCACTAAGTAAATTGTGAAAAAAGAGAAGATGTTACTTTGGGTGCGGCGTGGCTGCTGCTAAATTTAATGAGGACAAAAAAAAACTACTGCAGATGAAAGCAGACTGGAGCACGGTCACGTTATTTTTAAGTGCTTACAAAAGATCTGACACTCTCTGAAACCAAAATAGACTGTTTATGATTCAACTGGGACATGCTGCTTATTAACTCTCCAATCTTTCTCACGTTTTCAGTGGCACACTTTTTGTAGAGCAGCCCTACATGCAACACTGAAATTAAATCCAAGAATAATGCGTACAAAAATGCGTAATGCGTACAAAAACAAAACGAAATCGACCAAAGTTTCTCCTCCCTAAGCGGATGCACACATTCACAGTTGATTGACCTACATGGATGAGTCCTGGGATGAACCAGTCCACTATCAGCTGGGATCCCAAGGTGGCTCTGCGTTGAAGTCAAAAAGCTCCCTGTAAAGAGCTGCCCCTATATCCTCTGGGTAGTTGCTGTACACCTGTAAAGAGGCAGATGAGGGCAGGGCACAATGGGAACTGTCAATGACTGTTTACAGTTAGAAATACTCCTGACACAGATAGAACTAAAGAGCTACACACTTTTATGAAATTTAACATTTCATGTTTTTTATCTTTTAAAATTATTTCTTAGTAACATGTCAATCTAAGCTAATTTATGGTATGCTATTATAGATATTGATCTATACCACGTCAGTGTAATATAAACAAGTCCAACCTAGTCATTTCTATATTAGTCGCTTTCGCCGTAGCTATTTAGCTATATTGTGCTCATTTTCTCTCAATTACAGTTCATTTCATCCTCAGCAGTGATAGTACTGACCATTCCGTAAGGTCTAAAATGTTTAAACGACTGACGTTGTTACTGTGTAACCAAAATAACGCTAAAGTAAACCCTTAATCTCGCCAACAACATTCCATGGCTAATATGGAGCTAAGCGTTAGCGAACTTTACTTACGTTGGCCGAAGACCCAAACGAGGGGACAGAACGTTTTTTCTTTTTAGGCGGAATTTTTAAAGAGTAGTGGGGTAACTAAGAGAGAAAATTATAGCTGCCATAGAATAGATGGGTTACTGCCGTTTGAGATTTGACAATGGGAGCTAGCACGGATTAATTGTGGCGACCTAGCAGAGGACGACGGCGGAAGAGCGGTAAAGCATTGGCACGGAATTAAGTGAAGTCCAACAAAATTCATGAACATCCGGTGTGACTATCAAAATAAAACGGACAGTTCTTAACATGTCAGGTAGATTTGATCATTAATTAACACAGGCTGTGCAAAGCATTACTTGTAACATCTATTAAATAACATAACTTCTCCTATAACGTTGGCAAACCTTTGAAATAGCATACGTGCTGCAAATTACATAAACATCTATTTCCGGATGTGTCCAGTTTCATTTCGGTTTGGGAAATTGACTAATTTAAAGTGAAACATCTGAGCTGTCAAATCCAGATTACAGAAGGAAAAAACAATAGATTACAAATGTGGAATATTTACTTGGAAATGAAAAAATCTTAAACTTGATAATCTTAATGTGTTTTTAGTGTTCACATATTTTCCATTATCATCTTCAGTAAAGTAAAAGTAATCATAAAATTGATTAAATCTATAATACCTTTTCCTATATAATAACATTTCACAATGATTTTATTGCGAAATGTTTCAAAATTTACCTTTGTTATGTCTTCATCGCATTTCCCATGGCTCAGTAACAAGGACAAAATGATGTCCAGTAAAGTTAATACAATATTCCTTTTTTCTGTTAGAAAATAAACAGCCAAGTTACCAGTGCCAAAAGTGGTAAGTAGCTAAATGCATGTTATTCCCCTCCAAGTTCAAGCTCAGACTGGATTTTCCTCTTCTTTGGCCTGCGTTGTTGTGACTTGGAGAAGTTGCCACTGCCTCTTTTTCTTCTTTTTTCCAACGAGATAAATTTGCATGTCTCCCTCCTCAACAATGGAGGAGGAGGGTGCTAAGCGAAACACAGCAAGTGTTAGCTAAACTAAGAAGAAATATTTTCTCTTTGCCTGATTTGACTTCACTGTATACAAATGCTCACATCATTCCTGGTAAGGAAAACAAAATTTTCCTCAAACCAAGTGTTGGGTCACTTGTCGTTAAAATTCAAGAAATTTTAGGCACTCCATCCATTCAAAACAAAGTCACTTTACTTGAGGGTAGATATATACATATATCAGGTGTATATTACTCATACCAGTGCATCCTTTTTTGTTTGTATGTATTATGATAACCCACTAATTATCATATTTGTTACAATCAAAGTGCATTTGTCTGTGCAATGTTCGGCCACATAAGGTGTCTGAGGAATTCAGACACCATACAGATCTAACCAAAAAAGATATGCAAGCAAGTAGATTTTTAAAAACTCACAATAAAACTTTCTATGATGAAGTAAACAGAACAAAAGTACACCTTTAAGCCCTAATCCTCCATTGAAATCCTGTATTATCCAAAAACCACAATATCCCTTTGCCACACTAAATGACCCACATGCAGCAGTTCATGTTGTGTTGTTCTTATTATCATTGATTCTTTTTCTCAAATAAAATCTTCAGATGATTAGATTAGTTTTGAATGTTCCTTGGGGAAAATAATAAACAGCAGAAGTGTTTGTTTCACTAATAAGGCTGTCGCAGAGTCTATTGTACAGGCTGCAGAGGCAACATCTTTTCTTTGGACTGCGGCACAAAAAAAGCTGTTCCGTGTTTTGTGCCTGCTTTCTGTGACACAAAATGAAACCATGTATATATAGGGCTAATCTCACATAGCATCTAGAGTGGCTTCCAGTAAAACACAGTGTTTGATTTCCATTGTTTGGATCATAATAGGCATGGTAGCCGTTGGGTATGCGACACAGGGACATGTGTACCACCCACCGTGAGGGCAAATACTCCAGTGGCTGCATTGTGCACCAGGAATTCTTATTTGCAAACATAGCAAACAGATTACATCAGTGTACAGAATTAGAGAGACTAAAAGCCGGCCCTGGCTGGCCAAGAATTTGCAACTAGACAGGAAAAAACAACTTATTTCAACTAATTGTATGCATAGAACATGAAAAAATTAAATATTTCTATTGGTCTGTATACCTACTTTAATGCATTAGATGCTCTTTGTGGTTATAAAACAACTGATATTTGAAAAAAAACATCCTCAATATCAGAAACAGGCTGCAGATGTATTATTTCAATCCGTATTTAAGGAACAAGTCACGGTAGATCTATATACACATAAATGACAACATAAATCCTCGTTAAATAAGGTTCATGCAATGTATTTTGGTCTGTTATGTCAGTCAGTGGAGGTTTCGCCTCTCATTGCCAGAGAATGTTGCTCGGTAAAAGGGACTCCAAACAAACTTGTCCTCCCCCTGATCTGAATGTTAAGCAGGGAAATATAAAGGCAACTGGCTCAAGAAGTGACATTACATTATAATAAAAAGTATAACTTTCTTTAGAGATCCTGAAATAAGAATAATGAAACATTTGAGCACATCAGAAAATGTTCGGACAAACATTTGTTTCCATTTTTTGGCCTTCAGTATGCCCCCAAAAATTTGCAATCCTTATCTCCGAGTTCTCTGTGACATGTCATGTCTAACAATAGTATCAAAAAGGTGGAGGGATCTAGGGAGATATATCCTGACGGTCAAACAATAACACAGTGTAACAAATGATGCCCAATCAACCTTATTTCCTTTTTGCCAAAATAGAAAATGATATCATCAAATAACTGTGCATTGGATAAAAATGAGCACAGTATACTGGGAAATAAAACGTCCATCAGTTCCCGTGAATTCATCAGAGCTACCAGTGTGCATGTAAGCATATCAACCTGTCACTGTAATCCAAATACAGTTTAAAAAGGTAGACAGTGTTTCCAAAGCATTTAGGATTACCTTAGTCATATCAACAGTGCAGCAAAAAATAATTCATGCAATTATTCTTATCATTACAAGTGTACAAACATCATTTCAGCTTCATGCATGTCCCATTTCTGTGGGGTAATGACTATGATACACAATTCTATGCCCTTCCATTTGATTGGTGTAAATCATCTGATTAACCTATATGGGCCCCAAAAATATTATCCCTGTTTGGTCAGGCCCCTCTTCTTAAATATGTCTAAGTTACCAGTTAATTTCATTAGAGGTGGAAATTTGAGCTGTAATGTACAACTGGAAGAAGAAAGTGTTCAAAATTGTGGGTCGAATAATTGGTGAAGAGGTGGCCCTTAACCAAAATACGATCTGTTGTAAGCATCTGTTTTCTGGAGGCTAAACAGTGCCCATGTGTGGAAAACTTAAACAACTGGTACCATAGTATTAACAAAAACAGGTCAGACAAATTTAAGTAAGATCTGGAGTATCTTATGTGAGTTTCTTGGAAACAACAATATTGAAATAGATTGCTGGAAGATTGAAGGTCTATGAGAGTTGAGCCCCCCACCCTTCCCTGGTTTTTAATGTACTCTCCTTCTTTGTATTATTATAATTGTTGTTTCTGTTTAATAAATGACTCATTAATGAATTAATCAATGCATTCACTTATTTATTCACCGATTTTGTTTTTGCCGGTGCAATATGTCACCTTGATTGCTCATTTAGCTTAGGAAATAGCAACATTGAATAGGTAATAACAACAAGTTATTACATCACTATAGCCATGCACAGGGCTCCGAAGTTTGCATCTTCCCTTTGGATCATTTACATAACATCACTATCATTCTCAACTGTGCTTCTTTTTGTTTTTTTAAGTTTACCCTGTTTTTGTATGTGCCTTGGAGTTGTGTTGGTATGTTTGTGGGTAGAGAAAAAAATATTTTAATAAATACATGTTTGGAAAAAAAAGTGTACAAATGTGTGAGAGTTTGTACAAGGCCACTGTATTAATAATGTACATAATGCTGTGTATATGATGCACATTTATAGTTATTCTTTGTAATAAATGCATATAATCACATCTTGTTAGTGAGATCTATCACATATGAGGTATTAAGAATTCGCCTTACCACTGCACACTGCTTGACTGTGGCGTGCATGTCCAGATAACATCCCAGCCGACTGGCCTATTGCCAGCCACGGGCAAACTCAACCCCACCGTTTGATGTCGAGGGTTGGCTCCAGACGGACCAAGCATTGTGTCCCAAACAATGAACCCCCGACCCACTCAACTATAAACATGTCCCCATGGAGGCGTTTTCCTCAGTTTCTATGCAGGAGACACCCAGAGTCAGGAAACCTGACCTGACTTTTCTAAATTTAGCAACCCTAAAGCCTCAAATGCTGCTGAATTGGCACCCATCATCGTCTGTATCATTTTGTAATAAGATAATAAGTTTTGGAAAAGTTTGGGGTGGAGGTCTCGCAGGAAATTTGTCAAGACAAAAACATTGCAAAAAAGTTTCCTCACCAAAATGACCTAATAAGATTTTTTACATGGTATGTAAATGTCAGCATTTTTAATGCCAAATAAAATCATCATTCGTGTTCATTTCTGTTATGTAACAATAACACAACAAAAACACAATCTCAGTATGGTCACAGACAGATTAGTTAACATACCTGACCAAGAGGTAGCGGGATGAAGGAGATACTTTATCTGAATTAATTAAGTTGTTTTCACATATTTTAATATATCAATTAGATTATAAGACTTCAATAAAGAGATGTAAACTGATAAAAAAAACTAAATTTCAATATAAAGGGAACAAATTACAAATATGGGATGCAAAACAACCATGACGAGATTTGAAAAGACCGCAAGCTTCAAAGATTTAAGAACAGATGCAATCTAAATGCAATGACATTTCAGACAACAAAAAAAAGAATAGGAAGACATGGAAAACTACTTTCTAAGACAAAATAACTATTGATGCAAAATCAAATATATTCAAAATAACTAAATGAACTGCATGGGACAAAAAGCAACAGAAAAACATGTATAAAAAAAACAGTGAGAAATAAAACTGACCGCAAATAGAATAAAAATGTTCAGATAACAATCCTTCACATGTACACATACAAATGACAAAAACGGACATCCCAAGATGCAAGATGACGCCTACATGAATGGTCAGCGTCCCTCTATTTTAGGTGTGCTGGCCACATGCAGGTCAAATCCCAGAAACCTGTCGCTTCAGTACCTGACAATGGGGTTGGTATCCAGACAAATAACATCATTGTGTTCATTCATGGCCCTTACTTTCAGACTGGTTGGGAATGAATATCTACCCTTCTTGATGGACGTTTGTACTTGACTACCGCCAGCTGGGGGCGCTGTGGAGTCACGTCAGTCTGTGAGGGGACTTCCGGTTCCTCTACTGGGTCAGCTGACTCTGGTGCTGCTGTCAGGAGACCTCACGAACTACACTGACTGGCAATTATGAAAAAGACCAAGCTATAGGAACACCATAAGCATCTACATATCCATATATATATATATATATTTCTTCCATTAACGGAGACAGTTTGAATACACGGGTGAGTGAAACCGTTAGCCGGTGTGACAACACCTGTGCTGTTGTAGTTTTGTTGTTAGCAATGCGAGCTAGGTGGCTAACGGTGGCTATTCCCTGATGGATGCTGCTTGACCTTAACCAGCTCTGTCAACAGCCACCGTTCGTTTAACTTAAAAGCGTATTTGGTATTTATAAGCACGGTTAATAGTCGGGAAGTGAACATGTGCTAGACGTGAAACGGTATTGTCAGTTTATGGAGGACATTCCCTTTGAAAGAGCTGCTGTTGTTGCTGTTGATGTAGCACCATTTCCCCAACCTACTTAATGGTAAACAATATCAGTACACATGCAACTACTAGGGATCAAATCTAGCTACAAACAGATCTCAAACAGTTAGGTCCTTAAACTACATCTAATTGGACCATTTATAATTTGACTATTTCTTAAGACTGTGTTTTTATTTGATGTTTTATAAATGTTAACACAGTTTTTCCTCTTAGTTGTTTCTCTAGCTTCGCCAGTACTGTAAACATGACAGAGTTCTGGTTGATTTCTGCTCCGGGAGAGAAGACCTGCCAGCAAACATGGGATAAAATGATGGCAGCCACTATGCGCGCCAACAACCTCTCCACCAACCACAAGTTCAGCATCCCAGACCTCAAGGTTAGAAAAACTTTCCAGCTTCCTGTTATCCCTTTTTTTCTTCCGGCCCTACGGTCTAATTCAGAAGCTGTGGACAAATTTACTTATGATTACTGGCACTATTTCCTATCATCCTTCATCGTATTCTAAATGTGTTACCCCCAGTTTTGATAGAACTGTGAATGTATCCATGTAAAACCACTCACCTACTGTATCCACTGTCAAGAATAAGCTGGCTGTCTATTTGGAAAGTAGACTTGACACAGATTGCTCGCCTGCATGTTGAAGTGCCGTTTGGGTGAAGTTTTTAGTCCCTGAGCGGCTCACCGAGACTGGCTCGGTTCCTCTTTGTTCAGAGGGTGAAGTAACCCTGCTGACCTTGCTTCCACATGAAGCTGTAATGCCCTCCCAGGACAGTTAGCAATGCATGAGAAGCTCTGGACAAAGAGGCGCCAACCTAAGCTCAAAGAGGCCCCTGGGTGTCACTGTATTCTCGTGGAACCACACATGTCGGTGCTTAAACACTGCTCCTCTGAACCCACTTGAAAACGACCCAAAGACCCAGGACTAAGCAATCCAGACATCTGATGATTTTTGTTGCTTTCATGTTTAAAACAGGTTGGAACTCTTGATGTCTTGGTGGGACTGTCTGATGAATTGGCCAAATTAGATTCGTTTGTTGAAAGGTATGCACCTTGCTACACATTCATTTCATTAACACTACTGTTTTTATTAATAACTGAAACATAATTAGTAACCCAGGAACTACTCATTTCCTTATCCCCCCCTCTGACAAGTAGGAATTTCACATGGCCCCAAGGCCGGTGAGCCCTGCTGTCTAAACGTGGCAATTTACAGTTAGGTGACACATCAGCAGCGTGTCATATTTATGCCATGGACTCATGACCCATCAGTGTAGTCTTTTTGGAAAAGTAACATCCCAAACTCACACATAGCCACGACTGCCTGAGCTAAACTTTGAGCTTCCTTTGCAGATATTTCGAAGACCAACTTAGTAACCTGGTCTTGCTCATTTGCCTTCAGTTTGATGTTTAAACAATTCCCTCTTTTGAAGTTTCTGTTCAACATATCTGGAAAGAATTTTTTTTTAATGATACTTTAAAATGTTTATGCATGCATTGTCTTTACGTAAAGTTTTAAAACATTGAATGGCTGACATCTGCTGAAGTTATTCACAATGCATTAACAGCAAGTCACTGTTCTCTCATATAAAGCTTTCAGCTTTCATACAGGAGTTGGCTTCAGTTTCCAAAAATGCTTTCATCTTTATTTGAGCAGTGTTGCTAAAAATCGTACCTGTGAAAGTTGGCTCTTGTTATAAATAACCTATTCAAGACAACGTTAACTGGAATGTGTGAGACTTTTTGCTGGTGTTATATTTAGAGCTATGTATATATATGCTGGCAGAAAATGTGGCGATCAGTGGTTTTGTGCTTGCAGTTCCAGTTTGCACTGCCTATTTTGAAGTTTCTTTGGTGTTCACAGTGTGGTGAAGAAGGTAGCTCAGTACATGGCCGATGTGCTGGAGGACAGCCGAGACAAAGTGCAGGAGAACCTGCTGGCCAATGGAGGTACTGTAATTATACTTTGTAACCTGATTCCATCCATTAATCACATAATTATGTCTATTATGCATATCTGAAATAATTCTGTTAAAGGTTGATCTTTTTCCAAATCTCCTGTCTAACCAACATCTGTTAATATGCAAATAGAAACTTCAAAGGCCTTTTTTGTCTGTTTTTCAGTTGATCTTGTCACCTACATCACGAGGTTCCAGTGGGACATGGCAAAGTATCCCATCAAACAGTCACTTAAAAACATCTCTGAAATAATTTCAAAGGTAGGTCAGTCAGTGAGAGTAGAAAAACAAATAGATTCAGCATACAGTTTTGCTCATTTTAGCTATTTTAGCCATTATGCTTATTTAGGCTACTCTTCCAATGTTTCCTGTCCTCTTTGTCAGTCAATAGAAATAATCAAACTTCTTTTTTGTTTTAACAGCAAGTAACCCAGATTGACAATGACTTAAAAGCAAGAGCCTCGGCTTATAATAACCTGAAGGGAAACCTACAGAATTTGGAAAGAAAAAATGCGTAAGTCTAACACAAAATAAAAGCCAAAAAAGTATTTTTCACGTTGTGGAAAAACCTCTTTCTGTTATTGTAATACTCACATCTGTCACCAGGGGGAGCCTGCTGACCAGGAGTCTGGCTGACATTGTAAAAAAGGAAGACTTTGTGGTAGATTCAGAGTACCTTATTACTCTGCTCGTAGTTGTACCAAAGTGAGTGTATATTATATCAGTTCCAATAGCCCTGTATTGACTAATTCACTAGATTGAATTAGAAAAGTAAGACATGAGCATGGTGTGATAATTCTGCCCTCACAGGACGGCGTATACAGACTGGCAGAAAGCATATGAAACACTCGCCGAAATGGTGGTGCCTCGGTCGTCAAAGTAAGTCAGTGCAACCACATCAGATATACTGCGATAGAACACTTGTGTGAACACGTACCCAACTTCTCTTTTACAGTCGGCTGTTTGAAGACAACGACAGCGGACTATTCAGCGTCACTCTTTTCAGGAAAGCCATAGATGACTTCAAACACAAAGCCAGAGAGAACAAGTCAGAGTTCTCTATTCTGTGGGATGCTTTTATTCTGAATCTTTTATATAGATACGAATAGCTGTGACTATGTATCACATGTAAAACAATTTTGTTTTCCCCCATCTCGCCACCTAACAATTTAATGTGTGAAGGACAAGGTCCTGTTTTCCGTATACAGTTTTGCTGTAATAAAACAAGGCTATTGCTTCAATCGTTGTAGGTTCACAGTGAGGGACTTTCAGTACAATGAAGAAGAGATGAAGGCTGACAAGGAGGAGATGACACGGCTCTCCACAGACAAGAAGAAACAGTTTGTAAGTGAATGGATGCTATAGAAATGTATCAAATAGATCCCTTTGTTCATTAGATCTGATCAGGTTAAATTGGGGGCTCCTGAACATATTTACCAAAGATTTCATATTAAAAAAGTTTACTATTTTTAAAAACGTATTTTTTTAAGGTGCTGTTATTTGAATTACACATTTGTTCTCAGTGAGAAACTCGAGAGATGACCCAGCTTCCAAGTATGCTCTTTTGTTAAGCCCAAGGTGTTCGCTTTGATCAGAAAATGACAAGTTCCATCTTGAAGTTCATGAAAATGCATCAGTTAGGAAATGCCGACCGTACACATTTCCCACGAAGGGGAGGGGTTGTCCAATTATCAGCTGCATTGCACAAAACGAAGTGACCCAGAGAGCCTCTAACATCTCTGCCTCCTGTCTGCAGGGCCCTCTTGTCCGATGGCTGAAAGTGAACTTCAGCGAGGCCTTCATTGCATGGATTCACATTAAAGCCCTAAGGGTCTTTGTGGAATCTGTCTTGAGGTATTGATCGCACCCTTCTACACTTCTTTTAAGCCTTTTGCCACCACAGCAGTGCAAACAATGCTGATCTCACGTTGTGCTCTCGCAGATACGGCCTGCCGGTAAACTTTCAGGCAATGCTCCTGCAGCCAAACAAGAAGACCATGAAGAAGTTGAGGGAGGTTCTCAACGATCTGTACAAACATCTGGACAGCAGTGCAGCGGCTATCATGGACGTGAGTGCTTCAATACCACTCTGCCCCATAAATCGCTCTCCTTTGCAGTTCAGTTACCAAAGCTATTAGAAAACAGAAATGTAAAGACTCGTTTGTCATTAATTAGCTTTTAGCACTGCACTGGTGATATAAGTAGCCATAAAACAGGCAGTAGCGTAGTTCTTTTTTGTTGAAATAATTTATCATAACAGATGTTGACCAATTATTTAAAACAGTTTAATGTGAGTCAACAATTATCTTTATAAAGATAAATATATGTACTAAATGCCACAGTATTTTCACCTTTAATTTAGAGGATAAAACCCCAAAACAACAGAATATCACAAAGATTTTTTTTGTAATGATAATAAGCCAGCGTATTGAAAGCAAGAGATCACAGTTTTACAGTGTTGATTCCAACATATCTTTTGTATCCCAGGTTTTCTTCTTCAGTGTTATAAAATACAAGATTTTATGCTTTTTCGGCTCAAACTGCAGCAATTGAATTTTCTCGTAATTTCTTTCATTTAGTTTGTGTGAAGAGAGCAGGTTGTTTGAAAGGAGAGGTCTGAAAGATCATTACGGAAAAACAAGAAGATAAGATATCATTACTGTCATAAAACTGTTGTTTTAGAAATTAGTTTAAAAAATACCCGCTGTTTGTGTCAACTCTTAGCTTGATCAAACGGACATTCAGTTCAAGTAATTATCCAAATCAAAGATTAGATATGATTTAATATGATACATTTGGGCAATGGAATGCCAGGATTAGTAGTGATTAGTTATTAGTTTTCCATTCATAAAACCTGAGTTGCATTTGATTTTTTAAGTGATTTTATCAGCTAATTTACACTGTGAGTCAGTCTGTTGTAGCATCGTGAACATAGTGATGATAAAGTAAAGAAAACAGTCAGTAAAAAAAAGGGCAATTCCATGTTGGACTCAAGTATGGCTCCCATGTTTTGGAGTTAGCAGGGTTTTTTTTTGTCTGGAGATCAGTGTTACTCGTTAATGACTGGAAGCTAAACTTACTGTGGAGCTGCTGTCAACATTTCAACCACAGGCATCTTTTGGCACGATAGGAATAAGAATGAGTGTTGGTGAGCCTTCTGTTTTAAAGATTTGACTTTTGTGCCATGCTTCGGTAGACACATTCCAACCTCTGACGTTGCATTTGAACTTGTTTTTCTTTCTCCAGTCTGGAATGGACATCCCGGGCCTAAACCTGAGCCAGCAGGAGTATTATCCCTATGTCTACTACAAGATCGACTGCAACCTGTTGGATTTCAAAGTTTAAACCTTTGCCCCATGTTTGTCCTGAGTGTTACGTTTCCTTGACCCAAAAACTCCCCCTCCTTCCATGATGTCCGCCTCCTCACAGCCTCCAGTCCCAGTCAGCTGCTTTAATGCCCGCGCTCATTCCTTGTGGTGAAAACGTTCTTCGACAGGCTTCTATCCTTTTACAACCAATGAACAAAAAAAGACTTTTAAAGATCGTTTTTGTTTACAGGTTTTTTTCTTCTTGAGCCCACGATTAGGTCTTTGGATGGGAAATAAAAAAAAAGAAAGAGTTAATATCAGAGATGTGTATTTATCGTGTCATTCCACGTGCGCTGATGTGTGTTGCATTGGTGTTCACAGGCTTGTGTTTGTATCAGGGCAATTTTATCATCACACCCATAGCCACCACGTCTGGTATGCATTTCTGAGACCGTGGGTGACCACTGCAATTGTTGTGAAACAAAGACATTATCCGAGTGTATGTTGGCTCATGTTGTGTATATTTGCTGTCAAAAAGAGATCTATATCTGAGTATTGTGCAAACATTTGATTTAATAAATATGATTAAATTAAACTGGTGTAAGCTAATTAAATACAAAGAAAACTACAGTCTGTACGCTGAATTTTCTCTTTTAATTGATGGTTGATGCAAAGCTGTGGAACACTTTATTTTTACAACTAAAATGAAACTATAATATCTGGTTAGAACCCACCTAGTGTGGAACCTTCCTGCTGTGGAGCAGCCGAGCTAACCATTACACCATCATGACATCTTTAATATAGCCTATTTTAAATAATTAGAGTTGAAAAAACAAACTGATAAACTGTTTAAAACAGTTTGGACTTGTTAGGAATTGATAACAAGAACCTGACAAAGAAAAGCCAAACCATGGATTTTAAATGTAGATGTGATACAAGTGAGTTCAGAAGAAAGATGAGGAAAATGAAAACGTAAAAAAACATAAACCTATATCACAAACAGAGTAAATCGAATAACTAGAGATAATAAAACCCCAGGAGATACTACAACCTTAGATACAAGAAAATCTAAATGCAATAACAACAGAAAATTTCCATGATTTAATAGTTCTTTCTCTTTGTTTTGTTCCAGCTTTGCATTTTTTTACTTCTCTGTTTTAATTCATTGGGGACTTAATTTGTTGGAAAATTCTACTATTTGCAAGTCTTCCACTGTGTATGAACTATGAAAAATGCTAGAGTAGGCTAAAACCCCAGACCAGTGCAGAAAGGATTACAGACACTTCACACACAAGAGGATCCAAAGAAAGTCATATTTAAAAAATGTTTTGAGGAATTACAATGCAATATATATATATATAGATAGATAGATAGATAGATAGATAGATAGATAGATAGATAGATA